CTACTTAGATATTGGAAGTGACTTAGAAGTTAGAAGTCTAGATGAAGAGGTATTTCTTAGTCGAAGATGGGCGCGTGCTGGTACTCCTGGTTGTGGTTTGCAGTCCTTCTTGAGAAGAAACTGAATTTAATATTAAGTGCGAGTTCTACTAGATCTACTAGATCCGGATCCTTCTTCTCGATAGGCACATCCACACATCTTCTCAAAGGCCAGCCTGGACCTTAATGAACACTATCCGCAGTTGCCTCGACTCGGTTTAGGTAGTCGAGCGCCCTCGCATTGCTCTTAGGATCCTGTATGCCTATATCGTCGTCTCCTGTATACCCGTAGGAAGCCACACGGCGTTTGTCCCTTGCTTTTTGGACGTCTTCCTGCACCAGAAAGCTTTGAAATTTACGGTCGCCTGTTCGTCGAAGAGCGCTTACTATCGTATTAGAGGTCATCTCATCTCATCTCAGCTTACTATCTCACATCATCATTGTGCTTCTCATCTTCTCACATCATCATCGCTTGCGGAATGATCGGTCATCTCATCTCCTCATCTCAGTTTCATCCTTGCAAAGTATGGGGCAGTTGTAAGTATTTCCCTGCGAAGATACTTGCTCCCGAAGGTTTTTTATGTATACTTCCCGATAAAGTATGGGGCAGTACTTCCCTGCGATTCTTTCTTCCCCATAGACTACTTACTTTTGCCTTTCAAGAATGTGAATGCACCAGTCAAAGATGTTGAATTACTGTCGACGAGAGCCGTAAATACATCGGGCGACGCTTCTGCCTGAACGTCTGCAGGGAGACTGTACAGAAGTTTTTGGTATTCTGGGGAGGCCGTCGTCGCCTTAGGGTTTCCGGCAGCGCGCTTCTTCTTCTTATTTACAGGTCGATTAAAAGTAGAGTGGCTTAAGTTACTAGACCAGAATCTGTCGTTTCTCGAAGAGCTGTCGTGATAATTTCCTTTTCCCCTAAGAACCTTATTAAGGGATGACGATCGCGATGCCACGACAGGTCTTGTTCAGAAGTCCAGGGATGGACATGGATCTAGCAGCTTGTTTTCTAATTGAATATCACGTAAAAAAAGACCATAAAAGATTGATCTTGTTGCAGCGAAGTGGAGCCGAATCGGGCTGACGGATTAAACAATTGCGAGGAGGCGCTCATCATCGATGGATCTGCCCTACTACCAGATGGAGCAGGACGACCACTCGACGGTCCAGGACTACTCATAGGACGAGTTAGAGGCAACGACAGCTCATCTTGTCCTCGGAGGACATCATGCCTCAGCACTTTCCAACTAAAAGGTTAGGTCTTAGGTTGTGAATCCTTCTCAGCGAGCCTCACGGGCACATGCTCAGCGAGCCTCACGGGCACTTAAAAATACTTAAAATTAAAAAAAGATGCTGTAGGAGATGGGTCGTTGACGCTACCCTTAAACGAGGAGGTGGCTTCTTCTGCATTCCGAATATATCCTGCTCCTCCTGTCCGTCTTCGCCTTCATGGATACTAGTAGGCATATGCCCTTCACCCTCTCCCTGGGTTCGACGCGGCTCTTGGCCAGGAGCTGTAGTGGATTCTTGGCTAGGTGTTTATTTAGAAGAACTAGAAGTCGCTCATTTGTTTTCGTTTCCTCGTCTAATACCTTTACCTAGTTCCTAGCACCTCTAGAAGTACCAGTAGAAGAGGAGGCTCACATTGTCATTATCTACTACAATTTACTTCTTTGAATTGTTTCGTCGAGGATACTTTCCTAAATTTATTCACTTCTTTCGATATTATCTGAGCAATGCGTATGTGTGCATGTGTATATCTAAAACTAAGAAGTCCCATAACAGATCCTCCAGCACTCACAGATCCGGCACTCATATTATGTTGGTTGGCTGTTGTCATGCCAGGCACTGTAGCGCCAAGCATCTGTGCCGCGGGACTCATCATCATCTGCTGATTCCCACCTCCTCCACCCATTGCTGCCATCGCCATCTGATGCGCCATACCAGACATGTCACCCTGACCCTCGAGACGGTTGCACTTAGAGGAAGACTATAAATGCACACAAAGATGAAGACCTGTTGTAGATATAGAAGAATCTACCCAAGTGCGTGCCCACCTTCCCAACGTCTAAAACGGCAACGGCACAGCTAATCAGTATGTGTATGTTGTGTAGTAGTGGAGGTGGTCTTGTTGTAAAAGTAAACCATTACACGGCGACGTCTATCAACTACTCTGGGCTAGAGCTAGAAATTTCTCATCTTCGTAGACGAGCTAGTAGTTTCTCAACATCGTTTGCCTAAGATCATGAGTGATGCCATGCTCATCGATCGTTACGTCACCACTAAGGAAAGCTGGATCGAAGGTCACGCCAGTCCGCACAAATGGCGAACCCTCAGCTTCCCAGAAACGCCCCTTTTTTCGTATCTGGTAGTTCGGCTTGACTTGTGGAGAATGAACAAGAGCAAGTTCTCTTCTACTCTGATCTGTGGGAGGGACGACGACCTCGTGTGAAAAAGAACGAAATGTAAGTCTTTTTCAAGTGTCTTTTCATCAAGTCAGAGGACGAATCTGATGCTATCAAGTCCTGATATATGATTATGAGCAGGAGGAAATAGAATCTTCAGGATCCGATTTGTACATGACCTGTTAGTAAGATGAAGTAGCACAACTAGTGGTAAGTGTCACCATGAGTCACGACCGTAACCAGACCCTGCTGTAGTTGGCACCTGCCATGTCCTTTTTGTTAGAGTCTGCTTCTACACATCTCAGTCCCGTCCTTGTCAACTACTACCCCTTACATTTTTCCCATGAAATCCATACAAGGGAAACGAAAGGTAGACGTCTCAATGCATGCCTCTTCTTCAATGGGTCTTCATCTTCCTCAATGGGTCTTCATCTTCTTCAATTGGTATCTCAACAATGGGTCTTCTTTCATCTTCAATTGGAGGTACATACTGCCCAAGCAACGAGGAGGGGGGCAATGATGAAACTGAGACGAGCCTTAAGGAGGACGATTTGCAAGGATGAAACTGAGACGAGCCTTAAATTGGCTTTCAAATTCCGTTCTACCTTCCGGTCGGAAAGAGCGCCAATCCCAAGGGTACCCACGCGGCCACCAGTCGCACCCTTCCTATGACCTAAGTAGTCGGCGCCTGCAACATGTCTGTCACGAGCTTCACCACCGCCAAACGTCTCATAGTCGGTTTTAGAAGAAGCTAAAGTACCATAGGTGGAATATGGAGCAAACAAAAATACAGTCGATGTGAATTCACATGAATCAAACAATTCCAAATCAAACACGTGAATCTCTTCAAATCATACAAGTAATCTTCATGTGAAGCGGGCTCCAAATCTTCATGTGAAGTTGAAGTACTAGAAAAGCCACAACTCCGTACTTCAGCACTTATGATCAGATTAGATTTCACTTTCAGAGGGTCTCGCTTCAGCTTGTAGTTGTACTACTATTTATAGTTCTCAACTTGAAGTTCAAAAACGACTACTACTTCTACATCAATTCTCTCTAAGAGAGACTCTGAAACCACTACTATCAAATCTACATCAGTTCATCTCTCTTGATCTTCAAGTTCTTTTCAAACAGGAAGTACTATAAAATATCTTAATCTTCGAGTTCTCGAACGCTGCATGGTCCGTCTAAGTCTAACTAGAAGTCCTATATCATAATCTTCAAGTTCTCGAGCGCTGCATGGTCCGTCTCTCCCTCATGCAGACCTCGGAGATAGCCCGCATACCGCTCCTGATACTGCTCATCTCCTAGCTTCGCAGTTTTGCTGGTGTACCCATATTCCGCACCAGCATATATGTCAATGCCCTTGTGATCCAGTAAACCGATTCTCTCTTCGAAGAAATCCTTGCGGTTGCAATTAGAGGACGAAGAGGAAGACGGCGCGATCCATCTTCATGCACCCATTTACCCATTTCCATGTACGTAGGTGGTTAAGTTCTGATAATAAATATATGCGCGTTTAATATTGTTATGATATAAATTCATTGTTTGCACAACTAGCCACCGTAAAGAACGCAAGCTCGTCTATTCTAGTTCTTGTATGAAAATACTGACACAAGATGCTTGTTCTTATACTATAGATACTACTTACACTAACACTTAGTACTCATAAGACAATACTAACACAAGGTTCTGTATCTATTTCTACTTAAGTTCTGCTCATAAGACAATGGGGGCACTGCTCATAAGACAATACTACTTCTATATCTATTTATACTTAAGTACTACAAGAATAAGCCAACATAATTGCTTCCTTTGCTCCCGCCAGGAAATTCGCATTTCCGGCGCCTGCCTTAGGTGCAAAAGCTTCAAGGTGTTGGTTTAGGTGGGATCCGGAGTCGAAAGGAGTAAAGTTCACCACCTTACTCTTCCCGGTGGGAGGCCCATAGCCGCTCTGATTCTGCATCTTGATGTAGTTGATGTAGTTGTAGCTACTTAGTTTTAGTAAGTAGTACTCTATGAGTTTGAGTTTATTACGATTAAGTATGTTCTGCTCCTGACTCTGTCGCAATATTTTCGAGAAGACGCTTGAAAAACAAGTCTGATGAATAGATCATCATCATTTCCGTGAAACAGACAACTACTTGTACTTGAACTTCATCTCATGCGAGTACTGTAGAATTCATAATTGGACTCGTGAGCGGAACTAGTACATAGACTTTTTCTGATTGTAGTAAACAAGAGAAGACACAGACACCACTTGTACAGAAACGACCTAGCAGCAAAGTTACAGCCCACAGGCTGACAGATGTAGGAAGATTCCATGTACTCGTAGAACTAGAAGGACAACAAGTTCTCACCATCACATATTTCATCGGTCAACACTCTCATCACATACTTCATCGGTCTGCAAAATAAGCTCAAGACTCTCAGCTCTCTTTTCCTGCTCTCATCGCTCCGAAGTGATCCGATATGTTGACAAGCGACTCCGTAGACCGAGTATGTCACGAGAACAAGAAGAGGCGCACTGCTGTAAAGTAGAGCAAGAATGTTTCTGCAAATTTCGGTTTTGGAAATGCCTTGCTCCTTCACCACCTTCACTTTTACAAGGAAGAGTTGGATCCTGGTCAGAAATTGAAGGGTACTTAACTTGGGTACAGGTTATTGAGATGAAGCGAATGCAAAGGGAATGTTAGGCCAACAGTTCTACTCCTATCCGAAGAGCCGCACATTCGACCCTTGTAGAAAACCTAAGGCTCTTGTGGCCGAGTTGTCATATTCATTTCTGACTACTTTCCCACGCCAACAGTCTTGTCAATATCTTCCTTTCGGTTTCCGTTAGGAAAAGATCGCCAAAATTACTCACGGCTGACCTGAAGTCCTGTAGCGAAACATATTTGCTTGCTGGTTGACAACTGATCCTCTGCAGTGCCGCTGATGTAGGACTAGACAAGGTTCTTGTTTGCTCTTCGATTTGCAACCAGATATATCCGCAACCATCAAGGACGTCAGATCCACCAGTATAGGCGGTTGCAGCAGAGTCGTGTTCGATTTTGTTAAATCGTTTTTTCAATGCAGACATCTCTGAAGTGATAGCAGAGGATAGCGTCCATGGCGAGGATGATGTAGATGGCTGTGGCTTAGACGTCCAAATATTAAACCCAGCAGCATTTGTCGAACGCAAAGTGACGTCAGTTGGCAAAGGGAAAAATCCAGGATCGACCAGCAAGTCTCTTGCTATTGAGATACACGCTACTTTCGAGTCTAATATCGCTGATGGAGGTCCAATTGCTGTTGAAGACGACTGGTGAGCCTGAGCAAGTAGTTGCGCCGTTGATGAAGAACTGCTACTACTAGTAGAAGTTGCTGTAGTACTAGTGGTTTTGTTTTTCATCTTCAAAGAACCTTGTTGTTGTGCTCCACCTTGTGGTGCTGACTTGAAGTTAGAAGTTCTTGTGGTAGTGGGTGCAGAACCTGTTGCAATACTCCTGTGTTCATTTTTATCATCTCCAGAGGCTGCAAACAGCACTTCCCCAATCGTGGTCTTTGATTTCGATCCCAAATCATCAAGCTTTGTTGCCATTTGACACGCAAGACCCACGCGCAAGGCTGACGACAGAGTCCTCAACATCGATTGGTGGATAGTTTCACAGAGTTGTTGTAGAAGTTTCGACTGCGCAAGTTGTTCGGTTCTCGTGGTAGATGAGGGGTTGCCATTTCTAAGATGAAAAGTAAACTCAAACTCTAAGGTTTCACCAATCCGGAAGATCTGCTTGTCTTCTCGATTCGCCGCTTCAAAGATCCGTCTGGCAGCAGCAAACACATCATCCTCTTCAACGTTCTTCTCGTCATTACGAGCTTCAACGGAAGCTGCTACACCTTCTTTGGAGCTAGATCCTGCAGCTCCACGTTTTTTAGATCCAGGACCTGGAGTTGCAGGTGGAGTCTTTCTGGAAGATTTCTCATTCTTTTCTACGTCCTTGACCTTGCTACTGCTACTCGAGGACGATGCTCCGCCGACTGCTGAGCAGGAAAACCCTTCTCCATTCCTGATCGCATTGTCGGTGTCAAAAAGCACCACTCCGTGATCACAACGAAACTGGTGCTCCCCTGCTTGTATTTCTTGGTCATCTAGTACTTGTTCTTCATCCTCTTCATTTTCATCTTGTGCTACATCGTCCACCTCTGCTTCTTTTGCTGAGGCCATCTTTCGTCTTTTAGCTCCATCTTTTGAAGAGGCAGACACTTGCTTCGCTTTGGCCGAAGGAGCTACAACTGTACCACGACCGCTTTTTCGCTCCTTCGCGTTGTCCTGCTCAGGCTCTTGAACCTCACTTCCGGTTGAAGACCTCTTAGTATTTTTATGAGTTGCCGCGTTTACGGGTTTATTCGGATTACTGAAAAGAATTCTGAGTCGCTCTATTTCTTGCAAGAATGGAGGTCCTCGTGGCCGTGCAGAAGAAGCTGGAGTTGTTGCTGTGCCAGGTGTTATAGCTGATCCACCTTTTTTCGTGATAATAGGTAAAACAACCATTCCCAGAAGCTCCGACTTAGCAATCCCCTGTCTGCACAACTCACGCAGCCAGTAGGTGGGACAGATCGGGGAGGAGCCATTGCCATTGCCTGATGAAGAAGCCGCAGACGTTGACACCAGTAAATTTCTCGCAACCACGTCAGCAACTTCATCTAAAGAGGAACAGCTTAGTTCCGAAAATGAAGTTGCTAAAGTTCTTGAAGTGGGTTCACTTGATGTTGTTGTTGATGAAGAAGAAGCTCTTGTAGACGAACTAGAGGAACTATTTCTGCTGAAAAACTTCCACGACAGTTTCAGCTCTGGAGGTTGTACCGCAGAAGGTGCAACAACAAGTCTCGAAATACGCTCGAGTATGCTGAGTCCCGAGAAAATTTTCATCAGCATCATCGTATCCTGTTCACTCCTTCTCTTCACTGCTGTGTTAGGACCTCCTCCACCTCTGGATGTTATTGTAGAAGTAGATGTTGACGATGAGGAAGAAGAGTCTCCCACCGTACTTGTGCAAATAGACAGACAAGCTTCTTGTTCAAAAGCATCCAAATGGAGAAAAGCGGAAGATGTGGAGCCGCGTCCATCTTGTTTTCCGCTTTGTTCTTTCTCGTCGTCATCACTTACTTCTATCTCATTAGCAGTTGTAGTGCTTCTTCCTGTCCTCCAAAAACTAGGTAGCAATTCCAACCTCTGTCGGATCGACTTGAATATGCTTTCCGGGTCCCAGAAACGGCGGCCACGCCTCATACCCTCCAATTCAGGACCTAGAAACCCAGCTTTGTAATCGACTAATACCTCTTGCTCAGCTAGTTCCTCACACTCGAGCACAGCTAGAATGCGCGAACCCACGTCTCTAAACTTCGGATGGGCCACCATCATTTGCTGTAGTTGCTGCTTCTTTTGCTGTCTTTTCAACCTCAAAGGATCAACAAGGCGCTGATGCAGTGGTTGTGGTCCCCCTGCAGATGAACCTGAAGCAGTAGTTGTTATACCTACTTCACAACTTCTTGTTCCTCTAGTAATATGTTGTGTACTAATATGATGGTCTACTACTCCTTGCTTGTTCCCCTTCTTGCTCTTCGCAGTCGAGTGTTGACCGGCTTCGTCAACTGAAGCGTGATCGCCTGCTCTAGTGGTAAGCCTCATGCCAGAACTAGCATGATTGTTATTCATCCCAGAAGTAGAATTATCAGCAGTATGAGCGTTTCGTCCTGCGGCGGCGGCGGCGCGCGGCGGCCGCGCCCCACGAGCTTTTCCTGCCATTTTGTTTTTTTTTCCAACCTCACTCAAGAAAGCGCAAAAAAACTTGATGAAAAAATTGAATTACGCAGTTCGCGCCACCTTTCTCTTTGCTTTTCTCATAAGTAGACTGAATCTTCCTGCTTGTGCTTTTACTTTGTCACTGTGGCTAATCAAGCTGGCTACTTTATCTCCTTTGCTCCACAACATTCACATTGATTCATAATGAGCGCATTTTTTCGATTTCGTAGACTTGATGTTGATTCTTGTCTTGCTCCACTATTTAGGATATGCGTATCCTCTAGAATTTTTCCAACCGAAAACAGTATTCATTGACTGAATAGCAATAGATGATCGAAACCCGCTTTGATGCTCCTCTTATCAATCTTCCGGCAACCCTGTTCTACGATCATGTCCGTCCTCTTGAAGATCAAGATTTTTCATTCCCTTCTGATGTCGCCTTTGGGGACTTGAATAAAGATATCAAAATCGGTCACCAAAGGAATGTGATCCGAGGGAAAAAAATCGTCTGGTATTGAATAGACCCCATCTGAACAAGGTGCGTCAGCGATTCGTTGAGGTGTTCCAAAATCAGAGGAGTAGAGCATCCAATCCACTAGTTGCTTTCCTGGAGGCGTGTGCTTTGGTGGAGCTGGACTATGATTGATGTTCTGCGTTTGATCTTCTGCAAACGCTCTCGTCTCTTCCTGAGCGTGTTCTTGAGCGAGATCTTCAACTTTAGCGCGTTTAATTTCTGGTTCCACGGGATAGTGCCTTCTTCTTCCCCTGCTTCGATCGACTCCACCAACACCCTTGCCACCATCCGAATCCTCACGAGGCACTCCCGCCACTCCCATCCCGACTTCGTAATTATCGCCATACAATCTGGAGAGCATTCTACTTCCGCCCAGCGAAGACGCACCAGAAGACCTATAGTACATCTCCAACTCCAAAGCTGTTTTGGGGTTCCTCAACTTCTTACTGCGTTCCGCCACTGACTGCTTCACTATCGCGTTCCCAGGTATTAATTAAAGCCAGCTAGAAGCTTTTCACTAGGATCGCTGCTGCTGGTTGATCCGGTTGAGTGAGTAAGTAGTTCTCCTTATTTTCCACCCCTGTAGTTTCTTATTCTTTCCCTTTTTGAAAGCTTCAAGGAAGGGACGGGACTCCACTCCGTTGATTGTATGGTTCACATAGCATGATAGTGATAAACTGCTAGCCTTAAATTAAGGTGACACGTTTCAACCACCTAGGCTTTTTCCTTCTGCCACCAAGTAAACTGCGGTCAGCGTAGAGACTGAGACGGCTGGATCGCGAACTTGAGGTCGTTCCTGCTAATCCAAAATGATTGGAAAACTCCCCAAGTGCAGACGCAGAGGAAGAATCGCAACTATAGTTGTTGAAGAAGTTCTTGTTCGACGCACCGTTTTGTCGACTATGATGATCTCCATTGTCTGATCTCCATTGAGTTTCAGGTTCCGCAAAGTCATCCCGTGTCACTGGTCGATTACTACTAGAGAGTTCTCTACTAGTATCTATTGCCTGTCTCTTCGAAGAGAGCCCGATCCGACTAGAGAACCGCCCTCGCGAATTCCGCTCTCTGCGAACTATGCCACGTACCAGATTGGCACTGCCAGCTGGAGTGGTCTCTATCCCGTGATCTAGCGATAATTGTTCCATATGATTGATCGCATCGACATCTTCTGTTGTATCCGATAAAGTAGTATCTTCCGCTGAAGATGATGAAGGAGTCCCAACTTGTTCTGATGAAGGAGCATCCACTTCTGCCGAAGCCAACGTAGAAGGAGAAGAACTGCTAAAAAACGACGACTCTGTGGAAGATGCTCCTGACGTTGAAGACGCTCCTCCTGCAAAACCACGCGAGGAAAAATGATGGCTCCATTCTGGACCATCTACGGTATCTATTTGAGCAGGTTCTTGCTGCATTCTTCATAACATCCCTGACTTCTTTCATACTGAGAAAAGAGTCGGGGATGTTTTTAGCGAAGGATGTAAGTAATCAAAGAGCTTCTGGGACGAGCCTCCTTAAATTCAGACCGATTTCGCGTAGATATCGAATAGGCCGACTCGTGCCTACTGCGTTGATATCTCCGCATAGAATCACAGGAACTCCTTCGCAGCTGTGAGTCTGGGTCTGCTGTTGCCTCCTTGACTTTGCGGTCGCCGGTGTCTTAGAGAGGAGGTATGAACTAAGTCCATGTCCGATTCCACTTGTAAAATCATGCAGCGTCTACAGCTTCCAAAAATATGACAGAGAGACTCTTCCCAAGTGCTAATATCCTTTTTAAGCATAATATCTTTCTTCTCCCTCGCTGCGAACGTTTCGGGAAACAGTAGCTCATCCACGATCTTAGAGACCTGAGCTACGCGGGCTTCATCGCAGTCTTGTTGTTCGAAAGAAAGACCTGTGCCAGGACCAGCAAGACCTTGTTCCAAACTAGAAGATAGAGAGCCAGAAGACAAAGGGTCCGCTTTAAGATGTGTTGTGGCTACGCGAACTCTTTTCATCATTTTTCCTCCAGCACTTGTTATGAGACCAAAATATGTTATCATTATCACACTTTTCTACTTAAGAAACTTGATAATGATAACAGATTTTCTTTTCATACTTGTTCTTCTACAACTAGTACTAGAAGGCTCTTGAGTATTTGTAGCACTTGTCATCTCGATATCATCTCCAAGCTCATCTACTTGTTTCTCTTCTACCCGATCATCTGCTTTCACATCTTCCTTCATTACTTCTATCCAAAAGTCTTGGGCGAGTGCCACTTGTGATCCAACCCAGGTGACGCGTTCGACACCAGCAGGAGAGATGCGGAGGCTACTTCTTCTTGTAGTTTGTCCTTCCCGTGGTCCTCTCGGCGAGTCTCGCCAGAACAAACAGACTCCGTCTTTTGCTGGTGATTTTTTCTTAGATCATGGCTTCTCCCACCTAGTTGGTTCATGATCCCTGCTGTCGCGAGTGGAATTCACTTCTCAAACGTCTGCCTCACGATTCCCCTTAGAATATTTGGGGGCGTGCATGATACGGTTAAGGGAAGATGATCGTGCGACGATCCCTATAGTACTTAGAAATCGTCTGTCCTACTTGTAGCCCGTTGCCTTGTTAAGGCGGGTAGTTACCGAATGATTTTAATTACATCCCATAGAAGTACTATAATAGGCCTATCCACCTAGAAATGGATTAGAAGGAGAACAAGCCTTAATCTTCTTTCCGAATGCCGAAGCGGAGTAGCCGAGAGCTTCCATTTCGCGCTTGATCCTGGGAAAATGGTCCACCTCGACCAGGGAGACGACATCCGGCAAATATTTCGCAATTTCTTGTAGGAGGAATTAGATAGTAGACACTCGCAGAAGAGAGTCAAGAAGTTGGGTACTAATTTACGAGCACGATTAAGCAAATTAGGAGACGGACTTGCACAAGGTAAGTGACTGCGACGGTGTCTCAAACCCTCAATGAATCGCAGTGGTCGGTGTTGTAATTATTTTTCTTAAAAAATGTTCAGTGACTCAGTGTCTTAAATCAATCGCAAACGGTGCTTTCCAAAATCTAAAGCTCTGGGAGAACAATCAGGAAACCGTTCGCGCGTAGCTAAACAATCAGCCAAGATATTCCAATGCATCATGCGTAGATGACATGAAGATTTCTTTGCCAAAGTGTGCTGTGGCAGATCGACAGCGTGTGGCTGGTCGATGCGTGCCTGATCTTCGTCTGCTCGGCGTTGTCCTTCTTCTTCATCTTGTGGCTGATTTAGTCCGACAACTTTTCGTAGTCCTTCTCGTTTGTCTTTTAGTTGCATTTGTCGCTGTTCGCGTCTTTCTTGTTCTTTAAGATGATGGTCTATAATTTGCGTGGAGGTCCTCGTAGAACTTCCTATTCCAGCAACATGAGAACTACCAGTAGTCCATCCTCGATCTGCTGGCGGTAAATGTCGCGTCGCAGCCGGACAAGTTCTTTTCAACTCGAGATCCATCTGGTGCCACATTAGGGAAGAAGAAGACGTTCTTGGTGTCGTTTCCTTTTTCATCTTTGCAGCGACATCAATAGGTCGGCGGACAAAGCTACCTTCAGCATTACGCGAGAGGGGAAGCCAAGGTCGAATCATTTAAATTCGACGTCGATGTTCTCGAATAATCTAGTAGATCTAGATGTCCTCCATGAAACCTTGATGTTGAAGATGTTATACTATTCCACCTGATCATACAGTTGAAAGCAAAAGACTGTGGTTGACAGATTGCAAAGAGGACGTTAGACTTCGAAGGTTTCGGGCTTGACTTGCAGGGGCCATGGCTCCAGAACTGCTCCGCGTCTGAAACATTGCACAGACAACAAACAAAATTGACAGGATAGCATAGGAGTAGGCTGCTCGACTGCGGATTGAATACTTTGTACTACCTCAGAAAACGAAAGGATTGGGATTCAATGCGTTGTCCTTTGGAATCTTCTGTAACAACTCTGAAAACACGAACACACCTCCACAACTGGTAATTTTCAGCTTCTGTCATTCAGTTATATTTTGGGGTAACAAACTCAAACTATATATGAGATGCAATGGCGATCCTCTACTAGCTCTTCCTGTGTATTTTCTAGCTTTGCCGAGGCACACCTCGATAGTCCTTCAAGTTCAAGAAGAACGATCGTTCGTACTACTTCGATGTTTTCTTCATCATCATCATCATCATCGTGTCCCAAGGAGTTTCTTTTCCTAAGAAAAGACTTTCTACTCTCTGTTAATCTTCTATTCGAAGCTTAATATACCTCAACATTCAGAAGCTTCAGTGTTCTTCTACTTGATAAGGACGACGAACGATTCTCTTGAAAAAGATTGATGTAGGTTTGGTTTACCAAGACTTTCCTTTCTTCAGCTAAAGTTCTTTCCTGCAAGAACTTATATTATCTAGTAATCTTCTAGTTCTAGTTCTGAATATACATAAAACCTTGCTCCCTTACTGCTACTCCTAGTCTTAGAAGAATTGACGAATTCGCAATGGAAGAAGAATTAGAATTAGCGCTTAGGGTTTGAAGGACTCGGGCTTAGGGTTGTCGAAGAAGCCAATTGTATAATGAAATATCTGTAAAAGTAAATAGAGTTGTAACCCCCGATGTGAACAATGTGTATCGATCGTCGGACGAGTTGTAGGCCTTCATTCGCAATCGTGTCCTCTTTCCGCTCTACACTGCACCATATGCCAATTCCTATGCTTGTTTTGGGATGGGATATGGTTAAGAGTAATTTTTAAAACAAAGCAACTCGAGGGAAGGACTAGCAGTACAATTCCAAGAGAAGAGGGGCAGGGGGAAGGGGATTTCTAGTATTATAGTAAGCGCTTACTATGGCGGTCATAATACAATTTAGGTAATTGTCTAAGTGCTATGTTCCACATTTCCGCCTCCTGAGGTCTCACGAAGAAAAGGATCTACTTAGCCTTCAGCTTTTTCGCATAGATTCGTATCGTGTTTCCTCGTCTTGGTTTCGTCGTCACTCGTCAATCGTCAATGAGGAGTCGTTTTTTGTTTGGTGTAAGGCGATGGAGAAGTGAGATATACACAATGGACCACATAATAATGTTGGTGGAGCAGACCTAGCTAGAAAATGTAATTAAGCGAGCTGTCCGTCGATGTCCCTGATTTTCTGGTAGTTGAGCTCAAACACAAAACCGAAAGGAGGAAAGTCAATGCCAAGCAAGTACTTATCTATACTAATAACTACTTAGCCTCCAGCTTTTTCGCATAGATTCGCTCGTTTCGTCGTCTTGGTTTCGTTCGTCAATGATCAATCTCACCGAATCCTTCTAGTACTTAAATAAGTGGAAGTGTTCGAGGACCACTTCGACGTTGATTTAGAGACCGCATTTTTGATAATCTCTCTTTTCCTTTTGTCGTCTCTCTCAAAAATCATGAAGATGACCAGCTGCAGTGTCTTTTTGAAGTGCGTTCTTCAATCAGCCTCCTCCATCACCTCGCAGGTGTGCGATCATCTTCATCACACCAGTGAAAGATCATCAGAACTATCCTGAACCCCTCTAGCAGAAAAACAAGCATGCTTCTTGAAATGTAATATCACATTATATTTAAGAGGCCCTTCATCATCCTCAGAGTGCTTGTGCTGCCCTCGCCTATTTTTCAGGTTCAATACAATTAGGAAGTTTCTTCAAAACGCTGCTCTGGCTTTTTCATGTTCAAAAAGCTTTCCTGCTGTTGCGCCAAAAACTGGAAGACAATCGTTGCAATTGCTTTTCTCTCTTTAGACCTTCCCTATATTCATCTTGAAGCCCATCTTTGACCTTTTTTCCCCTTGAAATAAAATACTCCAAAGATGCTTCTCAAGATGAATTGTGGGAAGCCCTAAGTTCTGGGTTCTTGTCCGGATGCCACTCACGACACAGCTGCTTGAAAGCTTTCTTCTTGGTGTCTGCGGACGCGGAGGAAGCCTGATCATTGTAGATTCTTTGCAACGCTTCTCCCACTTCTTTGATCGCATTACTCGCTTCCTCAATCCTCGGCTCCTCTTCTGGCGAAGTTGCTTTACTCGCGTCTTTGCTTCGTTCAAGTGAGGCGACGAATTCCGCAGCCCTTGTTACGAAAGTAGGTGATGAAGATGAACTGGCTCCCGTTGCAGATTCATTGCCATTGTAAGTGGATTCATTCCCTCCAGCTCCTCCAGGTGGACGAGATGAGCCCCACTCCCATTCGTCCCAATACCCCTCGAAAAACTCGAACCAACCGTTGCTACCCCCCGTCCAGAAAGGACTTGGAGGCATCACGGAGGCCGGATAGCCGAATTCACGATCCGGCAGATTCAAGTCTTTGGCTTTGCTTGACACGTATTGAATGAATTTCGCGGTTGGTAGCACGTTATTTCCCGTCCTGGGGTCGAGGTAATGCTCCCGGTAGCCCTCGGGCCAGCTCATACGGTAATTAGAGGCTCCTCCTGCAGATGGGTTGCATTCCTCAGAACATGGTCTCTGGCTCCTTTTTCAAGTAGAAAAAGAGCCAAGGATGGTAGTAAGGGATATAATTATTCCAGAGCAATTTATAAGGTTTCACAGCTCGCATGGCATGGAGTGCATGGATCACATGGAGTAGCATGGAGCTAAAGGGGGAGCTTCTTGCGCCCCTTAAAGCTCTGCGCTCCATGCACTCCATGCTACTCCATGCCCCATGCGTGCTATAAATATTCGGTAACTACCCGCCTTAAGGTAACGGGTATCATGATACTCGCCGTTTCCAACGTACTCGCCTGGTTCGATACGCGAAGGCGCCATACCCCGAAAATACTCGACCCACAGACCAGCGAATTTTTCGTCGTCGCAGTCCTCCTCCTCGTCCATTCCGTGCTTATGGATGTCATACGCCGTCGCCTCGATCTGCTCAAGGAGCCTGAGAAATATCAACTTTCCACTCTCTTCCCACCGAAGATTTACTTTCTCAGACACCGCTAAGCCCTCTCCCGGTGCTGGCAACATAATCGCCCCATTCGTCTCTCCACGAGGCTCTTCTACTGGCAAGTACTTTCCTCCTGGGAGGGCCACAAGCGGGAGCACACTTTCATCCCGCGGCTTCTGTATCTTCCATTCTACTTCTTAGAGCAGGTAGGAGTACCCCCGACCGACAACTAGAACTACCCATCTGATTTGCTGATTGACTGGCTGACTGATTGATTGACTGACTGATTGACGTGCCTGGCATGAGCTAGATCTAAATGGTAAGCTTCTTTTGATATTAAATGAACCAACAAACATCATCTTTTGTGAAAAGAACTAACTCTAACATCGCTCCAAGTAGAAGGAATCCGATGCCGATCATGAAGTGGCTAAAAGGAAAAGGTGATGGCGCAGCACTAAGATGAGAGATGGGTGGATGTGCGATAAAAAACTGAAATAAGCAAGTAACACACGATAATAGCCGAGATACTGAAGGTGAAGGAAGAGCATCCTTTAAAAGCTACGCGTCCCTTCTCTCAGTCACAGCAACTCGGGTATTTCCAGTTCCAATAGTATTATCATCTATCAAACTCGGATATTTCCAGTATAAGTATTTGTCATTTATTGCCATAACTTTCGCAGGAAAGGACTGCGGCGTTTCGAAAGGCGTTCTTTTGCTCGCCTACTTCTACACACGCTGTCGACGCGGGTCCTTCCTCCCCGACTACAAGCTGTGGAGCGCAGGCTTGACAAATATGCAGTCCACAGAAGCACCACCATCCTGCATTACCATGCAGGTGTAATCCACACGAGCCGCACTCTGCTAAATCGCTGTTGCAAGAACCGTCGCTGCCTTCTTGTTTACCTAAAGAGAGCTCTTTTTTCAAGAAACGTGTTTCGGAACCTCCACGACGCTTCTCGCAACCCGGACAACGAATTATTAGATATCCTTCGGCTTTCAGTTTGTTTCGAATTGCATCTTTGTCGATGCTATCGCCTGCATACGCGAGAGCATTCAGATCCTCTTTCGCGGCCGCGAAAGCCACCTCTTCGTTGTTTCTCATGCTTTCTCCCGCAAATTGAAATGCATTCCCATTTTGACTGACCGCAGTCAAGACCACCTCGAAATCATCTCGAAGAGAACGGGCCACAGACTTTAATGCTCGCCCGTCCGAGGCTACTACCGAAAGGACGAATTCACGGGTGAGGAGAATTAGACCTCTCCCCAATTCATCCCTGATGTGGAAATCCCTCAAAGATATGCCTGGTGAGTATAATCCCCCTGATATCTATTAGGGTGCACATGCTTGAGGGATAGACGCTATAGAGATGGATTAGAGGAAGCCTTAAGAGAAGACTGTGGTCGTCCGCATCAAAGAAGTTCAGAGCATCTTCATTTTTTTCACATACTTCTGCCAGCGCACCTCTTCCGCCATCATCCTGAGCGAGGTACTCTCTGAAAGAAGAGGGAACTTGTGCGAGAAGGGAGGGACGAAGCACAAGGACGGCAATCGCCAGATTTCGGTGACCGAAAATGGCCTGAAAACCAAGCGGAAGATCTTCTAGTACTCTTCTGGAAAGCCAAGAAGGAGTTGTAGATCCGTCGCCACTTACATGTGCTAAAACGCGTTCTGAAAGGCTGAGAAGATGGGACCCGGTCGGAGGTCCAACCTCCTCTGACAGAGATATACGACCAGCTGGCGCCGCAAAGGTATTTTGAAAATCAAAGTACTCTGGAAAGGTCTGAAGCAGAAGGTCCAGGGCCTGTGCGCGGTAAGGTTGCCGCTTCTATTAGAACTAATGGAAATCCAGCCTCAGCAGCATCTTGGGTCTCCTCTTCCCTTTAAAAGCGGGACCAAGATGACAGTGAAGATGAATTTCTTGTACCCTTAATTCTGGAGGAGAATGTCTAAGACCCCCGGATCCAAGAGGGAGTCGATCTGCAGATGCTTAATCGCTGCGGCGTAGCTTTGTCTCATCAATTGTCGCGCAAATGTAGAGCCGCTCTTGCCATTGAGCAAGTCTGGGTGCGCATGCTTCAGAGCATCCGGGCGCTCTCTGGCCAGGGCGTCACCCGAGACGAACCCGGAATCTTTTCTCAGTTTCTCCGAAGCGTACTGAAATGCCTCAGGATTCTGCCACAGTGCGTTAATAACGGCCGGCCGGTCATTTCGCAGCCACTCTGACGCAAATTGCAAAGCGAGGCCGTCAATGTCCTTCACCACCTTCCGCATGAAAGAGTCGCTCTTTCGCAAGCTTTCCACATCGTAGAAGCTGTGCGTGGTTGCGGCATCCGAACCTTCGGAGCTAGCAGCATCCGAACCTTCGGAGGTAGCAGCACCCCCTTCAGCTGCAGTCTGTACAGCACTAGAAAAGAACTTTTCGGCGCCCCCTTCTTTGATCCGCAAAAGCGCGCAATTGCTCGGAGATAGCGTGACTTCCATCAGAAGAATCATGGTCGCCGCCTGATCCTCGTCCTGGAGATGCCTCGCGAGGCCCAGCAGGTGCAGAGTTTGTTCATCGTATGAACCTGGCTGGAGGCGGGTTATCTTCTTCTTCTCTTCGTCGTTACTAACTATTGGATGCCTCTGGTACCTGGCCATGCCAATGAGGTCGTGATAGACAGCAGGAAGTGGTGAGTCTTTCTGATGTAGCTTTTTCTCTAGTATGGCGTGGAACAGGTCACTGTCAGTGCAGTTTTTGTCGTACTTCTCGAACAAGAAACCTCCAGGTATAGGAGTGCGCCTTTCCTTTGCGTCACCGAGATGAATAAAAAGCTGCACCCACACAGGAGTAAAGAAGGAGGCGCCTGCGCCAGTAGGTGTCGGCACGGTCCTCGTGTTGTACAACATCAGTTAGACATTCCCTGAATCCATCCTAAAGCGCATCCTGAAACCTTTTTCCCCTTTAAAAACGTTTCCAGGGTGGATGCCCTCGAAGATGGATATGTGGAAACCTTAAATCAGTTTATTCTCTTTCTCCTTCAGCAATTCATCTTTCAGATGAACAACAACTACGGGCTTTCCCTCTTCCGAGTGGGCCTCGTTGAGAATAAAGATTTTCTTTGTTACATCATCAGAGTTCACTAGCTTCTGGAACTTCTCGCGGCTCTCCAGTGTGAATAGTCCTGCTACGCGTGGTCTGTTCTCGCGAACTCCAGACATATTCTGGCCGCCCACTTCTTTCTTAAGCCAATTAAGGAAGACACCAAACACTTCTTAGAAGAGGAGCTCTCTCCAATTCATCCCCTTCTAGAGACTCTACAGGGGGATGAAGAGAGTTGTACTACAGCTTCTATCACTGATCTGTATTAGTTGTTTCTTTGATCGGATACTAAACCTTCTAGAAGGACATGAGGGATAACCTTCTATAGTACTTCTATAGTTGTAAACGCTTCTTGTACTTCCTTACTTCTATACATAGTATGGAGGAGACGCATTAGCGGAAGCCATAAACTTCATTCTTCAACGTTTTCTCGGTGTCGGTTTCTCCCAAATCTTCAACTACGACCCCTGACATACCTCCTTCAAGACCGTCTCCACCAGATCCTGTAGTGTTCGTAGGCAAAGGCAATCCATCTCCATCAGTTGTGAAGTGAGATTGAGAAATCCATCGGAGAAATCCTTGACACGCAGCAGATCCGCCCTTAACGCGCTTCATTGTCTTCAGGCCCAGTGTGATCTCGCCAGTACTGCCTCCTTTCAACTCCGGCTCCACAAAGACCACGACATCTTCTTTTAGACGTTTCTTCCGACTAACAGTCTCCGCTAGTTTGGTAGCAGTATGCAGCAGTTTTTTAGGAATATAACCCGACGACGAAGAACTACGAGTACTTCTACGTTCTTCGGCTGCAGCTTCAACTCTAGAGCTGCTGCTACCTTCGGCTGCGTCTCCCTCTGCTAGAAGATTTATTCGGCGTGCAACTAGGCTGCTAGTGTCCGTCGGACTCGGACTAGTCCTCCCACGCTGGGAAAGAGGTTCTACACTCCTCGGCGTAAATAACGGATAAGGCGGTTCTACATTCCTCGGCACAAATGATGTTGACTGGTAAGGAACGTCCTCGCGATCCTCTTCCATCGGCGTCATCCCTGGGAGGATAACCGGGGAATCTTGTCGTCCCATCGACGAGACACTTCTCGTCATCGCTGGGAGGATAACCGGGGAATCTTGTCGTCCCATCGACGAGACACTTCTCGTCGTCGCTGGCAGGATAACCGGGGAATCTTGTCGTCCCATCGACGAGACACTTCTCGTCATCGCTGGGAGGATAACCGGGGAATCTTGTCGTCCCATCGACGAGATGTCGTTGTCGTTCCCCGCCTGCGGCTCCACAACGACGACAACATCCGAAGAACGCCTTCTAAGACCGGAGGTTTTGAAGAAAGAGGCCGCAAAGACAGGAGTGATGATCGGCGAGAAAAGTAGAAGCCCTTGTTTAGAGCTCTTTCCAATTCTAATTCATCTTGTTCCCTGTAGTGGAGTAGACATCACCTCAAGTAGAATAATATGCCTCAAATATGGGGAAGATCTTCATAGGAAACCCTTGGTGTATAATTGGGAGGCATATTACTCTTCTGTGTACTGATCATCACTATAGACAAGATGGATTAGGGGAAACCATAACTATCCACAAGAGCTGGTGGACCTTTCTTGTGGAAAGAATGCAAGAGATGAGCGCCATTTTTCTTCCAAAGTGGTTACAAGCAATAGCAAAGGCCTGACTACGTCGATACAGATGATGCTTACTAGGGTATAAAAATTGGTGATGGAAGATGAAGACTGAATGACGGGTTTTTGGTTCGAGTTCATATATTTCCACTTCCAGAACGTGAAAAGATAAGAAAATGAGTGTAAATGATCAATTTGTCGAAAAAAACACAATGATTGGGTAAGGTGTGTCAAAGCCAAAACAAGATACTAGGATAGTAGCATTTTAAAAACTATTAGTTACTACAAGATAGTTTGCGTGGTGTCAAATATTCAAGTGCGTGGTGTCATAATCAATAATAAGGGCGTTGAATCAGTACTATCAGAGTGCTCGATACAACCGCAGACTCGGATTCTTGAGGAAAACAAAGACGATAAAAGCTATAATATCAGTTTGTATAAAGATTAAGTATGCTTTTTCATATCGAATAAAAGTTTGATGATGCAGCTTTCTTTCCTTTTGTAGTTCTAGGCTACTTCGATTTGCTTGTCAACTTAACAATGTTCTCGTTGTCCTGTCAATCATATATCATTAAGAAGGAGGTTGAAGGTCAAGATGGTGTTGGTGAGGACTTGGACTACTTACTTCATCTATAACTTTACAGTTGAGTGTGATCTTTGGGTCTGATATCAGAGTGATCTCGTCTCTGCTTCTCATTTATCAATCGCTCTGGATCATTTCACACAAAACACACGAAGCGCAAAGAAATCAGCCGGCGAGATCATACGCGTCGCCCTGAGCGCATCAATACAAGCTCAAGCAAAGAATGAATCTTGATGATCATATTATCAATCGATCTTGATCTTCGGTATCTACGATCTCATCTTTGCAGCTACTGAGTGGTCTTGGTGGTCTACAACTAGTACATCTCTCTCATAGCTATGATATTTGCGTCAAAATTGCGATCCTAATGATTTTGCACTCTGAAGAGACTGCGTCTAAGCCCACTAAGTGACCTTGTTCTTGTTCGTTCCTAGAACCTTAGTCGCCACTTGCTCATATACTTTGCGCAATGTTGCTTGCGTATTTCTGCAAAGCAGTACACGCAATTTCATGTCTACTAGTAGCTTTAGCGTCCATTTTTAGCCTCGATAGCATTTCCAGCAAAAGCCGACACAGATGTGGAAATTTACTACCTGCAACTTGAGTAAACTCTGTGACATCACGCAAAAAAGAAGGACCATGAAAGAACGTTAGCATTGCTTCTAAGGTAGCACAGGCGTTCGATGTTCTTCTAGTCGTTTCATTTCCAAATAACCTCGTCGAAGAATCTTCGCCGATGGTTGTTCTTCGACTTTTACGCCGTTCGCCAGGAGATCCACGACTATTAGAGCTACAATCGCGTCGCATAATTAATAGTATCTCTGGAGTAGAAGAAGGCTTCTTTTTCTCCTTGAAAAAGAGGAGGCCCAGGATGGGACTGAGGATCATGCGTTAGGATCATGCGTTAGGGCCTTAAGACTTCTACGTCGTTCGCCTGGATCTCGCTTTATTTGTCGCATGGTCTTCTCCAAAAGGACTCGTCTCCTTACCCGCCATCTAGCAGTTGGCACCGCGGTCCAAGGCAAATCCCTAGTAGCCACAATGTTTCGTTCCCGATAATCCTTTGCCACTTCTCTTTTCTTTAGAGCTGCTTCTTACCTGCTAACCACATGTAGTTCACCTGCTCAGAGTAGAGTTATATCAATACATAGTGTCCTTGTTGGAGGTGGAAGGGGCTTCTTTTCCAAGTAGAAAAAGAAGCAAGGATCATACATGGATGCTGTAGGGAGAAGATGCTTCGGCGGTAGCCTTAATTTCTGCAGTAATCGAGCTCGTTTTTGACGACGTTGCGCTTGCTTAGCGTTCATCGCTTTAGCCTCTTGGACGCGCCGTCTGGCTTGCAGTTGAGATAAACGCGCATCCCGTAGAGTCAATCTGCGTCTCGCTGGATGCGAATGGAGAGAAAGACGTCGATGCTCTTGAGCTCCTCCGACTACATCAAGGTATTGCGAAGGAGACTGTTGTACACCTGCTTCGCATTCACCTGAAGATCCAGATCCTCCTCCGTCGTGGCTCATACGGTCGGGCACCGACGTGATTATCCCACTTTTACTGTGATATTCGACTGTCTGGTGTACGACATTCGTCTTTTTCCCACTACCACCTTCATTAGAGCGCAAGACAATGCACTTCTTCCCTTCATTTCTTCAGTACCCTAAGAATAAGAAGGAAACTACGCGAACCGAAGAAAATCACTGATGACCACGCACAGACTGGATGAAAGAATTTCTTTTTTTTTGAGTCTTAACTTTAGGTGGCTGTAGTTCTTCAATCCGGTTCCGCTTGCGTATAGATGCCATCACTTCTATACCTTTACGTTCTTTCGTGCTATCACATGCACATGTTAGAGGTAGGTTTTTGATGTTCGTTTGTCCCGCTTGTTATGGCTGTCCCCACCTAGTAAGGGAGAGAGCCATAACAAACGGTAACAAGAAAAGCACCTTTATTAATCTAATCTTAAAAATGCGCGTCCTCCTCCCACTTCGCTTATAGACGCACTTGAACTGTCCTTTTCCAATTCACTCAGTGCACGCATCTGGTCTGCATTGAAACGGGGTGGTTGATCCTGGGGTTTTTCACTTGGCATCACCACACTTTCTTGTTGCTCCCCAAGATGAACAAGAGTCTTATGGATATGGTTATGCCCTTGCCATGTGTCAAACTCAAAATCGAAGAGTTTGGGTTTTTTAGTCTTCATCTCTCGTCCCAAGGCACCATGACCAATGTCAAAATCGAAAAGTTTGGGCTTAGTCTTCTGTGCTCCCATCGTTTCGCCCTTTGGTTCATCTTGCCCTATATGTATTTGATCTCCCTGATCTGCCTTGGTGTTCAGGAATATGGCAGTGGTCGTCGTCGCTTCATCATCGTCGACCCTTACATGCTGCTCGTCCACTTCTTTATTCCGTTGTCTCGCAGTGGTAGCTAATGTTGCTTTTTCCATTATCATAAGCCGTATTTGCAACTGTGTGGCACAAAAACTCACCGCTTCCTCGCTATATTTGGGAAGAAACCGCTGAAAGCAAGTTATCAGTAAGAGCAAGAGATGACACTTTTGATGCTCCCCGTCGTCGGGTTTAGGTTTCGATGAATTTTTCGTATTGATAAAATCCATCACCGCGTCTTCCTTCAACAATCCGTGGAAAAGAACCATTCCTTTCGCATTCGGTGCTCCCAGCTGTAATATCGAACGTAAAATGCTAATCTTTTGAGCGAGGGAATAACTCTGGTGGTGACGCTGATGTCCCTCCTGAGACGTTGTGCTAGGAGGTGTATATCGATATCCACGAACCGGGCGTCCTCTATTTGAAAGAGGCTGGTATTTGGTAGCCTGATTTTGATCATAAGGAAAACAAGAAGAGAATCCTCGCGATCAAATTCAGGCTTCTACCAAATACCAGAGCTGCCATACAATAATTTTATTTGCTGTAGTAAGGTTTTGGTTTGTTGTATACTCGTGATGCTGTGTTGGCGTTGCGCTTGCGTCAGTGGTCCTGGTCCATCGTCTGCTTAATAACAATGCCAAGCGACCAAGCAAGTTCGCATCATGACAGCGGTACCGTTTCAGCACGTAGAAAATCGAGCAAACTTCTTCAGGCGTTAGGTTTTCCATAGTGTTTTCGTCGCTCACCTTTTCGGAAAGGACTCTGAAATAACTTTCGCCGCCAAAGATTAGAGCTAGAGCCTAGAGAAGATTGAAATAAATATCAATATGAGAATTCGTTTCAAATATATCTGAATGTCCTCAGCCATAACAATGGGAATGCATTAGGACGCAGCACGATATGTTGATCACCAGTATGTTGATCACCACCACCAGCACCAGAAAGACCACCACCACCACTGCCACCGCCAGCAGCTTTCTCTGCGGCTAAAGAGAATTGGAAAAAGCTTTTGAATTCTCTTTAGACGAGGTCTCTTTAGAGGTTAATCCATCTACTTGCGAGGCACCCTAGCAGCTTTTTCCCATTCGCTCCAGGATTTTGCCTCTGAAGATGGATTTATTAGGGGAACAAGCCTTAATCCATGTAGTTATTCGCTGTACCGGTGTTGCGCAGAAAATGATGTCCAATACGATCGAAGACACGTTTGGCGTCTAGTGCACTCCCGAACTCTAGGATGCCATGAGCTAGATGTTGCAGTTCCGCCACTCGCATGCTTCCAATACGCTCACAGGCCTTGGAAATCAGGAAATCTGGCACGTCGGTGAGCGAGAAACCAGACCAATTTCCTGACATCTTGTTCCGAGTTGAAGAGCCTCTACTATTTTTGGACTGTAATTCACGACCCTCCTTATGAGGGATGTTCGTGGTTCTCTCCCTCTGACTACGACCCTTTTTAGTGCTGCTCATCCTGTGGTTCTGGGCCTTAGTACTGTTTCTGTTGGTGCTTCCACCATCTTGAGCATGTAGTTTAAAAGCCGAGCAATATCGGATGATGTATGCGATATCTCGACTTTTTATTGGGTGCGACTCCATCTGTTCTCGGATCCAAGGGTCGAAGCATCGTGCCAAATGCACCACGCTTTCCCTATACTCTAGCATCCTCAAAGCGTTCATGCAACAAGATAAATTTGAGCTATCATGACCTTTGCATCTACCCCTTTGACTTTGAGAGCAAGCAGAGCAATGTCGCTCACAGTTGTGTTTCAGTTTTCTTCTAAGCCTAACCTTGCAACGTACCAGGATCCATCAAACTAAGACACTCAAGACACTCACAGCGCTCTCGTTGTTGAGACAGGATGCAGATGCACGTCGACATCCATTAGCCTTAAACAAAGACGGCAGGTCGAACCTGTGCAGCTCTATCAGAAAACATAGAGCCCTCGTACATCCTGCGAGAAACGTACGATCGTCTCGGAACTTTGCCTGGGCACAGCTCGTGAGCAGCACGTTCAGATCTCGGATCGTGAAATGCTGCAGCCCAAGGTCACGAGCTTGGTGCGTCAGCCGTAGCCAGGTCACGTCGCATTTGGCGCCAGCTTTAGCCGTATATGCAAACTGCAGGACCAGATCGGAAGGACTGGCATAGGATGCTGCTATCGAGGAGGAGGACGCGGAAGACAAAAGTGAAGGTTTGATGTAGGATGAGCTAGATGATGAAGAGCAGGAAGCACTACTTCTACTGTATGAAGGCTTATTCTGAACAAGAGGAGATGATGGAGAGCACGCTCTCGAATCTTCGTGTTGTTTCCCGACGATATCAACTGTCTCAACGTCAGACCTGTCGTGGACCTGAGCAGCATCCGAGTCATCCATTCCTCTTGATGTTGGAGGGCGAGAAGATGATGTTGATGACGCTCCTGAGGTTGTACAACGACCACCAGCAAGAATTTTTATATCGCTCGTATCATCATCATCCCCCCTGGCATTTTTGACGTCGTCCCTCACTTTCTCAACCTCCACCTCCTCCTGCCTCGCTTTCAAATGTGCAATCCCAGTTTGCTCTGCTTGCTGTAACCGTTCTCTCTGTTTCACGTTTCGCATCCGATCAAAGACACTGGAACATCCTCCACTATTCTCTAACATACTCCTCGAGGAACCTCCGGAAGCAGCTAAATTCATCAAGTTAGTCCGTCTCTTGGTTTTAGCTCGTGCTAGGATCTGTTGTGCTCTACTTGATGATGATGATGTACCTCGTCCACATGAACCTGCCTCTGTATTTCCACCATTCTGCGCATTAACAACTTCTTGTCCAGTTAGGGCATCTATCGTCCGTGCACCTTTTACGGTTAGAACGGGACGTCGAATTGCGGGTCCTCGAGTCGTGGATTCCACCATAGCTGGCGGAAGTTGGACCCGCCGACCAGAACTTGTGGCCATCGCACTGGTGGTGGAAGAAGCAGAAGGCATATTCTTGTGAAGGTATTCGTATTTTTCTCTCAGAAGGTATTTTTCTCACGCTTGAAAACTCAAATTACTCAAGTAGAAGACTACACGATTGTTATTTTCATCTAAAATTATTATGAAGACTCGCGGCTGGGGATACTTTTCATATTCATATCTTTAATGTCCTCCTTGTTTGACATCGATCTTCACGTACTTATCCTCGAGTAGAGTCGGGTCTGGTGGAACTTAGCTCCCTACTCATCTTCTCTGCGTTGCTCCCTACTCATCTTCTCTGCGCTGCAAAAACGCGTCTCCTGTGTCGCAAGACCAGCAATATTAAGCAGAGTTCACTTTCGTTCAAGTTCAATAGTGCCTTGTAATAGAAGTCAAGTTGGTGTCTTGTAATAGCATTTTCGTTCAAGTTCAATAGTGCCTTGTAGTAGAACTCAAGTTGGTGCCTTGTAATAGCATTTTATTCGTTCAAGTTCAATAGTGCCTTGTAATAGAACTCAAGTTGGTGCGCTTACAGTACTTCTACTACTAGCTCAACCTCAAAATCACAGAAGTAATAAATAAGAATGAGCACCAAAAGTTGTAAAAAGAATGAAAAAAAGAGGGGGCGTTCATTTATAATATATTGCGTTAGGGAAAGGATGCGCTTGCTTCTAGGAAAATAGTCGCATTTAACCAAGGAAGAGACACTTCAGTCCATAAAAGTCATAGTGTGCATGTGCTGGCTAAAAAGGTGAAACTTCATGAAGTATGCTGCTGAAGAAGAAGAAGACGATGTCAGAAAAATCGTCAACGATATCACGGAAAACAATGAGATTGAGAGTGATAGAAAAGGATAATGGTCGCATTCGCAAGATTTATTGATGATCCTTTCAAAATTACAACGAGACAATGCGCTATAAGTGGGTTAATATGCGTGCTGATAAACTTCTACATGTTCATGTAGTTGTGTGCAAAAACATATACTTTTGATGAAGTAGAAGTTGTAGATCTAGATGTAGTAGATATTTCACAATAGAAGTAGAGTTGGCGTTCTTGTATAGAGAGGTGTTATTGTGAAGAAGTTATCTGGGCTGTGCTTTGCTCACTTAAGTGGGGCAGTCGAAAACGACTGCGATTTGAAGACATTGGGGAGAGCTATAATACCCAAGAAATTGCACATGAATCCGAATGAAAAGCGGCCCAGTGAATTTCGCCGCACCTGCCACAGAAGCAGGCGAGGAGCTCGCATCAAAATCGCCGAAAACTCGGAAAAATGCTCCCCACGGCAAGCCGTGGAAAGCGCTTCTGGGCAAATTCCACGTTGCTCAAAATGCCCCCCACGCCAACACGTGAGGAACTCGCCCCAAAATCGCCGGAAAATCGGAAAAATGCCCCCCACGGCAAGCCGTGGGAAGCGCTTCTGGGCAAATTCCATGCTGCTCCAAATGCTCCCCACGGAAAGACGTGGAAGGCGAGGCTTCCTGGGGCATTTTGAAGAGCGATTTTTGGTTTTTCCAAATACCCCCTACGCCATGCCGCTGGGGGTTCTGTCAGCAAAGGAAATATTGCCCACCACTGGTGGGCAAAGCGACCAGTGCCCAGAATACCCCGCACGGCATGGCGTTCGGGGTATTTGGAAATCGAAAAAAATGGCCTTTGAAATGCCCCAAGGTGCCAAATCTTTGGCCCATACGTACCCTCCAGCGGGTGACTAGCGGCCGCGCCCTAGCCTCGCTCTGTAATGCTGATGGGTGTGAACGGTGCGGCAGGGCAGGGAGCAGCCCAAACCCCGCCCCGCCGCGAGGCCAAAGCGCACGCGCCGAATTACACCAGCGGCCCGCTGCTGAGCCGGCCTCCAGCATTCATTATGGCAAGAGCTGCTGCCGAGGCGTCACTTACTTTCATTATACGAGAGGCAAGAACCTTAGTTGTCTACCAAACGAAAACACACGCACACCCACGAGCGCAAACCTATCGCGGGGATGGCTCTCCTCCTAAGGGTTACGGGTCGTTTCCGAACAAGTTGGCATATGGGGATATGGAAAGCACATGGCAGTTATGGTAGTTTATGTAGTTATGAAAGTTTATGTAGATAATATGGACCTCCTATGATATGCTACTTGAACTACTTCTACATGAGGGAATTTGTATAGACTAATGACTAAGAGCGAGAGCGTGGGTCGTATTCGTGTACTAGTAAATAGTTCTGTACCTGTGCGTGAAGAAAATATAACCCCATATGCGTCTATTAGACGCGTGGTAAGCATGTGTGTCATCCGAGCGTATCTTCTCACCCCCCTCCAACTTGCGGCTTTGAGAGTGCTTCTAGATTCGTGCCTCGAACCATGATTTTAGTGCCGTCACTGCCATGAGCCCACATTTCTTCTAGGCGTTCCCGATGAGCTGCAAAAGCCGAATCCCATAAGGAGGTCGTGTGAATACATACAGGAATGTAACTCAAGCGGCAGCCTCTTACATTCAAAGTACTAGGCGTCGCGGATGTATGTAATTGTTCTTCATCTTTAAGATCTTCTTTTTGAGTGCGAATTGACGGAGCTGTTGACGGTGCTGTTGTGGATGCTGGTGAAGGGTCCTCACTGGTCCCTCTAGCTACGTTGGCTGGTGTAGTAGGGAGTGAGGATGATGCCAACGGTGCCACAAAATCTGCATCACAATCCTCACCTACTTCTTCGAGATCTACTTTCTCCATGTCACCAACAACGTCATGTTGTCGAGATACAACTTTTGCATCATCTACTACTCCATCTCCCTGTACGCATAGAGGGGAGGCGGAAGACGTCACCACATCCTCTACCTCTTGCAGTTTGTCAAGTATCTCTCGCGCCTTTTTGTAGCACCAAAGCCTTCGGTTGGCAGAACTGTAAAAATGAAGAACGCGCGGCTTTCGTCTGAAACCAGTAGTACTTCTGCCCGTACTCGTGCCCGTGCCTTCTGCATCATCCCAGGAGTCCGAGCCGGCATCGCTTTCTTCATCGTCGCGTCTACAAGTGTTCGCAGAAGAAATTAGATTTGAAGAAAATGTTGAAATAGCTACCTTGTGCCGCTAACAGGTGGTGCAGCTAGCGCTCATCTGAAGTCCTTCCCTGCGCAATTTTATTCATTATCATTACTGTCCAGAAAATGAATCAAGAATTAGGATCAAACAACGAACACATTACCATTACACGCATGATATCTGAAAGAACGAAGACGAGTGAAGTATTTACTTAGACTGAACAGCCTTAACAAAAACATTCGCGCCAATCCCTTTCGCGATGTGTCAACTTTCAGTCTCTTGGGCGCACGCACTGGCAACTTCCTAGAGTGGAAAGCTCCCTCATCTCCATGGCCGTCTTCTTCTACCTGGTTGCCATTTGCCTCTTCAAGGCCTTCAATGCGTGGTGGTGGCTCCACAGCGTGCACGAGAAGTGGCGGGAAGTCCCAAGCCGTCAGCTTCCCCATTGCTAACGCCTCCGCTGTTTCGTCGATCCTATTACCGTCGCCAAATCTGGGCGAGATGGCCTTCTGCGAGTACCGAATGACCCAGATCGGCAGCATGGCCTTTCGGCCGTCGTACTGCTGCGACAGCGCTGAGCTGCGTCGCGCCACCTTGTGCGCTGCGCACAGCTTGAGACGGAACAACTCCCGCGGAAAAATTTGGTAAGGGACACACAAGAGAGTCCGCAGCTCGTTCGCTAGCGTCTTCGTTGTGTTTTGCTCTTTGTTGTCCCGCTTCTGCTTCGGGGAGCGGAGCTGCCACCGGCGAAAGGGGACCAAGTAAAGCATTAGCAAGCAATAAACTCGATGGGCAATCCTGTCGCTGTCATCTCGTTGCTTGATGAACGCCACGCGCTGCTGGTCGATGTCCCGCATTTTCTCGGCAAGGCAAGCCTCTACCCTACTCGGTTCGCGCCCAGTATCAACCGCCGAAGACCGTCGCGAAGACAAGCCCCGTCCGGTTCTAGCCTCTTCATTCTTCTGCTGCTGAAAACTGTCCGCTCTCGACACCCCTGACAAACACGGGCCCTCAAGATTCTCGACGGCGCTACCTGTCGCTTCTCCATCCACGACCCCGAGCGCCCTTCTCGTATCGAGTTGCAGCTGGTCGAAGAATTCACGGCCTAGATTATATCTCCCGCCGCGACTTCGCAGTGCCATAAAGTCCAAGACAATTGCCATCGCCTTTTTGTCTTTCTCGGGAAATCGCGCGGGCAAATGATTGAGGAAGTCATGAAGAACTGCACGACTTGGGCCTTGTTTGTTCGCCGACTGCAGTTTCGCTTTTTCTTCGTCTGAGTTCTCTAACTTCATCTTTGAGACGTCGCCTTGAAGGCGCCGCCCAAGGTCTGCGCGCTGCTTCTCGTAATCGCTGAGCACGTCGGCGGCAGAGACGCGATCAGGTCTTGTCCAACAGCAACTTGATAGCAAGGTACTAGAAGTGGAAGAAGTAGTTGTAGTTGTGCAACTAGTTGTCCTAGGAGTCGTAGGAAAAATACTACGTACGGACCCGGACTCCTCCTGCTCATCTATGTCCAGTACCCGCCCGTCCCACCACGAACTCATGCTCTTTGATACCTTCATTGTGCACGCTTCTTCCTCCTCAGCCTCCTCCTCTTTCTCCCGGCAGCTTCTTCTTCGTTTCCGTGGTCCCTGACCCTGCTTTGTATTTAGTGCCTCTTCTACTAGTTGAGCATCATGCTGACGCCCATATTTCTCCCTACTCGAGGACTTCAAATCGCTCATATTTCTCCCTAACAAGTGGATGTCTGGAGTGATCAGTCTCGCGACCTCCTCTTGGATCACTTTTGGGTCCTTTTGCCGTTTCCCTCCTCCAGCGTGGAGAGGCAGCCGTTTGATGCTGTTTTCCAAAACTATGCAACGCTGCAGAAGCGTCGCCTGTCCTTTCAGCGCAGAGCCCTTCTCCCGTTTCTGTCGCACATTCTCTTTAGCTCGTTTCGACCGGAAGCTGGCTGGTTTGATACACGGAAGTAGACTTCGTTCGGCAGCCAGGAGTCGCTTCAGACGTTCGGGGCACAAGTTTCCCTTGATCATGTCCAGACACACACGACAGAGAATTCCTATAAAAATTGTTCGCGGATGCGCGACGCCTAAACGGTCAGCCAGGTCGAACCATCTAATCGTAATCTGAGCCGTTAAACTACCACAGTGAGCACCCCCTTTGGACGCGTATCTGATTGATGTGCATGTGAGAATGTTGAAAAATTTATTGAATTTTACCAACTAGCTACTAGTACTGGATGAAGAAATCTATTTCTATAAGTCTAAGTTCATCTGGAGTCGTGTTTGTAAAGGCACCAACATGTTGACTATTCAAATGCTCGCCATCGCGCCTTCTCGAATGATATCAGTAAACAACAGTATCAGTATAACGTAGATAGTACCTCCGATAAACAGCCAGCATGGCGTCGACCGTACGACCTTCAGCAGCAAGATCTCCCATATTCCGAGTAAGAAGCTTTGCTTCCTCTATCTCACGAGACGCTGACGTCCGTGGAGAACAAGCATTACCTCCGTTCTCCCCAATAGAAGAAGATGGTCGCGACGCACTCCCAACCGCTAACCCAGGTTCTTGGACTCGTCCTTGAGGTAACACGTTGTTCACAGACCACTGCACAGCCGAGGAAGAAGAAGTCGCGGAGGTTGTAGCTGAAGGTGAAGTCGCACTAGAAGTGCCAGTTGCTAAGTGGCGGGTAGAAGACGCGCACTTAGTTGTAGTTGAAGATATAGCTTGAGCTTCTCTCTTTGGGTCTTCAAGACGAACATCTGGTCGTGCTGCCAATATATTATCTGCTCTAATATTCATCTTAGTAGAGCACTCCTTACCAAGGTTCTGCCGGCAGCACTCCTGATCATAGTCAGCACGATCTTCATGCCACGACCACCATGAGGAATGTGCATCCTCTCCCGCATCGCAGTGGCCTTCTTCCCAGTGATCCGAGTTCCACCACCAATCCCATTCATGTTCTGCCCAGTCATGTTCTGTAGTGTCATCTTTCCACAGAACATGACCTTCCGCGTCAGCAGCACCATGATCGGCCTCAGTCGCCATAGTGGAGTCCGAGGATGGCGACAACGCTGCAGGTGGGCCAGGACTCGTTTTGTTGACGTTGGAAGCCACAAGCTCAGGATCATCAGAGCCTTTACTCCTAGCGCTCTTCTCGTCAGAAGTAGTTACCAGCACTGAAGCTTCGTCGGAGACTACAACTTCTCGCGCAAGGGGTTCAACTTTGCCTAGTGCTGGCGATGATGAGTAAGTGCTTCTCAGCTCATCCACGTGGTCAGCCGCGTCTTTTTTCTCAGGTTCTTGTTCTGTGGATGACCGCGTCGTAATGCTTGCCGCGTCCTCTTTTGGCTTTGCATCCTCTCGTCCTTCTCCGCTTTTTGCTACAGCTACACGACCATCCTTTTCAAAAAAATTCCGACTTCGGGTCTTCTCCTCCCTAGCCTGTTTTTCCCTAAGCCTCCTTTCCTCCTCCAGCTTGTCAGCTTCCTTCTTTGCAGCACACATCTGGCGCAATTTCGTCATATCTATTTTTTTCACGGTCGCTTGTGCTTGAGCTTGAGGAGTAGTTCGATGTTGAGGAACCCCACCTGCAGCAGCTCCGAGTTGTGCTTCATTTCCATTACTAAATAAACGAGGCCCAGCTAATGCAGAAAAGGCAGTTGAAGAAGATGCTCCCACGACGGCTCCAGAACTTGCAATGGGTTGTTTAGATCCGTCTTCGAAGCGTCCACTCTCATCTTTTACCTTGGCGCCTTTGCCTCCACCAGCAACTAGCGCGATTGCACTGTGCTGGTTTTGCAAAAATCTTTCCTGTTCTTGTAGTTTATCGTTATCTTGTTTCATCTCCTTCTTGCTCCTACTCGAGCTTCCACCACCTTTCAAGTATTTGGTTATGATGTTTTCAGCCTTGTCCCAGCCATCCCAGTCGGCGTTTCTTTCCTCCCGGATCTGCTGCAGTTTTCTACAGGTTGCACGATCAATCTGGTCTACCAGAGGTTTATACCAACATACGAAGTTCTTGTCTCCGTCGTAATCGCCACCACGAAACTCGTCGTTACCGGCTCGCGTGCAAGTCTCCGGGTCTGCGGCAAGGATCAAGAGGTTGACACCACCGCCGAAACGACGAAAGATTTTAGGCGCTAAAACAAAATCGAGCAACTGCATATCCGTGGGCAGCGCCACTGGGCATGCTCCTACAAGATTCTCGCCCTGCAGGTATTTCCAGCGCCCGTTCTCTCGGAATACAAACTGCGCTTGGCCTTTCTTCAGGGTCCTCGTGTAATCGTAGGCGACAGTGGCAAAGCAAGACTGAGGAATCCTATACCTGGGTTTCTTTTGGAGAAGCTGGGCTTCTTTTTCTTGCTTTGCGTGGCTCTCGAACCACAGAAAAGGGCTCTCATTGTCCTCATAACCAGCATCACGAAGGAGCAAGCCCAGATCTTTCCTAGGAGCCTCCAGCACTTTTGCGGTACCCAATAACGCAAACTCCTGTGCGTATTGGTTTAAAGGCCAATCTTCTTCTGTCACGAGTCCAGCAGCTGCTTCACTAGCTCTAGTACCAACTCCAGACTCACTCGACTTCGAGCTCATCCTTCGTCCTCCTTGAAGTTGTCCTGAAGACGGTCTACTAGTAGAGTTCTTGTCAGCAGCCGACCACTGTAGTGCTGCGTTCTTCTCCGCTGCTTGCACAATCGGGCAGGCCTTTGCTAGATCATCGGTGATTCGCTGATGCGCGGCTTCCAGCTCCTTAGCGTACTGCTTCTCGAACTTATACAGTTCTCGAAAAAAATGCGGCTGCGTCTTTCCCAGGTCTCTCACTCCTGCAGTCTTCTCTGGATCGTCCTCCAAATTTACAACGGTTTCGCCGAAACAAGTCCCAGTATTGACAGCAGTGGAATTCGGGTCGTTGAGACAAGAACTAGAGTTAACGGCAGTGGCGCTCCCACTGTTACCTAGTACAGCATTTTCTTGTTCGTCTCTGTCGGCCACAACATCCCCTGCTGGAGTTGTGCTATTCCCTATCACAGTAGCATTTGGGCTTGGTGCTGGTGTAAATTGCGCAGATGCGGCGCAAGAAGTACCATCAGATTTATTGCCGCAGCTCTTCATCGACTTGGAGCGAGTACATGTTGAAGCAGACGAGCCAGAAGACGAAGACGCTTTGATTGCCTTTTGGCTCTTACTCTTTGCGTGTGCTCGTTCTTTTTTGCTATTCTTGTTATGATCCACTGCATTACTAGTCTCTTCAACTTTCGTGTTTGCATTCTTGCGTGGTCTGCCTCGCTTTGCACCTTGTCCAAGTCCATCCGCAGAAGTCGAAGATGCCTTACCCTTTTTAGGCACGGCTATCACCTTTTCCTTCTGCTTTTCATCGAACGCAGCGACACGTTCCGAAACTAAAGCTTTGTCTATCTCAAACTTGTCGGCAAAATGCGCGTCCTGAAGGTCGCGTAAGAAATCTAGAAATTTTTCCCTCCGTTCAACGTTTACGAAAGGCACTTTGTCTCTATTCCGCAGACTGGGCTCATTGTTCCCGCCAACGGTCGTAGACTTGCCGCGATCTAGCGTGCACAGCCGTAGCACGATGTGTACGGGGGAACTTAGAGCGTTACTGTCGATGGGAAAATAGAAGTAGAAGAGCAAATGGAAACATAGAAGAGAAAAAGGAAGACGAAAATCGTACTACTGGCCGGAAGATGAAACTGAAGATCTAATCTGCATTGGCATAAGTACTTAGATTGGGAGTTCACAACTCTACTAGTAATCCACAAAATTAACGCTCAAAAAAAATTGTAGTCGTGGGTCATAACTTCCCATCCATTCCGATGCGCTCATAGAGGTCTCTTAGATGTAGAAAACGTGTTCGCTGATTTACGTTTCTTATCTGGCATTCCTCCTTCTCCAGGATTTCTGCTTCTTCTTCCATATTACAAGCCAGAAAATCTGACAAGTCGTCGGCTCGTTTAGTTGGGCTGTCAGTCCTGAAGTATGTTGTAGGTATGTCGATCCCCAAGTTATGAATCATGCTACCTAGGCATCAATATACTTATAAAGATCACCGTAAGTAAGTAAAAAGAGTTGTATGTTAAGTCAGCCAATGAATAGTCTAGTACAAGAACCAAATCTACTGGAGTGAAGTTTTTACTTGCATACTTCTTCGTCTTGTAGTAGAGCAGGTAAGTACTTCTACTTCTAGGCGAAGGCGGTCAAAAGATACTAAGAAGTTTTCCGACAAGTAGAAAACACATACTTAGATACATAAACGCCATCTATTCTACTTCTAGTTCTTAACAAGCAATACAATAGTATTACTCTCCGTCCCTTCTCGTCGATGGAAACTCCCAACAGCAGAGAAATTCTAGCACTGGCAAGAACTCGCTATTGAGCGTGCGATGCTCTATGTCCTTTTTGGTGCACACAAGCCCGCTAGGACAGACCTCGATATTAAGCTGAATGTCTTCGAGTCTTGTTTCATCTTCGGAGCCCTTGCCTGTTTTGAGAATTTATGAGTTTGATATTTCCGAACTTAGGAGAGATCAGAATCAGGCGCACGTATTTTTGCTAACTAGAAACAAGAGAATCAACTTAAGTACTTGCTCACAAGGAACAAGACCATATCCAACGAGAATGATGAGAAACTAAGGGTAGGGTGAAAGGAAGCAACTACCTGTGTCAAACGGAAACGAGAATTATGAGAAACTAATACTAAGGGTAAGGTGTGCACACTAGTACACATCGAATCCACGAAGCGTATAGCTGGCGCTGACGCTGGGTCTCCATTCCTGCTCTCCAAAGCCAGTTTTCTGTCCAAAAAAAGCATGCCTTTCTGGATACCAGATCGGATCTGAATGGCTGGCAGAGCTCCAGGCAAGACCAGACCATGGACGCGCTCTAGTCTCGCATGAATATCCGTCAGAGTGCCCAAGTCAATTCGCCCAGCGCCATCGGACAGAACAGCGCCATTCTGTTTGCTGACCAAATCAGGATCGAGCGCGCGCCGATCTGCGTCCACTGGCATAGTCCTGAAATGCCTGGAAGAGAGAAGCTGGAAACGGGCCATGTACTTCGCTGGCTTCAGGATGCTGACACGAGGGTCGGAGGTATGAACGCGGAAGTACTAGGATAGGAAGACTTATTAATCAAAGAAGAAAACGCCACACGATCATGAGGGAAGTACTCTTTTGTGCTCGGCAAGTAAAATAAGGGAACAAATACTCTTTTGTACTCGGCAAGTAAAATAGGAATCTGCTTCTACGGAAGATCAGAGGACGTCCCGTCGGTGCTCAAAAAATAGACCCACGAAGATGAATCAGTCTTTTCGTCCACCAGAAGAGAAACCCTACTGCCATATCTCAAAGGCATGTGCCACTCGCGTAACCTTTCCCCGACACTAGCAGCGTCCTCACCGCGTTCCGGGAAATACTGGACGAACAACATTTTCCAGTTCGATGCGAACTCGTGATGTGCTGCCAGAAAGGCAAAACATGCGGCGCCGTCTCTCTTATCCAGTAGTTGCAAGGCTCGAGGAAAGTCGTCAATTCCACACTTCCTACGTTCAACAGACAACGTGTTTCTTCTGAAGGTAGTCGTGGTTGTTGGTGAAGGTGATGATGGTGAGTCTTTGGCGTCTGCGTTTCCAGGAGCATATGCACTTTCTACTATTTCGTGGGGCAAGCAGTGCTGATATCGCGCTTTCCACCTCTCTTTTATTTTGCGCACGCGAGCGAGCAGTCTTCGCGTTTTGCCATCGAGGTTGCTACCACAGGTGCTAGCGCACTTGTTCTTGAATGATTTGCTCGATGAAGACGCCGCTTGAACGCTCGTATTCGCTTTGGCCTCGACTGCTGCCTTCTTGGTGTTTCCAGTCGTCTTTTTCTTCGCACTCTGGAATTCGAGAGCAATGGTGCCCGTACTAGTTGATGAGTTGCCTTCTATCGCCGGCACGGCCACGGGCACTGTCTTCTTCTTAAACAAGTGATCCTTGTTCTTTGTTCCGCCTTCCTTTGATACAGGCTTTTTTCGAGGCGCACCAAACTGTGGCACAAATCGCGTTGGTGGAACAACCACCCCTATACATCGACGTCTCTCGCTCTGACATTTCTCGATCAGTCGCGTTGTGAGCGTCTTATGGCTACCTTTACCGAAATAGCCTCCCACAGCGGTTTTGTTCTCGCCATAATCGTCAGCAGGTGTAACCCGAAAAATGTTCCTGATAGCAGCCACCTCCTCTAGCGAGCGTTCTGGGTAGCGCGGCCCACGCCGAGGTCCTGATTTTATCTTCTGTTCTTGAGACTTCTGTGCACCTTCAGGACCACTCAGAGGGTCGCCTTCGTCCACCTCTTGGTCGACAGACTTTAGAGGTAGGCTTTTGGTGCTCGCTTGCCCCGCTTGTTATGCCTTTCTCACCCTAAGGGAGAGAGGCATAAAAAGCGGTAAGAAAAGCACCTTAAAGGTGTACCCTTAAAGACTCTTCATGTTCTTCATCGTCCTCCTGCTCATCAACATCCTCATCATCATCAGCCAACAAATCATCCTCCATATCGTCGAGTCGTCTTCCTTTGCCTTTCTTCTTCGGCACTGCGACTGGTCGAGTGTGCTCCTTCTTACCCTTACCTTTCTTGCCTTTGCCCTTGCTCTTGACATGAAGATCTTTCTTATTTTTACTGGCATCGTTGCTCTTGACATGAAGATCTTTCTTATTTTTACTGGCATCGTTGTCACCAGCAGCTTGAGAGTCAAACCAGACATCCTTTCCATGGTCTAGCAACGACATGTACTGCGGCATTACTGCGAGGGCACTGCGTTCTTGCCCACGGTCGGTGATCTCGCGAAGGTAGCCACTCGCATCGGTTGTGATTGCTTTGCGTCGAAGTCTAGGACCACTGTAATGTGAAGACGACGATGTTGTCGTGCTGGAGGATGCTACACGGCCGCGTGCATCATTTCCAATTCCAACTCCAGAAGTCCTCGAGTAGCTGCCACTACTTCCAAGTCCAACGGTCGTAAAATCCCCCACTTCTTCGAACAGGTACGAACTCCATGTGTACGCGATTCCATCTCTGTCATCCAGAACCCTATCCAATATCGCTTTCCCTGCTACTTCGTGATCTTTCTTACCTCCCGCACGCGCACTCGCATCCGGCACTGGAATAGCATGACACTCGCCGAACATCTGCCGCCAATCCAGGTCCACCGGCATCGACCGTCGCCAAATTCGGTACTGACGATTGCGCTGACTGAAGAAGTCAAAGCAGGAAGGCAGGAGTAGTCCGGTTGCGAAGTCTACGCCAGCGATGAGGCAGGTTTGGGCTTGCTCGATCTGGGCCGCCGAGAGTTCTTTTGAGGTGCATCTGGACTCTCTTGTTGCCCTAGAAGTTGATCCTTCACCATAGTCTCCAAGTGTTGCGTCTCCAAGGGTTCCATCTCCAAGTGCTGCTTCTCCAGGTGTTTCATTTCCTACATCCTCGCTATCGGCGACGCCGAGGCCACAGTTGTCAAAACAATGCTCTGCCATAGTTGGTCTTGTCTCGTTCTAAACCACAAAACACGCGAGGCAAACTCCAACCTCCCTAAACTAACTCCACAGAATGCAATCTTCTCCTTGCGCGTTGATGCGGCGAAGCCTCGCCGATAAAGAATGCGAGTGCGGCTCACATGGTCATGTTGATGCGATATATCATAAATATGCCGTTGGATTTCATGATCAGTAAAGAAAAGACCATACTAGATACGAAGATAATGTATCAAATAATGTGAATTCTACATTGTTGTAAAGATACGCATGTCTCGAACAAGGTCAACACAACATCATGATTAAGTTAAGTAGATTATTGAGTACGGACAAATCCCAACCACAAAGTATACTTCTTGAAAGTCTACTATTCCCATCTTCCGTTTATTTCACGACGCTAAGACATTCCAAGCACGCAATTCATGAACTCGTTCCATGACCCAACAACGGTCACATAGATATATTCGCTTCTAGTGGTAGAAGTAGCCACGGTTCTGATTGGCTGTGATTTATCAACCTAGTCAAGGATCTTGAATCCGAGGCTACTACCAAGTGGTGAAGTACTTAACCTCTACAGAAAACGTTTTCTGAAGGCTGCTTTTTTCTTTGATCGTTATCTCCTGTGAGGTCTGCTCTTTTCTTCGCTTTCACCTAGTGGTAGTAGCCACGGTTCTCTTTTTTCCTTCTACAGACCAATATGCAAGGTGGATCTCATAGAATCCTGATCCTTCATCTATGGCTGTGCAATCAACAGCGAAGACCAAAAATGACCACGGGATCGTGCTAGAAATTCTAGCGAGTCTGCGATCTAAAACCGCTGGACAAACCCAACAACAAGCGCGGGCTCCTTTCGCCATGTTAAGCGCCTCGAACACGACACTTGGTGCACCTCAACTCTTTTTGCTTATATGCGGTGTCTTCTCGCGAGTATCAGTCTGCTGTAGTTCTGTCCCATCGCACACCATAGGCGCTGTTTCAAAGTCAATCTGTGCAATCATGTTCAGTTAATCGCGGAGCTGCCCGCTTTTGTCGTGTTCATCCATTTTCCTCCTAGTTACTTGCTGCGCCAAAAGAATAGACATAAAGAAGGAAGCTGAGCAACTGGGGAAAGTTGTATACGTCGGAAAAATCGGATAAATTTAAATACAGGTGGTAGTAGCAAAGATACATCAATGGAATAAAACTATAATTCGTAGATGATCATGTTCAATGGAAGTAGCAAAGATACATCAATCAAATTATAATTCGTAGATGATCATGACGTCAGCATGTTTGTTCTCACAATACGAAGACTTTTCCTCTTGTCCTCGTAAAGCACGTCCATCCACGTGCTGGGTAAGCAGTGTTCTGTGAGGCACAGGTAAGCGGCAAATGAAACTATGAGGGTCAAATCCAATCCCGCGACAAACACCAAAGATACTAGTGGTATGAGCCAGCAGCTGAGCAGTCTCGGTGTCGCTTGCGTCTGTAGGAACGGCAAGGCTTGATCAAGGATCTTCCTCGTTTTCTCCTGGTCCTCTGGCTTTCCACTCGACGACGACCACGATGGCGGGCTTGCCCCGTACAGAAAAAACGGTAATGACCGCACAAACGTCGACTTCGTAAAGGCGAAGATAATGAGCAGAGAAGCTGCAATCAGCTGGCCTCGAGGAAGATGCGCACCCGGATACAGCTTGGCCTCTTCAACGCAGTCTCCCACCATTGCGAAAGGAGTGTAAAGCTTGTCTAGAACGTCTTCAGTCGTTTCTGCAACTAACATCGCACTTCTGCTACTGCGGAAAAAGAGTTGGGTGATAGTGACAGAAGCGTTGGTAAGGGCCGTGGAAAGAGACTGTCGAAGGAGGTGGACGAGGTTCCTTAGAAGAGAAGGACAAGTTTTGCATTCGTGAAGATAGTGTTGGCCGCTAAAAGCAAACACGAGTTCTATCTTGTAACACCTAATAAATAAAAAAAGTTTGTGGATAAAAATTAGCGGACTGAGTCTGAGATGGCTTAAGAAAGTCCTTGCATCATAAATCTAAGTCTTCTCCAGCGCTTCCTCCGAAGAAAAGCTTGCTGATGAATCCCGGTATCGACGAGGCAAATATCGCCACGTTCAACAGCAACACCGGTACGCACTTCCCAAATACTTCCATTGCTTTTCCCACAAGCGAAGTCGTGCCTCGAAACTGATTGCAGAAGTTTTTCCGGCTGCTCTCCAAGTCTTCGTCTCCCACTCGATATTGGAAGCCTAGCATATACCGGATGCTCTCGCTGTCTCCCGTTTTCTGCACTCCATGCATCACTCTGGTGCCCTGAAAAACGAGACCGTCGCCGACTTCGTTGAGAGGGACTTTGTGGAGGCGACCATCGAAATCGTAGTAGAGAAACGGAGCTACTTCGCCACTCGCAGACCGTTTTATGAGAAACAAGCATCGAAAGCAGTTCCAGGGCTCAGTGTCGTAGTGGAACCCGAAATTGGCATTCTGACCCTCGTAGCGGAGGAGACAACACCTGGATATGAACGATGTGGTCAAATCGCCCGTTATAAGAAGAAGCTTCTATTCAATGTGAAAAAAAATATGTTTTCTAATTGACTGAGCGGTAAAAGCATCTGAGAAAATCACAATTCTCCCCGATAACATGATGGCTCCTGTATCTACGGTCAAAGTACTTGAAGTCGCTTGATCCTAGATGGAAGCTAGACGGATCTGCAAGGCCTAAAACTCGCGCCAGCGGCTCTCGTAGTGATTCGCCGACGTCTAGCATGATCTGCTTCCCCTCTGGTGTGAAATCGTTGAAATACAACGTCGCTCGCGTTGAGAACTGACCGCCTGCCATCCTGGTATGTTTATGGTATGCGATGACGATGACACTACCTACAACATCTAGTGAATATGGCTCTGTTGATACCATCACGGCACCAGCTTGAGTTTGCATTTGCTACACTAGGCAAGATACCAGAAGCTGCTATCCAAATGGAATATGTACTTCGAGAGCCATGCCGACTTGGTATTGAGTCCTTGCACCTCTCGGAAATATTTCTGCTGAGGGCCGTTTGTTTCGCACATATGCAGGACTTTCTCCACATCCTCTCGTCTCAAGACAGTCGTTTGCTCGGGATGCAGTGGCGTTTGTGAAACAAAGCGAAGAGAAGAAGAGGAAGTAGATGGTGAAAGTGCAGAGATGGACGACTTTGGTGTTCTTGTCGTGTTCGAGGTGGTATCTTCATCTTGATGACTCAAAAGAAGCGCAGGCTGCTCTTTCGCAACTACTTTTGGACTCCCGGTTATGCTGCTACGCCGTTTCGTCGGTGATGGCGACTTACTCCGGCTACCTCCTATTGCTCTACTGGTGACGCTGACCCGTCTCTTCACGGTGGTGTCACTTCCCTTATCCAAATCGCCGCCTCCTCCTTCAGCACTCCTCAATCCAATTAGAACAGGCGCATTGAGGACGCGCCACGGAAACCGCGAGCCCGTCGCTGCATGATGAAGGACCCTACGGAACAGCCGTTCTCCCCATAGGTCTGGAATACCCAGGATATCGAGCAAAATCAGCAAAAACAATGGCCCGAGGAAGACTGGCGCCGAAAAGTAGTCTTGTATTACATCTACAGGCAGGATAGAAGTAGCGGAGTTCGCGTCTGCCAATAATGACTCGACCCAAGAGGTGAAGTCGGCCGTCGAAATAAACGAGGACATTACTTTTTCTAGGTTGTTTTCAACAAAACAAGAATGTCACAATCACGAAATAACTGGTGCAGCTTAGACGACTTCATTTACAACATACACACCATACTATTACTACAGTATCAAGAATTGTCTGATCTGTTTTTACTCCTACTTTCACCTCTAAATTTCACAGTCAGGTTCAGAAGGGAGTGCACGCGAAACCGCGGTCGGTCTTTACGAATTTCACATTTACAAAAGACAAAATGAAACAATGTAAATTTTCCAACAACAACTGATCTATGCTCCCTTGCAGCGCACCTGTTTGAAGCAAGAAAGTTCTTGTTCCGGAAAAACCAAGATGACCGAAACGAAAAATAATTGTCAAACAAAAACAACTCCGTCGTATCGTCCGCGGTTGTGACCGTATCCGCGGTTGAGAACACTAGAAGACTTGTTTACTTATCAGTCAAGAACCAGGTCGTTCCAGGAGGACTTTTATTAGCAATCCTTGTTTATTCTTGCCTATCATAGAAAGTCTGAAAAAGTTGGCATGAATCTGAAAAACGGTTCAAAAAGGGATCAAGAATCTTCACAATTACCTGTGCCCAGGCAGCTTGCGGCAACAGACTGGGCAATTTCATTATGTTTTCGAGTCGCTCTACAGCAGAAGATGTAACCTCAAATATTACAGGTAGTACATTTATTTCTCGAATCTGTACAGTTTGCTAGTTCTGTGCGTCGTTAGGTGTCAAAATAGTCTGAACATCTGATTTCTACATGTAAGGGTTAGGGTTTAGGGCCTATGCCCTTCCTCAGCTCTTCAGGTATCTTTCTCGCATCTTCGGTACCTACCACCTATTTTTGCCATCATCATCAAATGCGGCTCAAGTCCACAATTCAACTACAACTACAACGGGTTCCAGCAGCTCAACCAATTTTCTGAGACTGATAGATATTCATATTCCTTCTAGTACCTACCTTTATTTCACCCCACCGTGCAGTCATCCTGCGGCCCTTCCGTCTCAGCTCGGCAGCCGGCGCAAATACTAGGATCATTTCCTAGCATTGTCATCTCGGAGGCGTCATAGGTCAGGGATGCGCTGTCCTCCTCCATCTCTAGGGAGGTTGATAACCTAGATTGAGTATCCTGTTCTTGGAGGAAACTCATACCTCCCTGTTGACTCTCTGCTTCATTTTCTGAGCTTGTCTCCTCCTCGTTCTCTCCCTCCACTGCTGGTGTCGTTCCCGCAACATGCTCCCCCACGCCAAATTTCTCCATCAATGCTCGAAAACTCGATAGAAGAAAGCTGCTGGCGGAAGCCCTTCTGCGTTGATTAGCGGAGGTTGTTGAACATAATGTTCTACAACTCTAGGATTAAGAACAGTCGATGGAGAACTTGTTGAACTCGCTGCTCCTCTTCTAACTATCCCGTCATGTGTATGTCCCTGTTATGGCCATTCTTGATCACCGTAGAGACAGAATGGCAGCTGACACAAGGTCAACTCCCACAACTAATGCCCACCCTATATCATATTTGTAGTACGATATATCAAATTCATATCACATACGTTGTCCATCAACCTATCATGCATACGTACTTCTGCCTTAACTTTCATCTTCTTAACGTATCTGGACTTGTTTCCATCGCTTTTCTTGTCGCCCTTTCCAAGGTTCAGGCAATGCTTGTGGCACGTCTCACAGGTCATGGCTGCAGCAAAATTTTGACAGTTGTGCTGCCAGTCCCTGTTGTAGTCGCGTGAAGCCTTGCCTCCAGCAGCGTCGAAGACTGAACCCATATCGAGAATGAGGTCTTTGAGATTAGAGAAAGGAAATGGGAACAAAGGAGTTTTTACTAAGCCTAAGCAAAAGCAAAGAAAGCGGCCCATAGATAATGATGATGATCTCAGAGAAGGGATTCACTCCTACTAGTTGTAGTTGGTATCTATAGAAGCACTCCTAGTTGTACTAGTTGGTATAGAAGTACTTACGTACTAGGAGTCCACCTGATGGATGACTACATTGAGACATTCTAAGAAGCCTCCATAGTATTCCTGATCTCCGGATTCTCAAAGAACGCTTCTGCAGCGATGATCTTCATGTAGACCGAACCGGAATAAAGAAATGTTACCGTCTCATCAGGAAAGCGAAGACCTGTTTGTGGGGAGTTTGGAGGATGTATTTGTACTTGCAGCTTTCAAAAAACAGAAATTTAAGCAAGTCTAAATGATCGGAATATCCGAGATACTGAACGAGGAAGACAAAGAGTAGCCCGCTAAGGCTACCTCCCTTATTTCAGTCAGTAACTCGGTTATTTTGAGTTTTCGAATAGTAAGAAATGGAAGGTGATAGCAGCTTGCTAAAGAGCCACCAAAAGCCAATAAGATTATTATACTCTGTTCTTTCATTTCTTGTTTTAATCTGTTCTTTGCCCTTTGATCGCACTCTGAGCTCTCGTGAGGAGGTGGAGCAGCCAGAAACGCCCGTTTTGTCGGAAGCCAGCCGTAGTATGAAGAAGAAGAAGAAGAAGAAGAAGATGAAGAAGATGAAGAAGAAGAAGAAGAAGAAGAAACGTCACGGTTAGTGACTGATAATATTTGGAATATTATCTGTAGCTAGTGCGATATCTTTTATACCACGACCACGTATACCAGCTTCTATTGTCAATCTAAGTCAGTCCCACGAGCTCTGCGACCGAAAATTGGAAACCTTCAGGTGAAAATTATCTTTCACGATTTCCTTAAGCACGATAGTGACCGCAAATGGGGCGGACCAATCAGGACCAGTGGTCGTTTCCCCACCTCCAGCATCGATCTCATCGGATCCAAGAGAGCGTCGGGATGAAACAAGTAGAAGATATCGCGAGACCAAGGTAGGTCCTTGTGCTTGTTGCTCCTCGATGTGATATGTTAGACGAGTTGTAGTCGTGAGTAGTAAAAAACTATTGCAGGAGGATAGCTTCTATCGATGTATCATAGTAATTATATCTAAAAGTTGTTCCCCTTGATGTACAACGAGTATTGACTATTACAGCCTCACCTCTGCAGACTATCAAGAGGGGTATGTCTGAACACATCACTGAAAGAGGAGATCATGAACGAGTTGTTCCCATTTTCCAATTTCTCCTCGAGTAAAGATCCACGTCCACTTCCTTTGAAAACAGCCCCCACGTATGATCTTCAAGCATGTCAAAAACTCTTCAACCAGCAAGCCCATAAGCACTTCCAGTTCCGCCATTGCGACGCAGTAGTTTCGCGCCATTAAAAATAGGACCTCCATGCCTTCCTTGCCAGGATAGCAAATCGCTGGCAAAATTCTCCACGCGATTCCGCATATCCTAGAGTTAGAGGGTTGTGTGATCATGATTTCGCATAATAAATATTCTACGATTAGAAGAATGATGGGTGGTAATTGGTCGAAGTTCTTGTTCATAATCATATTTCTCGTTGATAAATGAAGTACCAGTTAAGATGACGGACGTATGCCTTGCTGATATTTCGGCTTCTTCAGTTGTACTCACTCTCACTTAACCACCTGCCTTACTGATATTTCGGCCTCTGCGAACAGAGAAAGAAGTTTCCGAAGTCGCGATGAAGTTGCGTAGTCTGGGCAGCAACCACTCTAGAGAACTGCTCCGATATGCAAGGATTTTTGAGGCTCAGGGTATTAGAGTGGAAGGTAGTGGAGGTGTGTACAGGGGGGGAAGTCGTGGTGGAAGAGGAAGAAGAGTGTTTAATATAAGAAGAGTGTTTAGGACTTACACTTAGTTAGTACTTCTTCCCAAGCACGGTTAAGTAATTGGGAAGCCCTCTGTTCTTCTCGTGGTGGGAGTCAGCGAGTGATCCTTGAGTAGGTAATCATGTCATCTCCACTGCTGCTGAAGAGTACTACTCGTGCGCTGACTACTCATACACATACACCGCAACCCTTTCTCTTAATAGAAGACGTCCGTGTGAAAATCGGCTGGAAGTCTCTGCCTCGTGGCGAAAAAAAAAAACGCTTCTCATGAAGATCTTCCGGTTTGAAGAAGTCTGAAAACCTCTTCTTTTTCCTTGTAGATGATTCAGATTCTCTTAGCGATGTTGAAGATCTCCTACTAGTACTTCTAGATCTTCTTTTTGTCTTCTTGGAAGCGCCTGAAGGAGGTCCTAATTCATCTTGTGCAGCTGCATGTAATCTAGTACTATTTCTTCGAGTTCCCTTCTTACCTCTAGCACTAGCACTATTCCCCCGTCTGGCAGCACTGCTACCCACCACCCAAACTCCACTCCTGCGTTCTCCCAGTGACAACATCCCAAAAATTGCATTCGCACGACCCTTAGCTCTTTTCATGTCGTCGTCAAAATTCAAGAGGCCCATCTCGCTATCCCCCAAACGCACTTGCGCAAACCCATTGGGGACGATCCGGATACTGGAATTCACGTAATTGTCGAAGTACTCTTCTAGATCCCGGAAGTATTGAGGCACTGGCGTTGCGATTTTCTCAAAGGAAGACACTGCCTTAGAGGCGGTGGAGGAGGTCGTTATTTTCCTCAACAAATCATGCAACAAGTTCGTTTTCACAATTTTTAACAACAAATACAGCGTGAACGCGTTACATTACTATGAAAGAAAAAAGTGCTCTCACACTCAAAAAAAGTGGCTATTTTCCTACATAAATCCTAGCCAATTTCTTGAGTGTGAGTGCACTTTTTCGTTTCATAATTACATGGAGCCTATCATTGGCAAGCATACCAACACCTAGACTATACGCTGACACCCTGCTACCTCAGAAGTTGGAGGAAGTAACGAAGCGCAACGATGAAAAAAAGTTAGCAAAGATTCAAAGCCATGGAGTCACCAGAAGGGCGACAGGGCGGCGAATCGGAGGAGACCCAGCTGAAGCTCACTATAAATTTAAAGATAAACATTTGGGGTTGCCAATGTTAACCACGACACGACATCTCTTCGTCTTCACCATATAGAAGTATGTACTCCGGTACTACTTGACCTTATCAGTATTTTCAATCATAATTTGGCATGCTTCATTCTTCTTCTTCAGTTTTCCCTCTTGCTGAAGCTGTATGGCTCGTTTCGAATGCAGTCGCCCTTTCGTTTTCATATCTACCACGTTCTGTATTTCCTCTTCCTGCTCGGCGTCTATCCGAAATTGGTGGAATGGGTTCAGCTCTTCTGGTTTTGTACTCGCCATGGAGAAAGATTCTACTAGGGATTGATTAGAAGTGGTGAAGGTCGGGTCAAGTAAAAGTGCAGTGGATCCTCGTGGTTTCATTATGATGAATGTGTTGTCCGCACTAGAAGAATTATCGTCTTGGTGTTGTGAGAGTGAGAGATGGTTACACTGTGCAGAAAGCAGCGAGATGGAGTTATGGTGCCGATCGTTCCTCAGAAGTCTCGTTCTGTCAATTCGCGATCGCGACGTAAGGAGTTATTGAAAAGCTAGTGAGTCCTTCCTTAAAAAGATGTCCCGCTGTCAGAGGCAATGGCGGGTTCTCGAAGAAGATCATCAACCTATCTGGGTCAGTCGGCACGTAGGCAGATGAAGATGAACGATGATATCCTTGGTGCTGACTCCTTGTTGTACTTGATGTTGCGTTTCTAGTACGTGAAGATGTAGATTTTGTAGTTGCAGCCACTACTGCACTTCTGTAGTAGTTACCCATCTCCTGCTCCATCTTGTTCTCAGATTCGTCTTGTTCAGCGTCCATTGGTTCTGAGACTGAGTCTTCTTCATCCTCAACACCGTCTTCGTGAGTAATCGATGACTCTTCCTCTCCTTCATCTGAATCTTCACCTTGTTCCCTATCGCTATCATGATTACCTATTTTTGAAGTCTGCTCCAGGTCATCTTCATCGTCATCAAGGTCATCTTCACCTTCTACTAGTACTGAAGAAGAAGTAGAGCCTTTATGTCGACGTCTTCCTTCTTCACGTTGTGATGTTGTTGGCTTTGTAGCGGCATTGCAAGGACCAGATACTATGGCCATCGACACCAGAAAAGTGGTCGTCCATCTCCGCCGCCTGGTCATTTTGATCTGAGACTCGTCTCGCTCTAGGAGCAGTGTCGGACTTCAATCTACTAGTACTCGAGGTAGCATCATGCAACTGCAACTGGTGGAGACTGCAACTGCTAGCTAATGCTCGTACTTATCGAACATGGACCACGACTACAGCCCACTTGTAAAAAATCTTGTATGTACGAAGCGCGCGCCACCTCTTCTGCTTAGTAGCCGTTTTTCTCTACAGACTTGTTTTGACGGATTTTTTGATGCTCCTCTATTTGATGCCAAACGCACTAGCTCCAGAGACTCGCTTTTGCAAAAATGTCGAATGACGGGGTTCGGGTTTTGTTCCCATACGCAAGAATCATGTTGAATGGCTCCTGTGGTAGCACAGTTTGCACCAAGAATCAACATAATGCTTCGTTTTTCAACATCTTAGTCCAATGAGTACGGATACGGTGGAGTCGGTAACTCTTGCATCAAGATAGCTTGAAACTACACGTATCTTTGCATGAGTCATCATCTTGTAACAAGCGTAATCCTTCCACATCAATGAATGTGCACAATGACAATGTCAATGTCAAGCTCTTCCTATTATCTGACGGAAGATCATGGAACGAAGGAAATCAAAAATATTGAAATAGGTTGATAACAGTTAATATCTTCGTGGCAAAAAAGGGCGATGTCTTCGTCTTGGTTAGATTTCAAAAATTCAAACTTTTTTTTTTTGAGTTTTTGATCATCTACTCACGTAGCATTAGCGTTTCCGTTAGCATAAATAAGCGCTTGATTTTGAAATGCAAGTCGTGAAGCCTTCAGAAGGAACAAACAAGTAACTCCAACCTGTTGATGACTGCCACGCGGCGATGGATTTTTGTGTTAGTTTGGACATATGCTCGTCGAGTCATTTTTCTACGTAAACGTTCTTGCGCGCCGAAGGTGCTGTCTGGTGACTCTGAGGACACTGATCATGATACTAGAACTTACGAATTTATTAATAACAGGTTACGGTTGGAGGTGATCATTGAGTTGTAAATTTTAATGCGACGTTGGAGGTCAGAAGAGTGAGAATGATTATACTTGCGGTATTCATTCTATTTCTACAGATGCTCGATGTTTCATTCTTGATTGTCTAATTCTTGATACTTTCTAGTTTGGATTTACAGAGTATCGCGAAAAAGGAACGACCAAGAAAGTAAAGCAAGCTTTAGCTTACTTCTGTAGCCATAATTCAACACGTCCTCTACTTTTTTTCTTCATAGCCTCTAATTAAATCAACATTTTGCACTCTCGTTTAGGGACTTTGCTAGACGAAGAGGCCTTCCGTATTTGCGTCGTTTTACTTCTAACTCTTGCTTAAGATCTTTAATTATCCCTCCTTTATTTTCGACTACTAGGCCTAGTCAGTACATTTAGTACATTGATTAAGCAGGAAGGTGTTGTAGATGAAGATAGTAGTAGTACGCCTCCTGCTAGCATGTTCTTCTCTTAAGCGTGTGTTCTCGTTCTTTCCAGCTGCATATCCTGTAACAAGAATCACTCCAGCACCATTTCATCAACTTGCATAATATCCTGAAACAACTACAGCACCTCCCATGGTGTCTCTTGTGCCCTGCAGTACTCATCGACTTCCTTGACCGTATAGAACTCGCCTATGACATGCGCATATCGGACAAAAGAGCACATCGGATTCACTTCCAGCAAGTAGTGGCCATCATCACACAGTGCGAAGTCACTTCCTAACATTGGGATTTCAGGAGTTTGGTCGTGCAGCCACTGGACACTCTTCAGCACGTCAACAAATTCGGGGATCGGAAGCCAAGAAGAAGCACTAGCACTAGGAGTTATGAAAGGAAAAAGTGCACTCAGACACAAGAAATTGACTAGAATTCAAGTGGGAATGTAGCTACTTTCTTGAGTGTGAGTGCACTTTTTCCTTGCATAGGAGTAGTTCTTTTTTTATTCGAGGAGCTACTAGGTCGTGGAATGCGGATACCGTATGTGGTCAGTGCGCTGCTAGGGCTTTGTGTTGTAGTCGGCTTGGTAGGTGGATACTTTTGGTTAGAACAGGTCCGCTGTCGTGGTAGAAAAAAGTATAGATACTTACTGTACACAACAGACGACCTCCATTGATGTTGAACAATGATAGTGTCGCATGAAGATACCTCTTACCATCCACAATACTACTCAGAAGATACTTTACAGTACTACTAGAACCTCGATAACATCAAGCATAACTTCAATCAACTTCGCATTTTCCGGTATCGGTTCGATCTTGTAACAGGAATTCTGTTTGCTATTCGAGATATCCTCTCCCGCCTGCCCAACTAAAAGGGCCGCCAAAAATTCGTCCCGCTGCTCTGCTCCACGATACCGTTTCGTCCACACACGGAGAGTCACCAGAGGATGGGTCAGGGCTGTTGATGGAGATACGCATGGAGGAGTACTTCTTTCTGAAACAAAAAGGGGTTAGAAAATGGGAACATAATTCGATGAAGGAGTATTGAGTATGTAAGTGTTTCCAAAAAAGATAAAGCAGAATAGCAACTACATTAGGAGGATTAGCATTAACTTTATAGCCATCAAGCTCAAGCACAAGCTCCTTCTTTTCTTGAGTATAGCACGAAGTACATTTCGTTATCCCTGCTTGTTTCATTGCATGCTGCAGACGTGTCGAATTCTGCAGGAGCTGTTCGAACAAAAGGAAGTTCAACCGCTTATCCGACCATTCCCCTTTGCCTCTGTTCTTGGGATTAGATAGCTACCTCTCTAGAAGTAGAGATCGTAATTTAAATATGTATTTCTCAGCAAAAAATGTTGTAGGTGTTTCGATAATGTAAGTAGATGATACGTCGCTCGGTCGTATAATCTCGTTAGTGTTGTACTCGCCTTAATCACAATACTCACCAAGTCCCGGATGTGGCAGTCTTCCCCATAGGCGCCTTTCTTTGGCTTCACGAAGACTGGAAAAGTGTCCACACTAAGGTCAACGAATTCCATGTCTTCGACTGCTGTAGAGGTTGCGATATTGCATTCCTCAGCTCATCCTTGATCCTCCTCCTACTGCAAAATGCATGGAGGATGGTAGTGAGGAATGCAATGTCGAAACCCTTAACTAAAGGGAACATGCGAACGACAGGTTTCGTCGATGAAGAAGATCCTCCTTTCTGCTCTTTCGCGGCATGATCTACCACGTTGTTCTTACTTGAAGATACAGAAGTTGTGACAGTTGATGTAGAAGTGACAGTTGATGGTGATGTGTCTTCTGCTTTGCGAGCAGAGCCTGCAGCGACACCAGTTGCTATATTACCAGTTGTATCATTGTTGACGCTCTCTTCTCCGCTACTTGCAGTCGTCGCTTCATCCTCTGAACATGAGGGGTTCGAGCATTTTTGCTCAATGAGATCCTTTGATGAAGATCGCTTAGAAGCCCGTCTGGTGTAGTGAATTAAGTCCAACATACTCATTAACATTAGATTTTTTTTGTTATGTTAATATACTTATTCTCATTAGATTTTTTTTGTTATGTTAATATCCTGGTTCTTGATCTTCATCCATCCTTCCTCATAACACTGTGTTCACTGGCTTTGCAGGTGCAGCAACAGTGTCTCCTGCTGAGGCAAAGCCTAGTGGTCCCAAGCCTTGTTTTGATGGACTTTGTTCGCTTTCATTCTCCGAACTCCGATCGTCATCCGACGATGAGCACGATGAGGTGGAAACGTCTGGGGAGGCGGTGGCTGTTGGTAGTTGATGGCCTTGATTTCCCTGTTACCAAATACCGGAACCATACTGCAAGTTTCATTCTTCATACAATTACAATCATTTTTCCTTAAGAGCTATGTAGAAAAATCCCAGACTTGTTGAAATAGTCCTTCAATGAAAGTTGATGCGGATTGATAAGTGAACAGGCCAACGCCTAAACCACTAAGCCAACTGCGCAGTTGGCTTAGTGGTTTAGGCGTTGGCCTGTTCACTTATCACGGATAAATACCTGCAGTAGAAACAGTTGAACGCGCCGTGCAGAGTTGCGGTTCTTTTCCGATCGGCAAAGAGGAGGGATCGAAAATGTCATACCTGGAGTGAAGATTTAAGTAGAAAGTATGGAGGTGGGAGATGATTAAGATTAGGAGTGAGTGAAGTAAGATTCCAATTACTTAGCAAAAATCCCATTACAACAACACTAAGAGGAATCACAATCGCTACCTCTGCGGAAACTTCAGGCTTTCTCCAGGCCTGTCCACGGCGTTTGGTCCGAGGGCTCTTCTTCGTTCTTGATAAAAGCCGATTTGCCTCTCTTTGTCGGCCATCATTTCGAAGAGGCTTGGGTACTTTGTTCGCAACAAAAACATATCCACGAAGATCTTAGAGATGTAGGGGAGGAAGGCGAAGGTCTTTCCTGGTCTTTGTTAGTCTGTCTGGCATTGACACGTTTTCTCTCGGTCATACAGATTCATTGAGAAGACTCTACTCCTCCATGAAGATATTCTTGTGCTAACCGCTTATATTAAGCTCCTTGCGAATGTCTGCCAACTTCAAGAAAATATTAAAAAACATGATGCTGATGTACATGTACACCGTACAGTACAACAACAAGTACACAGTACTACATGAAAGAAAAATGTGCACTTACACTCAAAAAAAGCGGCTACTTTCCTACTTATAAATCCTACCCACTTTCTTGAGTGTGAGTGCACTTTTTCGTTTCATATAATTTTCATAAATCCCCTTACATAAAGACATGATGGGAATGCCGGAAAAAGATCGTGTTCCAGAATATGGAGACGATAACCAGCAAGCAGAGCTCCGATATCCAGTAAGGGACGTAGTCTGTTTTTGCATGTGAGCAGGGATCATCATGATTGTATCTTCAAGTAAGAAACGTAGTGGTTGATTGACTGATTGATTGATGTGCCTGTCTTTCTAAATATATGTGAAGTGTCTTATATATAAATATATGATTGAGATTGAGTGAAGTGTCTTGATAAATATATGTGAGTGATGATGTGCTGTGACTCGTCTTCATTGGTGCTTGACACTCTTGACCATTACTCCTCCCAAAAATTCAGTGTTTCAGTTCCTTCTCCTGCTTCAGCATGTTGTTAGTTTTGCTAGGAGGTCGTGAACTCGTTCTAACACCCCACGACTTCATCAATACATAGTTGTCATCTAGTCTTGGCACCAGCAAATGCAAAAATTGCCTCCTACGACAACTACGATGAATCTCAATACTACAACATCATTTAATGATCATGGCCAGACAACTTTTAAAACTACATTTAGTTTGTGGTGGAGCCAACCTCCATAGGAAAGAGAGAAAAAAGGAAGAGGTATATATCAGAGCAGTTTCTAATTCTAAGGTTTCGCCGGGCCGCGCATGGCATGGGGTGCATGGAGTGCATGGAACGCATGGAGTAGCATGGAGCAGGTACTAGATTTAGTTGTAATAATACCACTTATAGCTCCCGCTAGTGGACCTATGTGATTCGTGACCATGCACTTGAAATCATGCGCATGGATGTCCTCATTAGCCACCGTCCCAGGTTGAAGTCCTTCTCGGCGGAGAATGAAAGAGGCAGCTGCTCTTGTAGTATTCGATAAACTGAAATAAGCGAGTAACTACTTAAAATAAGGGAGATACTTCTGAAAGAAGAGGAATGTAGTCAAGACTCTCCTATTTCAGTCAGTAACTCGTATATTTTTAGCTTTCGAGTACATTGGAGCCTCTGATATAATTAGTGCCCGCCATAAAATAATCCGGCATGTACATGTAGTCGGTCCCTATCCTCGCGACTTGAGGAAACATCTGGTACACGCCTCTTAGACCCGGTGCGTGTTTCCTTGGCTTCCACCATGGCTGCTCCGAGTCTGATGACATTTTCTTGTTTGATTAGCAGACTGATGTTCGTTAGTACTCTGTGTCAGAAACTACAGAACAGACTACACTAGCAACAAAACTGCTAGCCTTTTTTTCGCAGATTAAAAAACTTTATTGTGCTTTTGCATCAGTGACAGTGAAGACAAGACCTCGTTATCTAATTTTGAGAAGGACCGGGTAAACGTCAGCACTGTTTCTATACTTTGTTTCATACATTCTACTGGATTTTTTGGTGCCTAGGTTCTCAGTACAGGTACGTACGTGGCTTTCCAAAAAAAGAGATGAGTAGTCGCTTCTTCGCTCTTTTTTCGAGTGGACCTCTTGTTGTGCTTTTCCGTTCTCTTGTGTTGCTCTCGAAGTATGTTGACATGCGCATGTTTCATTTTCCTAACCCTAAGAGGTGCTAGAGCTCCTAGTACCGCCATCAAGATAAAAACAAGAGTGACATGCATCCGTGAGTAAAAAAGCTATTGAACACTTACTATCCGGTAATCGCTCAACGAAGCAGACTGGGGTTTCTCCTCAGCAAGAACAGCGACGTTCTGGTCGAGCACGCAGAAGGCTGTCTCATCCATGGGTCAAAAAAAAATGCCTTTCTGGAGCCTTAGCGCCTTGTTGTGTCCATGTCCTTATGTTGGTAAAAGTCCATGGCTGTGCATTCTTCATCACCACTGAGGGGAAAAATGTCCCTACTAGCGTGCTGCTAGTGTCATTATGGAGGCCCCCACAATTAGTTTAGTGCGAGTGTCAATAATATGGAGGTCGTCAGTGTCAGAAGAATATTACAGTGGGTCACGACGACTGCGTCGACGTAAGGTAATACTTACACTTACATGGCAGACAGTTCTTTTGTGAGTAGTTAGTTAGTTAGTTACTATAGGAAGCCTGGTGGAACTCCAACATCATGCAACCCGAGAGTCGTATGCGGGGCCCGATCAGTCCGCAGGTGTTAGTATGGTCGAGAATCGTAGCCATAACACGGGAACGCGATGCAGCGGCGAGCTCGCCCAGGACATGCGCGACCCAACGGGGACCAACAGGACGCGGCATCCGGGCCAAGACGGAAGGCTACGTCTCACTCAAAGGGCCGGCTTAAGATGCAGCGCTACTGCAACTGCGGGAGGGTGTGCGCGACTCGCAAAAGGCGCGCCGTTCGAAGGCGACTAGATCGAGGATGATGGCGGTGAAGAGAAGCCAAGGCGGAAGCGCATCAGGATCCAAGGGACTGAGGAGCGCGGAGCCATAGCCCAAGCACTGGCGCAGGTGGGGCCAAGAGTCAGTCACGTCCTCACAAAAAGGGCACACGGTGGGAAGCAAGCCGGCTTCTGCGATGCGCTTGAACCTCGTGGCGCCCAAAACAGACGCCGCCACCCGCTGCGTGGTGCGGCCCTCCCCCTGTAGCGACCGCAGGGCACGCCCAAGGTCCGCTCGAGAGAAGTCGAGGGAACGGAGGATGCCCGCACTGACCGAGTGCCTGCGTGCCAGATCGGACAAGACGCCCCGTTCTTCTGCGCCGAAGAGCTCTTCCAGAAGCGCTTTTGTCTGGCTACGTCCGAGGTCGGCGGTCCCAGAGGGGCCGGCAGGTTGCGTCTTCAGCCCCAGCGTACACAGAGAGTCAGCGAGCTCATTGATGTGGCACCCAGCGTGGGAGTTGACGTGCTCGACTCGAACAGAAGCAGCAAGCGAGCAAAGCGCCCCGAGGTCTGTCAACAGGGCCTGCTCCGCCGGAGTACCCAGGCCTACGCCATCTGCTGCCGTCATGGATTCGAGTCGGGCCACTAGGCTAAGTGAATCCGTAAACAGGATGACTCGCTTCCCAGAAGTGCCGCCCGTGCTGATGAGCTGCCGGGCCGTATAGTGGAAAGCTACCCACTCACTTTCGTAGCTGCTGCGCGACAAGAATCGTAAGGCAAGAAGCGGGCGAACGAGGTGACATCCGACCAGGATTCCCGCAGCCGATCCCTCCCCGTGCGTCTCCTTCTGCTTTTCTTTAGGTCTGAAGAAGCCCCCGTCGGTGGCGATAGCCAGAACTCCAGCTGCTCGCGAGGACCCACGCAGAACTTCCCCGACTTCCAGGTTGACGGCCTCGGTGTCTCGAGTCAGCGTCCGAACCGCGAGGTTGGGCATTGGAGGCAGCAGCAGGCGAGCTTCTTGGCGTATGGAAGAGAAGTCCCAGCCACTTTTCTGTAGTACGCGCTGGGCGTTCTGGAGCCAACCAGGGGCGAAGGCCTGTCTGGTCTGTGAGAGTTCAGGCGCGTACGTTGTGAAGGCCGGCAGCTCATGTATCTGACTGGGCGACTGCCGTTCTCGGCCGCCAGAGAGCTCAGGCTGGGCCTGAGGAGCTGAATGGAAGTGCTGCCAGCAGGGGACAGAAGGCCCTCTTTTGTGAGTAGGAGTACTAGAAGATTTCCATCTAAATTATGAACATGTCTAAGATCAACAAAAAATTGCTCGTTCTCTACTACAGTATTTCTTGATCATCTTCAGATTTCCTCCAGATGAGAGAATAGAAACATCGATATTGAATCATATTATCGTCCGTTACTTGATAACGGTGGTTGTAATTCATTGAGGACATTCAACATCTAGTAGTGATACTTGTTCTACGACATGTATTTTCAATCTCTAATTTTTGACTCTCAGGAGGTATCCACTTCTACTTCCTAGATTCTTGCTTCATTTTCTAGTATCAGTATTTCCACCAGCGTTGAACTCTGAACCGACCTTCATCACCTGGTAGTTGTACTTCTATCTCAATTTTGACTGAAGATAGCCACTGTTTGGTAAGGATGGTATGTTTCGGATACAACACCTATTTTGAGGCTCTAGCCATTCGGAATTCTGAGCCCATTCTGGCAGGTGCCTGTGTCCAAGGCGTGAATTAGATGAAAGTTGAGCCTCTAGGTCAACTAAACGAGAGAATTAATATCAGTTGTCCCTTCAGCAATAATCATGACGACGCGGAAACCCTAAGCCCAATCATAACGACGCGATACGTCATATCCGGATGCTCCATCGTGAGGTTGGCGGTGAGATACAAAATGCAACCTTCCAGCTGAAAAAAAAACGGATTTTCGTACGTGTACCACATCGCTGAGATTCACTTCTTTTCTATGTACTTATAGATAGGGGCAATAAAAGCATCATAAACTCCTCAAATTTGCAAGGTCATGACAGTAGTACCTTCCGTGTACTATAGCACTTGGTATCGTTCACTGTTTTGCTCATCCTATGCCTGTTAAATGCGATACACCGGATCGGCTGCGTGTACGAGGAGCACTGCGCTGAGCATGCACGGGGACCGTGGTTCAAAGGCAGATCGGCGAGTTAGAATATATTTTTCTCGATAATACAGAGATCTTGTTTCTTCTATGTAGATTGTATTTGTATTTCTTTATTTGATCATGCCCTCCATATTTATTGTGCTCCTGCGGTACTATTGCACTAGATTCAGAGAGACGACTTCTACTTCGTGTGAAACGCAAGCAGCAAGCCAGAGCTTCTGCAAGCAAACTCTGTTGTAACATAACATTCCGTGAGTCTCTTGTAGCTTATGATCTCACTCTCTCTCTGAGTGATACTGTTTCAACTAACCATAACTCTCCGTGAGTCTCTTGTACCAGATTTGAGTGCTACTATTCTTTTCGGCCTCCGAAGGGTACCAATTTTGCACTGTCCCGTTTCGCACTGGGGGAGCACAGAGTCCCACACCTGGTGTAGAGTCCTTCTGATCTGTTACTGAGGTATTAGAAGAATAGGATGTGTTCTCCCGTATTACTAGTATCCGTCTTAGAAGTCGTGAGGTATTAGCCATTTAAATTAGAACAGTGAGCAGGTGGGTGACGCTGAAAATTCAATACACTGCATGAAGGGGCGAGAAGCCTAAGATTCGGGTGAGGATTACTAGGATGCGATCCGCCGTCCGCAGAGTTTAGCTGCATTCTCAAGCGGATTGACGCAGCCTCTGAAGGACTACCAAAGATTCTCCGTCATATAGCAAGGTTGTTTTACGTATGGATTAGGGTAGAAGGAGTATCGTGTAGAAGTCCTAGCGTCTAATGGTCCGTTTTACGTATGGATTGGGGTAGAAGGAGTATCGTGTAGAAGTCCTAGCGTCTAATGGTCCGTTTTACGTATGGATTGGGGTAGAAGGAGTATCATGTAGAAGGGAGTTGAAAAGAGGGGTCGAAAAAAGGAGGTTGAAAAGAGGGGTTGAGAAAGCGACTTAGACTAGCAAAAACAGCACAAAGTGAGAACGCTAAGGAGCCTCCGTTGCTTTATTTTTGGTTCTACTCGCTTATTTCCAGTTTTCGAGTAGAAGCCCTAGCGTCTAACGGTCCGGATAAGTAGAAGCCGAAGCCTCGAAAAGTCGCTTTATCTTCCAGCTGCAGATGTGCCTGGTAGTCTTCCTTGTCCTCGTCCTGGTGCTGCAGTTGCATTCTTAGAACTAAAATAACTAGAACTGCTAGTACAGAGTAATATTGAAGATTGATTCATTACAAGAACTGCTCTAGAAGAGGACTGAGCATGATGAAACTAGCATACTGCTAGGACTGGTGCAGGAGGAGAGACTGTATAACTGTTGGTTCTTCTTAGAAAAATCGAGTTACAGTCCACTTGGAAGAGAAATGGTCACTGAAGATGCATCAGCTTGTTCGTTGATGATGATTTGAATCTATTCGGCGAGCTGCCTAAGATTTCCCAGCTTGTTCGTTGATATCTAGTTCGAAAAACTGAGAAGCTGAAGGTCGTTTGATCATAATAATTGGTACTGATGCAAGGCGCCCCCATGGTTGTGGTCAACTCGGCACTGATTATTCGGACTGTCGACTGTGTCAGATGTTATGAAAAAAGGCCTCATACGCACATTTAGGCGGGACGAATAGTTCTCAAAAAAGCCTCTACATCTACTACCAGGATAGTAAAAGTTTGATAAACTACCATTTTCGAAAACCAGACTTTCCCCGGCATAATCAATGATGAACGCCTCTAAATCTTCTACTTAGAAGCTTCTTTTTCCATGCCTCTAAATCTAGAAGCGTCTTTTTTCATAATGTCTGTGTCCCTGAGTCCTTCGTAAGGCGATGATTGAAATCCTGGATCGCAAAACGTCTTTTTCCTGGACGTAGACGTGCTCGACCGTAAAATTTGATGGCCACTTGCCATAATAGTACTACCACATCCTCCACTATACCACAGGCAGACGGGGAAAAGGAACGAGCAGTAGAGGACCCTTGTTATTGACAACATGTTGATTCTTGTCGAAACAAAGGGCAGTAAGCATACACCCTCGTCATGATTTAAACCTTACGACTACATGGTTGAGAATGAGAAGATTGATTCTCCAAACAAAATAAGCATGATAAGGAGTAGTTGTAAACATAGTCCGTCTTCACGTCCTGACCATGAGCATCATGATCTATAAAATCCAAAGCGGCCTTTCAACAATAATTAGCAGGACAAGCTGATTTACTGTGACTGTGAGCAGATACTGTGACTGTGACTGTGGCCTCGCTTCAGCCTGGATGTAGATAAAGATGCTCTCGTCTCTCTCGGGTTAGGACTAGGAAACGTCTTAATCAATCCCCAACTGCAATCTTCTGATCTGTCACGCCCTGTACTCCCCGCGGCTCGGCTGTATGACCGATAGATGCGCTACAACATAAGAACGCAGAACAGCCGATGATTGATACTTTGAACCGATGTGACAGCAACTGCTATTACACTAGCAGTTGCACCAACTGCTGTTGCACTAGCAAGTCCAGCACTTTTGCTAGTTGGTGAGGTCACTCTCTACTACTAGCAATCCCCTTCCTAACAGTAGCGGCCACTCCCGTGGTTCTGCTAGTCAGGGTCACTCCCGTGGTTCTACAACTGGCTCTAGTTGCCGTCTCTTCTTGTCTACTAGTTCCGCTCTCTTTCGTCTGCACCTCCCTTCGGAAACCTACTGACAATCTTCCTGTTAGAAGGCATCAAACAGTTTTTTCCAGATTTTCTGTTCACGGTTGACACTTCATGGTGAATCTTTTTTGTGATGTTGTTCTCGTTCTTAACATTTGTTCCTATTCCTTCTTCTGAGAATATTGTGTATGTGTTGCTGTAGTTGTTGCTATGATTTTCTACTTCTACATCTAGGATGAATATTTGGCGTTTTTATATGACAATGAAGCAAATCTACGTGCGTGTGTACTGTTTTTCCAATTAGTTGTATAAATATATTATCGCCATTAGTTGTATCAAAGGCCTCAAAAATGCGAGGCATTGCTGTCCTTGGTGAATCTCAGCCCCAGCCATCGGGTTACCGCTGGCCACCTACTATTTAGTGGCCTCTTGGTTTTGTAAACCGCTGGAAAAAACAAAAAAAACGAGAGTGACACTCTCGTTTTTTTCTTTGACAAATATACGTGCGTGTGTACTGTTTTTCCAATTGTTGTATATATTTCGACTTTGCTGTCGTGCAAGACGAATCTGTATCAAATCTGACTGTACAAGTAATTCAAATTTCTCACGGGTATGTATGTAAACCATAATAATAAATATCACTAAACAGCTAGTCGTGTTTCTTCAACCTACCAAATAGATTTTGCCTAGATAATCAATCGTCCTCCCCTAAACATTCTGCCACCACAAAAATCCACCCCGAAACCCACCTCCCCCACTAGAAGAATCCACACCTCATACACACCTCGGGTTCCTATAACCTCCACGTCCACCTCCCCCACCCTTCATCAGCACTTCTAACTTCTCCACTAACTTCATCTACCAACTATTAGTAAGTATAATAATCTCACCCAATATCCAGATCTTCCACATCAACTTCTACAGCTAGTACTGAAGATTTTCTTCTTCTTCTCACTTAGATCTAGGGCATTCCTAGCATGATTCCTCACAGCTCTCAGCGCCGCAGCAGGGAGTGGGAGTGGGAGGCGTTCCACGCAAATTTCCGCCTTGTTTATTAGAGGACCCAGAGAAGAGAGAGTAGACGATCCTTCACATCAGTAGATTGATTACTAGGCTACGACCGATGATCTGTAGAGTAAGAGCTACAAGAACATCATCAGTAGATCTAGATTTTACGTAGTCCTACATCGTAGGTCGTACTCGTAGTGCTAGAAATAGGGCATTTCATCTATCTCTAGCGACGACAAGAGCGGTTACTTGTTTCTAGTTGAACAAAAGTATCGTCAAGCACAGAACAAGTAGTGTACCTAATGCTACGCAGTACTTTTAGGTGGAAAGTAGTGAGAGAAGTAAGCAGTGTAGTAGTTCTTAACTGAAAAATGCTAAGATTCATCATAATATGCTATTTCTATTTAGCTTTGCTTATGCATTTGGTATTGGTGCAACTTCTTTTCATAATTACTCGTTCGGCGGGCTGGGCAGCTAGTGCAGCCTCAGGTTCTGGCTCGGTATTCTCCCCAACCGGAGGCCTAGCTGATGGAACATCGTCTGCTGGAGGCTCAACAGGCGGAGCAGCGGACGCGGCGGGGTCGGCTGGACGTGGTGACTTGTCAGCTTCTTCACCTTCAGGAACTTTAGCAGGTTCAGTGGGCGTCTCGGGTGGTGGGACAGCTGGAGGTTTTGCTTCCTTCGGAGACGTATCCGCTAACTCATCGCCAGGTAGGGCGGACTCGGCTGGAGGTCGTGGTGTACTGTCAGCTTCTACTCTATCTGCAGGATCTTCCCTGGGCTCGGGTGGTGGGACAGCTGGAGCTTCTGGTGCACTCGGAGACGTATCCACTACCTCAGCTGAAGCTGGTGCTTCCTCTGCAGCTGGAGCAGTGGGCGCGGCGTCGGGCTCGGGTGCTGCAGCCTCGGGCGCGGCGGCGGGCTCGGCTGGAGGTGGTGCTACCTCATCCGCAGCTGCAGCTGGTGGGTCAGCAGCGGCCCGTTTTGTCACGTCGACCTGGGTATCAGTAGAGAGTCATAGCCTAATCTTCGTACATAAGTACAAGAATCTAGATTATATGTGAATTGTAAATAAAGTACCTGTTGCTCTGGTTCTTTTGGAACCTGGCCAGGAACTTGACCAGGGTCTGCTTTCACCTGAATTTGCTCTTCGACGTCGACCTGGGTATCATTGGGCGGGAAATATAATTACACCTTCATATGCTCATGACTAGAGTAGGGCTCTAATACATCAGTGAATAAGATAGCGATGCATTATCAAGAAGTAGTTAATTACATTTCCAATTATGATTCACAATCTTTACAAATTCGACGACTACGGATCATGCAGTGTCCAGTTTTTTTGCTTCTGTTTCATATCATCCATATCAGACGTGAATGTCACCGGTTCTTGGGCTTTGGGCTTCGGCAGCGTGTCGGGTCTTTCATCTTCTATTTTTTTAGCGCTAGATGACTAGTTGCGTGTCATGGAACCTCTCCTCACGTCATTCTAACGTTGTAGAGGCCTTTCAGCCACCCTGTACCTTCTAAATAGAAGAGCGGAGTAACCGATTGATAGACTATCAAGTATTTAAGCTTGGGTGCAACCACAGATCTTGTCTGCTGTATTCGCATTCTTTGTTTACAATGATCATGAATGCAGCACATTCACGCATGATCAGAGCGACGTCGGGAGTCTATTCACTAATTTGATCTGACTAGTGTCTGGTATCTAATAAATGAGAAATCAAAGACAGACGAAGGATGTTATTCTGCATACAAGCACTAAGGAGCCAAGGTTTAGCTATAGCTTGGCACTTATGGACGAAATTTTTGTTCCACTCTTAGCTGGTGAATCCTTCTTAGTCTTAGCTAGAGGCGCCGCAGCTTGGCCAGATCCTCCATTCCGAAGTCCACGCTGTACTCCAGCCGTGTGCGAAGCCTGTTGGATCTGGATGGGATTGGAGTTTTCAAATGCACTAGCTAGAAAGAATAGCTATTACGGAGAACGAGAAGATCTTGTGGTTTGGTAGAAATAGTGATATTCATAGCCATAGAATCGGCCTTCGAATTAATACTTTATCTTTATTAGAGGTCGACGACGTCGTAGCACTTATATCACAATACGTAATTGATTTTTCAATAAATTTCATGCTGCTCAGTTGTGTGTCAAACCCAATAAAAAAGTCCTAAGAAGAAGCTAAATCACATCCTTAGTCACCACCAGAGTGGACAAAAGTAAGATAAGGATATAAGTTTTCATGTGATATCAAATGTTGATGAGTACAAAGGAACAAGTGCGCAGAATAAAAGGACGAACACGAACTTCGTGTTCGTCGGTTGGTTAATAGTAGTGGTGGAGCCCTCCTAACTAGAAAAAAACGAGAAAAAGTGCCAAAACTAGATTGGTTAATAGCCATTGGCATAGCATATTTTCATGGTTGCATGTCGTTGTCCTTGTCCTATGTTCATGATTACGATGCGCGACTGCTAGTAACCTCGAACTACTGACATAGATACTAAAGAACTACCACTGGTTCAGATTGCGCACGGAAAGGGAATAAGAAATTGATCTCGGTAGTGCGGTAGTAGTATACTTGTAACCTCATAGGTGGATTGCGTGCGTCAAAGTCAAGCTACTGATGTGGAGGACAGATATGATTTTACAAGAAGGTTTCTTGACATTTTGAGCTTGAGCTCTTGCACCAGTTCCTGCCTTCTGGATATTATTGGTCCTATTGGTCGAGCTAAAAAGTCAGTTCAATCAATTCTTGATAATTTCCACATGAATGATGAGTAGAGTAGAAATCTTCTTTTAAAAATGTTTTTCGTGTCCACCGTCTGGTGCTGAGAGTTCGATTATAATAAGTTGAATCTAGTACCACGCCTCCGAGAGGTCCGCCTGTTAGATTACGTTCATCTTCCGATTGCTTCAATCGCTTCTTGAACGATGCCAGGTTGGGGTTGACATTCTGCGACGGATGTGATGTGATTTCATGGTGGTGTTAGTCCTCTGAGGGGTAAGAAGGATAAGACGAGTGCAATCTTCTTCTTCTATCGTCATGTCGTTGTCAGAGTATGGCGAACTACAAATAGACTTGTAAAAGCACTAGTAGTAAGGAAATGAACGATTTTACAAGGTTTGAAGTCAAACTTTATCCTGAATACGTGCTGTACCGTTGCCCCCCCACCGCGACCGTTCTTCGCCGCCGGCGGCGGGCTTCCTGCTCGGTTACCAGTAGTCCGGCGGTCTGTCGAACTCGAAACAGGTGTAGAACGGCCACCAGCTAGCCAATCTTTATAGTGACCTGTAATTTTAAAGTAGTGCGGTTTTGGGAACAATCAATAGTACATGTACCCAATTCCAAAGTAGGGAGGTTTTTCTTAATACATCTACATGAGCATCGCTGCATGAACTACGTTAGACAATCAGTATCACCTTCTGACACGAAGCTTATCAAAGACCATGATGTTGTAGTTACTTACACAGAAGCAACATAGCAACTTATATATAGATATACGGTCATATTCGAGAGCCTTGCCCCTCGAAGACTCTTCCAAAAATGTCGTCTTGGAAGCAGACACTTGCTCGCTTGCCACGTCAGGTTGAGGATCCAAGTTGCGGCCTTGCAACAGATTCTTTCTTAGAGGGGCAGACATAAACGATCACAATATGTCTCAAAAGGTAGCTCTCTACCTTCGGCAAGACATGTATGTATGTATGTATTAGCATGTTGCAGTTCACCATCATTCCCGTTCAATAGAGCCCACAACATTTGTAGGTCCTCCTGACGTCATTAGTGCTCATCGGGTTAGCGGGGGGGCATAAACATATCTCATACAGAAGTCCGTGCTTTCTTATGTTTTCAAATCATGTACTCTCCTTTACCAAACAAAGAGCGCCTGGAAGTCAAATCCAAATTCTGTTTCCGCGTGAAAGAAACATACAATAATTACTATAGACAGTACGATGGAAAAAATACTAGACATGAAATTCTGACTGTTTCATCTGTGAATGCGAAAGATACACAACTCTTAAATTTTCTCGATCCTGGAACTCCTGACGCCCCTCCACCATACTCAGACCAAAAACAAGGACTTTCACCCTTCGCGGAGCAAGCTTCGTAAGGAGATTACCCATCTTTTTTAGTTCTCTTTGTTCAAGACGAAGATAATTAGTAATATTACTTGTTCAGCAGGTGAAGATGACTTATTACCTGTTCAAAAAGAACGATGAGATTTTTGATAGTATAAAAGTTCTCAAGTTCTTTTTTTGTTCTAAAAGAAAAAGTTCTCTTAAGATTTGATGTTCAGGGAGGTGGGGGAGAAGATTTTGTTACTAAAAGATCTCTCAATCTATTTGTTCGGGGAAACGACTTTTAGTCTAGTTGTTCGGGGAAAAGACTTTTAGTCCAACGTGTGGAGTTTCAAAGCTTCTAGAATTAGAGACTCTACTGATGACTTCTCAAGAATGCGTCTTGGATTCAATTTTCATCATCATTCTAAAGAAGTTAGAAAGTTACAGAACTTCGAGTCGCTGAGCGCCGTCTTTTGTTTCATTGATAGTGATACATCGTCTTTTGTTAATATTTTTGAGGTATAGCCGCGAGAGAGAAAGTCAAAGTCCTCGATGACATCGTGTGTAGTATTTTTTAGTACCGATACTTATATACCTATATTTTGACGATGAGCGATTCTTGCTTGGAGGCGTTACTCCTAAACAAGGTAACAAGACGATCTTCGAATCCTTCTTCAAACTAACGACTTCTCATGTAAGTAGTCCTTCTTGAACAGAAGTTGTACGAACCTCCAGTGACCGAGAAGAAGCAATCATCTCGTCCTCTGTAGAAGCCCTCTCTGAACGTCTCGTGCAGAACTAGAAGGCGAACACAGACACACACAATTGAAAAAGTTTTGTCAGAGTTCCCAGCCCCTCGTCTCTCATCCTCGTCTCTCGTAAGCTCGTCAATTTTGCGAATTAGCTTCGTCCTTGTAACTATCTAACAGAATATCAACGCAATTTAAGTCGACCACCGATTGCGCGGTCACCGATTGGGCTTGCGCCAACCAAGTTGCGTCTACTTCACATCGATTCCAGGAAGACGTGGAGTTGTCTTCTGACGGTTAGGTTGCACAGATCTTTGCTCCTGCTTGGTCGTTAACGAAAATCTTGATGAATCTTGCTCTTCCTTACAGTGACTTTGTATGTGTAGAAGCAATTGTAGTCAACAAACTTGTGAAACCATTGTAATCCCCATCCTCGGAACAAGTCAATTATGCATTTTTTAGCCTCTTCTCTCATGTAGGAATGTCAGGGACCGAAGTGATCTTCTAAGCTTGGCGAAAAACCGTAGAAAGTGAAAGAATGGGTGAAACTTTATTTCCACTTGAAGATATTCATTAGATTTGAAACTTCTCTACTTTCATGATCTGTTACTGACAACTACGCTGTGGTAAACCACGTCCTTCTAGTCTCCGGTGGTACATCTTCACCTATGCAAGATGAATAGCACTTCATCCACGTCGCGAAAGCCGCGTTTTTTTATGCTGCTGTGGTAAACCACAGATAACCCCCGTCTGCATCATTGCGTCTCGTGCTAGTATCCTTACTAATACCCTATTCCTATCCTGTGGAGGCAAACCACATGGACATGCTCCACTACTAAGCCTATCCTGTGATATAAAGCTTCATCCTCTCTGTCGCAAGCCACATGCTTCATGTGCTATCTTGTGGTAAATCCCGGATGCAACAGCGGTTCTGGGTTTGCAACCATATGGATGGCGTCCATTCCATCTAGGCAGACCATCGAGGCCCCCCTTAACCTATGTATACAGTTTTAAGGGGAAAAGGAGCAGCCTCAATGGTCTGAGAGATGGAAAAAACATCATCCATAAACCATTCATAGTGAGGACCATCATCCGTGAACATGGAAGGAACTTTTCCAAAAGTGACACCGAATCTGGTATTAGAGTTACAATTTCTACTGGTGGTTGTAGAGGAGGTACGGCAAGAACCGTCGTGGCGCCGTCAGTAAAAGTAATAAATTATGCTCTAGATTTATGACAGAAAAAAGTGTACTCATACTCAAGAAAAGAGGTTTTTTCCTACTTCGAAAGTGCCTACTTTCTTGAGGATGAGTACACTTTTCCGCTTCATAAGATTGTATCTTATAGTCTGAAAGATTTAATTGAAGAGAAGCAAGAAGTATGATCCCGCCAAGAACTATTATTATAAGTACATGTCCTCTCAGCCTTAACATACATCGCCTCCGGTTGTTTTACGGTGTCGTCATTGGTAAGGTAGACCAAACAGCCCTCAAGTTCGATTTCGTGATAGCATTTCGTTACCCCTTCTAGAGCAGTCTTCTTTCGACGAAGAAATGAAAGCAGTGGTATTTTTGTTGTTCTTATTTCTAGCAACCTAGCTTGTTCCTACATCTAGATGATTACTGCAGCTCATTTCATAAGTTATACGCAATGCATCTTGCTGCAGGATCATTCTGTTGTCGGCAGTAAAACGCACATCCATTCGGAACGTTTTGGCTATTAGTTTGCAACGTTGCCGCTTCAACTTTTGCATGCGAGATTTAGAATGTAGTTCTTCATCCGCTCTGAGAGCTTGTTGATGTCATCGAGGACTCGGCAATCTGCCTCCTAAGACGAATTTGTATTCTCAGAGCTTACTATTTACTAAGCAGCTTCTTTTCAACATGTCTGCAAAACATCACTACACTGTCACGACTGAGACCTACTGAGATGTTGAATGAATGAATGTGCCTAGTAGCAGGAGATGTTCATCATGTCTCTTTCTTTATGTCGTGGTTAACATAAGTTTACAGTTAGGAAAGTGCAAAATGGTTCTCGATCATATGGTTAGGGCAAAGTGGTCTTCTTAACAGATCTTGTCGCCGTTCCTCATTGCTGCTGCCTTATCCGGATACCACGCAACTAGGTCGTTGGCTGCTGGAAATTGACCGGTGAGGATTAGAAAAGGGAGATTAAGATGATGATTAAGGGTTGTACTAGTTTCAGATTCATCAGTTTCTCACTTCTATTAAGATGACCATCAGCATCACGTAGTTAACGAAATTGTTTCTTCTTCTCTGTTGTAGCTTCGTGCTATCAACAGCACAATAATGAATTTAATTCCACCTTGAAAGACATGAGTGAGCACTGCCAAAGCCGTAAATTTATCATTTTTGGCGAGCACAATCCGCCAGAGCTTGAGATGCCGAAAGAGTGAAAGTCCAATCCACATTGCGCGTTCACTGCACTGAGTATGAAAATAAAGGGATCACTTTTACTAATATAAGCACGTGCACGACAGAAGTTTATTAGAAAGTAGATGGCGACGACGTTAGTCGATTCGGGTACAATGAGAGCGAAGAACCAAGATCCAAGCACTAGCTCAGGACGACAGACGAGAGGGAGAGTAGTTGCACTAAGTAAGTAATATATAAGTACAAGCCCCCCTTGGCCTTGCTTCATATCTACTCTATGCAGGTGTTTTGGGTCACTTCCACTGATAACGACAATACTGCACAGATGCGGTCGAACATGTTGGCTTTTACACTAGTTGTAGGGATACTAGGAAGATATTAGAGGTAGTAGATGAGGATTAAAGAGTACGAGTACAATCAACATAATATCGATGGCGATTGAAGACGAGTACAGTCAACATAGATGAGGACCAAAGAGTAGGAGTACGAGTGATTACCATAATATTCCCAGTTTTCCCGAACGGATCAGGTGTCCAGGGTCCGTTTGATAGGCTTGAGCACGGAGGTTGTGTTGTCGTACCTGGCACAGTCGTTCCGCTCAGTACCGTACCTGCCTCGATGATGCTAAACCCTCTTGCCACCTCTAGAATCAGACCTAAAAAGAACAATGTCCTCGTCCTCGTCGTCACCATTTTGTACTGTTGTATTTGCTCGTGCTGGGCTTGCTCGTTGATATGTCACCGGTGGTCTTTTAGCATAGTAGTAGAATAGAAGTGCTTCTTCAAGTGCTTCCACCGTGTGCTGTAGGTAGAACGACCTACATCATCGGCCGATTCTGCTCCTCTTGTCATGATTTTACAACTAGGGTAACAAGAACATCTTCGCGTTTATTTGTTCGCTCTTCTTAATATTGGGTATGCTGATATCAAGAAGTTTGTGGAGTATCGATGAGTATCACTGTGGTATCTGATCTTTTGAAGATGACAGACAATGAATGGCCCAGAACTCCCTTTCGTTTTGGAGTTGTTAGCTATTTTCGTACCTCTGTGCAATACTCTTGTCGCTCCCGCTCGTCGTGGCATTTCCTTGCTAGCAGACGATGCAATTCGATGAGGTCTTACAAATTTTGGATTTTGAAAATCTTCTGAGACCATAAATTTTTGATCTTATCTTTTTCTAAATGAGCTTAAATCCAGACGAGCGATATTTTCAGCACATTCCCAGGACATGCCTCACTCAATAGCTGCGCCCCCACAAAATCATGTTGAAATGCTACAAATAATAATTCTCCACCTTTACTGTGCCAAAAAATCTCTATAATTCATGGACTATCACAGAAGTATGCCAAGAACCCATAAAATGAGATACTAAAGAAATTCAAATATAAAATAAATTGAAATCGAAAAAAAAATGCTCAAAAACCAAAAATCTTGATTTTATCTCATTTAATTCAAATTTAAATCCTGGTGAGAGCTTTGACATTACAATAGCAATTTTTCGATATTGGACCTACCAGCTAATCCGAGTTTACATAAAAATTTGAAGATATGATTTTTTGACTAGAGCAATATGAACCTCTGATATTCACCTATTTTCAAACTCAAGAAAGAAAATTCTAGAGGATGTTCCATCAGAAAGATGAAAAAATCACCACATTTCTACACTTCAGCATGTACGAACTACACTTAGTTCAGCATTGCTGTTTGCTGCTCTTGCTTGTCCATCAGTTGTTTTAAGTACTTTTTTATCCGCCAAGTAAGAATTCATTCAGTGCCCTTTCTCGTGCGCGGTAGGTGTTGACGATCGTATCGAGTTTGCGGAGTTCTCTAGCCGTCGACAGAACTTTCACAGATCGTAGTGCCTCAAAATTCTCAATAACCGGCCACGGATGTTTTAATGCCTCGTAGAGATACACATTCCGGAGGCGCCAGGAATGCTGGTTTGTTCGAGGTGTTGCGCTCTGACGCTCTCGGATTGCCTTAGTGTCCCCCTTCTTGATGCTTTAGAGCTTGCTATTTCGACTTCCAATCGGATCCTGATGCTGATAGATTCGTGGTGAGTCTCTGTAATATCAAAGGTAGACAAAATCCTTCCTAGACATCCTTGAGAGAGGAGAATAAAGAGTACAGTTACAGCCCTCGTCGCGCATGGCGTAAATAAAGGATATAAGTCGTGAGTATCTTGTTCGATTACCAGTCGAGTAGAAGACCCACAGAAGCCTCACCCTCAGGAGCCATTGCCATAATCATTCTCCTTGCCATAACCATTCTCCATTTTGTGTCCACGACCTTGCTGCTTTTCGCCATCATTTCCTGCGAATAGCATCATTTCCTTCGATTTAAACTCCTGTCCGAGAGTTAAACGCGGGACGTTGGTCTCCTCATCGACAGCTATCACATGACGGCGCAAAATCGCCAGCATGCCCTCAATGAACACGAGAGCACAGAGAAGGTGAAGGACACGCAGCATGATCAAGTCTATTCGATAAACTGAAATAAGCGAGTAACTACTTAAAATAAGCGAGATACTGAAAGAAAAGGAGCAAAGTGCCGTGTTGCTTCAGTTGGCATTGGCTACTCGGTTATCTTAAAATATGCGAGATACTGAAAGAAAAGGAGCGGAGTGCCGTGTTGCTTCAGTTGGCTACTCGGTTATTTTGAGTTTTCGAGAGAGTCAATGTTGTCAAAGAAAGTAGTAATTAAATCTCAATGTTGACACGGTCACTACATAAACGCGACCGTAGCAGTAGCAGGTCTAGCCATACTAACAAGGCGAAACTTTCAACTATATGTTGTCCTGGCTCTAATCAGATTAGCTTAGGATATGGATCCGGGCACCTAATCTGGATCAGCATACTTAGCCAAGTTGTTTTAGACTCTCCATCCATACCTTTCCTGGAAATCATATAGGCCGCAGTGCCACGACATTGACTTCTTGCTGAGTCTTTGTCTTTGACTTTCGTTTCTTCATCAAAGTTCAAGGCTGAATGCTCGTTGTAATCGTACAACTCCTGCTGTTCCATCACAGCTGCGTCTACGGACGTTGCTGCTGAGTTGTGGTTCTCCTCTTCCACCAAACTTGTTGCAGTACTGCTCAGGAAAGGAAAACCTTCCTGTAGTTGTTCAGGAGTGAAAAGTGCACCAGGCATCTTTTCATTTGCTTCACTCCCAGTGATGTTATCTTTTTCCGTGGAAGTTGATGTAGAAGTCCCAGGAGCACATGTTTCTGCAGTGCCAAGGCGCAGTGTCGTCCATGCCGGATCGTGGAGAGAAATAGCACTTCGGAGGTCATCCAAAGAGACGCTACCCCAAGCTTTTAGAGTTGACCACGACAAGAATTATTAGTGCATGTATTGTTTTGGTATTTGGTAGCGGTAGCCTGATTTTGATCATAAGGGAAAACAAGAAGGGAATCCCTGTGATCAAATTCAGGCTGCCAAATACCGAAACCATTCAGTACAAGAATCAGAAACGCGAATGATCTATGTCAAAATACAATAAAACCGCAAACCAACTAACGTAAGCCTAAGTAACTCAAGATACTCTCTCCTTCTAGAAACGACTACGACGCTGACGAAATGTCAGAAGAAAAAGAAAACTAGTGCGCTTATTAAAGCTCAGCACTCAGTGGCCACTGATGCTGAACGGAAGAGACCCCCTTCCAAGCTCTCCCCTTTCCCTTCCTTTTCCCCTGTTCTCTAAGAGGGTCGCTTCTTCGATCTCAGTGACTCCAATCTAAATGGTGACCATTGAAAGCTGAGCCTTAATCTTACTATCGTGTCTCATAACCCAATGTCAATCCACGTCGTCGAAATGTCATCCTCCACGATGACAGCGGTGATATCGTTCCTCTGATCGTTGTCGTCCGTCATCTCTGCTGCTAATGCTAAAATGTCTTTTGCTTTTTTAGCTAACTCTTTGTTAGCGTTTTTAACCTTCTTCTCGTCCTTCTCGGTTACTACATTAGTTTGTTCACTTGCAGTAGCAGCAACAGCAGATTTCTTATCCGACACCACTGCTGGTCGCACTACCAGATCCACGAAGCTTTGATAAATGGCGAGAAGATGCGAAATCGCACTAGCTTCGTGACCAATTGGCAACTTTATCTTTATTTTGCTCTTGATACTATTTTGGACTCCTGTTCCTTGCTCATCTGGAGTGCCTCCAGCACCGGTCGTTAGTTGCATCCATCGTTTCGAATCGTAGTGGTCGAGTCCACTAATGCGCGTAGGACACGTCAATGCTGAGCCCAGGCATGAGCTGGTACCTAGAAGAAGTTGCATTCTTTTTCGACGTAGTGTACTGCGATCTAAGTTGATATAGTAGAGCTTTGGCAGTGGTGGAGAGGATGATAGCTCTTCTTGTTCAGTTCGACTTTTGCTGTAGTCCCGGGGATCCACATCCCATAAGAATGCCGATAGAGAAGAAGAAGTTCTACTTCTTGCTCTCCTACTGCCGTATAGCCAATGCCGACTCCTTGGCAAGACACGCTTTGCTGCTAGGATTTTCTGACTTCCAGACGAACCTCCCTGATGATTATGATTGTCTTCTACCTCTAGCACAACATCCATGATCGCTCTCTTTTCCACAGCTCGATCCCTCGCGTAGACTGCATTCGCAATTCCCTTCCTAGCGAATTCCTCATCCATGGCTATAGGGATGTGGCCGTGCGAGAGCACAGGCGTCAATTCCACGACAGATTCGAAGATGAAGTTCTGCCGCAAACGAAAGGCCTTGTTTGGAGAATGGAAAGTTGGGCCAGCTTTTCGTGTGCTGTGTGGAAGACTCGAAGAGCCACTCTTGTCTCCAGAAGCCTTTCCTGGCACAGAGGCACCAAAATAAATTGGTTCCAATGGTCCCACCTTTAGACCTCTCCAACATCCCTTCGGAGGACATGATCGCTCAAGAATATGTGCCAGCATGATCTCCCTCTCCCTGGTACTATCTAGAGGCATCATACTGCTGAGGGATCCCGATAGAGATGGATGATCAGGGAAAGCATATTAACTCCTCAAAAGCACCGTTCCCTCTTCCTTTCTGCCTTCGACTGTCCTCTTCACTGCTATCTTGAAACAGCAGCAAGTCAGCGACTGGATATATGCCCACGTACTCTATGAAAAGAAAGATGAGTGTCTGTGTCTGGGAGAGGTAGTTATTGTCTTCATCTAGTTGCACGGCTACCACCTAAAGCAGTCCTCAATATTCTACCGTATTGATGCAGTTCGTCCACGTTAGATATAATTCAGATCAGTGAGTTGTATGGACGAGGCGGAACAGGCACATGAGTAATAAATATAAATTCCCTTGAGTAATTTCATAAACTGTGTCACATTCCATTTTGGTCCATCGAATCTGGTATCTGCCTTTATCTGCAAAATCGTCGTCCTCGTCGTACGATTGGTGGTGTAATTGCCGTTACTCGATGATGATGATGATGATGATGACTCCCATGTCGTGGCTGTGGTCCTGGTCAGAGTACTTCTACCCAAAGGTGTCCTTGCTTCCTCCACGTCATTTCGTGTCGTTGTCACTCCAGACGATAGATGTTGAGAAAGTGAATACAATGTGCTCAGTTGTCGAACATCCTCAGGGGAGGATGTACTAGAAGCAGTTGTAGGCACAACGACCTGTCCCGCTAGTACTTTTGAAGTAGTACTAGTTTCAGATGATTCCACATCTGTATCATCTGGTGAAGAACCCTTTAGAGTAGTAACGTGGTCTTGTCCGTGTTCAGTACTATCTTGTCCTAGTATAGGAGGGTCTTGTGGAGGCTCCATAGTCGCAGTCGTTTGATCACCTCCTCGCAGTCGCAACATAGTAGACTCATTATCACGTTCTACATCTCTAGTATCTTGTTGGTCTCCTGATAACGATTCGTCCGATTCTGCAGGCTCATCTTCCCCGTTCTCGCCTTCTCTAGTCCCACGTACGCGTTCCACGATCGTAGTCACACTGTCCTGCTTAATTTAGAGGTATCGGGAATTCATCTGAGGGATCATCTGCGTCCCTTTTTCCTCTTGTCTTTCTCTTCCAGATGACTCATTTGGAGGAGATGAATTCCCTACACCCAACATAATTAATCACATGTGCCACACACGCATTCCACTTGGCTTTTTCTTCTGGGCTCATCTTCGTCGCTTTGTCTGTGCTATGATATCGCAGGCGAGTTTCATGTAAACATCGCTGAGTACACCGAAACTGGTGACAGTCGGAACCAGCCTTCAACGCTATCAAATCCTCATCAGAATCTACTTCTACAGGGGAACGTGAAGAAACTTCCGACGTTAGAGCCGCATTCTCCTCGTTCGCCAACTCTTCTTGCGGCATCCCCTGCTTAAAAAACTCCGAGGCCTCCCACTTCGCTAGCACATGCTGACCCAAAGAAGCGAGTGTGCGCCTGGACACCAGGTACTTCTTGAGAATCCGCCTCAAACCTCGCAAAGAAAGCATGAAACTCGTAGCGCCAAAGCATTCTAAGTGATCTGGAGCAAAAATACTTTGAGGGTCTTCTAGTAGTTCTATTCCTTCTGCAATGTCGGTTTCTCCCTCTACTCTACTTCTACTCCGAAAGAAGTCTCGTCCGTCTAGGGGACCTAGACCAGGACCACTTCCACTCCCGTCATCCGCAAAAGCAAATGGACCTCCATCACGGTCCTCGCAATTATTGGTTCCCAAGCGTAGGACCTCCCACTCTGGTGCATACTCCGTTAGTGCGTCTCGGAAATCTGCCAGGTCCACCTGGCCCCATCCCGCATGTTTCAAAGCTAAACTGGTATCGTCTTCGAAGAAGACAGGGGCGAAGAGGGTTAGAAGTAAAAAGTCTAGGATGAGATGTTGAGAAGATACCGGGTATGGAAATGCTAGTTTCATCATAAGTGATTGATGAGGTGCTTGACTGCTGACAAAAGGTTTCATCTGCTAAATCGAAAGAACGATCCAAGAACGAAAGAAGAAGAAATGAGAAACACGGAAAGATGAAAGAAATAATGGGCTTGAGTTGGGTCTTCACACTCCAGGCCCAGAATTGAATGAAGCGACGCGGCTGGACATAAAATTGCCCGAGAATCAGCTAAAACAAGCTGCTCACAACGAGAAATACTACAACACAGAGAAAGGAAGATCAAATACATTTCAGCGTTTCTGTTCCCTTTCCATCCTTAAATCCTCTTTCCCCCCTTTCCGCACCAGCTGCAAAAAGGTTTCATCTGCCAAGTCTAGAGTCCAATCCACCAACTCTTGGCGAACGTTCCTGTAACGCCTATCGTTAAGCCACCAGCTCTTCGCTGTTGCCTTCGTACTTATCGATGCTTGTAGTTTTTTGATGTTAGAGATCTCGACACCAGTTGTCTATTTTTGTTCACACACACATGTACCTTATGCATGCCGTAACCTTCATCCTCGGAAAAGCATCCGCCACAAAGCTCGCATACGCTTCGTATACTTGTTTCAAATGTGACAATGTAGTCCCAAACTCCCCCTGCCTACGTTTCTTTTCAGACTGAAAAAAGCGATAGATGTATTCGTCCGGACTGAAGATTGAATGTTTGAGGAAATTCCTCAAATCCCTCTGATCTACACCAGCCACACGGGTAAAACGTCCTGAACCTTGTGCTTGTGCACCATGTTGACTATAGTCTGCAGCAAAAACATGTTGCATACGCACACGTCGCGCAGTCGATCGATCCAGGTTGGCGTAGAACAAGGGCATCGAGCGAGCGGCATCTGTTCCTTCCTGTGCACGAGCAGCGTTTTCGTGCTGTGCCAGAGTTGGCTGCAGATGAGGGACGCAGCATGACAGGAGCAGGACCGCATTAACTACGCAGTTCAACATGATGAACTGGAGACGAGATGGAACTACAACTAGAGACATTTTCTTGTTGGATGATCGTACATCATAAGAAATATCGCAGTGTCTAAGCTGTCATGGCGTAGTAAAAAAAGAAAAAAAGCAACACTATATGCTAGCGCTTCGCCAGAAACATAACATCAAGAAGAGTGTCCGACTCTTGTTGTAGTCTAGCTACACTTGACTTTCTTACAACTGTGATTGTCAGTTTCAGTAAACTTCACTCTCTTGTTACTTCGCTCACGCTCCATTTTGATTGGATTGGGGGAATAGTTTCGGATTGCAAAGGTCAGTGCACCACAGGTCGTCACGGTGCAGTTCACACGCAATTCAGTCGGACTCGCTGTGACGTCTGCGTCTCCTGTGTCACATGAACGCTGTGCACCTGCACGACCATCAACGGAACATTGAGGATTCTAGTCTAACTTTGTGGTGAAAGCAGGGACCTGCAAGATTTCCATCTCTTATCGAAACAACGAAAGAATGGAATACCGAAACTGTGTGAACATGTGCCATGACAATAGGTGGATTGTTGGGGGGAATGAGGTCCTCAAATTCGGATGGAAGAGCGGAATGACGCAGCGATTGATATCGCGCAAGAATCCGAGGAACTATACCTAAGAATCATAACATACTCAAACTCGAAAACTACACTTGAAAGATGAAAATGATCTACTTGATTTTGATTTTCATGTAATACTAATCACGTCTAGTCGAATCGCATTCGCAATAAACCTGGTGTCCGCGATGTCAATGATCTGTCATGCTCATGATCATGAACATATTAATATATAATACTCCATCAATTTTTCAAACCTAGTACTCAGCCTAGAAGATGAAGAGCAGCCAACATACATTTTACAAGAAAAATAGAAATAGCAGAGGAATTTATAAGGTTTGCCAGCTCGTATGGCATGGACTGCATGGAGCTAAAGGGGGCGCCTCTTGCGTCCCTTAGAGATCTGCGCTCCATGCGCTCCCTGCTACTCCATGCACCATGCGTGCTATAAACTGCTCTGAAATAGCAAGTCAATGCGAAAATCCTTCGAACAAACAATGCGTCACGACAACGACATGGACATAGGTATGATTACGAGATCAGTATCAAATGCTTTACCGATCTTCACGGCAATTTGTATTCTTTATTTCCTAGAAATAGCCTAGAATTGAGTCTTATACTGGCACGACCTGGCGAACTAGCGCCTGTATCATTTTCACCGCAGCGAGCTGCTTCGCTTCTTTTCTCTTGGCGTTCGTAACCGGGCGCTCAATGGCCTGCTCGACATCGACGACGCGCAGACAAGAGGCATACTGCAACACAACGGCGCCTCCTAGAGCTTGCGACTCTTCCAGTGCTACCTTCGTTCGCTTGCAGAAGACGTTTAGCACTGCCAAAGATTGCTGCGGCGTAACGTCAAGTTTCAGATCTCCGATTGCTCCCTTTTCCCTGCTTTTCTGTGCTTGTTTTTGTGCAGCAGCGAATGCAGCGTCGTTCGTAGAGGTGGTGTCGTCCGCACCTTTCTTTTTCGAGGAAAAATTCGCAGCCATGCTCGCCTGCATTGTCTCCACTTCCTGGAGCATCTCTAGGGGACGGTCCGCACGCTGCGCAGTGATCACGTGCGCACTGTCCGATTGCCGCGCGCGGCCGCGGCCCTGCACGAAAGACACCCCCGTTAGCAAGGGATCGAATCGAATTACGCAGTTCGCCGCCCCGATGTCCATTCCTTCTTCCGCTACTACTGTCGAGACGAGAACGCCCACCTCGCCCGTGCTGAACGCCGCCAGGTTTCGCTTCTCGTCGGCTCTCGAAAATTTGATGGAGCACGTAGGAGGGGCGGTCGTCGTGGAATGCAGCGGGAGAGATTCCAAGGCCGCGTCTTGCAAGTCCGACTCCCGGTTTAAATAATGGGAGAGTATGTGTGCGGTCACCTTTTGCTGCACAAACACTACTGCTCGGAGCTCGTTGCCGCCCGCCCCGTCCTGCGACCGCTTTTGCTTTTGGTGCAATAACTCATAGGTCAGATGTTCGAAATGAGGGAAGGCGTCGTACTTATCGAAAAAGCCTCGGACGCGGTCGGCCAAGATTTGATCACCAAGCCGCTGTTTCGCAAATTCCGCCATAACCTCTAGATTGGTGCTCTGTTCCGCCATCATCTTTAAGAACAAGACCGCCAGCTCCAGGCTTTTCGGCTCCTCCCACCCGCAAACCACTATCTTCAAAGCCTCGTACCAGTGTTCCAGATACGTGAAGATCATGCAGATTATACGTGCCGACGTCGAAGATGTTCCGAAGCGCTCCTCCGTTGCACCTCCGGCTCTTTTGACGTTCTGCTTCGCTAGAAGATTTGCATATTCGCCCCACGAGGACAACTTCGCTTTGCTTAGCGGCGACACAAAATCTCGTCGTACTGACGAAGCGTGCCTTTCAAGGTCCCGCACAATCTGCACCATTTCTCGTGCAAAAGAGGTTGCTCCTTCTCCTCCTTCCCCCGCTCTTTGAGCACTACTACCAATTCGTTTCCAGAAAGTACCATGTTGCAAATGCGGCTTGCGCTCGGTTTGTGGGACTACTTTGTGGGCCTCAAAGACATCGGGAATTTCGACCTCGTCCCTCACTTCCGTGAGCACATTGGCGCCAGCGTGAAATCCGTCACGCTGAAGCTCTTCTTTCGAAACATGGGGAAGCACACAAATTTCCAGTTCGTGGCAGATATGCTCCTGGGCTTTCCTAATCTTTTCGGGACCGACCGCGTAGGTCAACATAGCCGTAAGACCTACGATTTGCGGTTTCGAAGTCTTCCTCGCATCAATTGATGTCTCCTGGGTAGTTCGACATCCGAGAACCGCCTTTTCATTCTCTGCAGCCGACGTTGTGGCGGCCACAGAAGTTGCTTCACCAAGAAGATGCAAATTTTTGATGGACAGTGCGATCTTCCGATAGGGGTGGTCTTTCAGTACGTGGTGTACCTCATCAAAAATTACGAGAGACACTTTTGACCAGCCCAGCGTGTCCGGTTTGCGCCGCTGCATTGTGCGGAATGCCTGCGGGGTCGTTACGAGGACGTCGAAGCCCTTCTCGCTCGGAAATGCCACACTTCCGTTGTATTCCGCGACTGTAAGATGATTCGGACGATTCTGGAGGACATCAGGAGAAGTAAGCCAGGATCGAAGTGCGACAGCCTGCTGTTGTACGAGAAAACATGTCGGGACGAAAAAAATCACAACCTTATTTTCGCTTGCCTGACTCGGACTTCTCCTCTGCTGCAAGCGCCGCTTCACCATCTCTGCAGCGACGAGAGTCTTGCCGGCTCCTGTCGGAAGAAGAACAATCCCGTTTCTAGTGCCAATCTCGTCGCACATACGCTTCTGATAACTCCGAAGTTCCATCTTGATGCCAGGAGAACCCTAAGCCCTAGGCCCTTCTTGATTTGTATCTACGTGTAACTACCCCAGGTGAATCAAAATGCTGAGTAAACGTAGTGGGTTCCTTCACCTGTAAGTGTCAATTGCGACTCGCTGTGATGTTGTCTTGGCAATAATTCTTATCTAATAGTGGAAGATAATCGACGAACGTCTTCACCATAATCTGATCTGAATGTTCCGTAGCATGATTGAGTACAACACTCTTGTTTTCAAAAGAGATCTGATCTGAATGTTCAAGCGGAAGATATTGTTCTATTACTTGCTGAGAGGCACCATAAGATCGGGGCTCGCAACATTTCACATCGAACATCACAGCAACATCAATCGAACATTTTTCCTCAAGTTCAAGGGCCTCACTCATGCCAGATTGCTAGGCGCACCGGCTTCGCGAGAGATAACGTAAGTACTTCTTTTGCGTTTTCTATATGCTTATGCACCAATCATCTGATAAAATGAAAGTTCTTTTCACTCAATTGATGTTTATCCCTGACATGCTCCAATCATGCTCCAATGAATTTCCATGTTGCTTAGGGCATCTGCGACTTGAAAAAAAAGCTTTTTTTGAGTAGTTGTTAGATTATCCTACAATACGACAATTGTGTAGTGTGGTGTAGGAAGACTATATGTCAAGGTTCTCTGGTGCTCGTGTCGGTCATCTTCGGTTCATCTCACGTAACGTTGAGATCCATTATTTGTGACTGAAAGCCGTTGTCTGTTGCTCTCCTCCCATTTCGTTCAGACAATCTTCGTAGGACGAGTCCCTTTTCTATTTGTATTAAAGGAACGGCGCCATGGAGGCCTCCTTGAGGCTGTTGATGTTGGCCATAGAAGAGCAATCCAACCATGGATTGCCTTCGAAACCAGCTAAGCATGTATAGACGAATCAATCACCCTTCAAACCTTGAAGAAGAATGATCGGTCGACGATATTACTTTTAGGAAACGTTTTGACATAAGGATACCAATCCTCGTCCATCTTGTAAAGCAAATGAGTATCAGCGTCTCACAAACACAATTTTTAGTATAACAAGCAGCATTCCAGCAATGGCACACCTAGTAGAAAAAGATGAAAGCTGATTGATAGTACTTATAGATTCAAAGTCAAACAATATTACGGCGGCTAATGATAGATAATGTAGATGTACGTGGTAGTGATCTTATAAACGACCTGAAGATAACAGCTATACTTTCAATCATGGAAAAGGAAAACAAGAAGATCACCATCACCATTACTTTTTCATCCCACAACAATTCAAGCGCATTCTGAACCTACTTAAAACCAATTTTAAAAAAGCAGTCACGAAATCTAACGATGAACAACAAGAACAAACCAACGCGAACGATGAAAAAAAAACAAGTGAACTTACTTTTAGACGCTACATTGCTTTTTTGATTTTTTAGCAGGTGCGCCTCTTGCTCTTGTTGCTAATGCTACAACTATAATTCTGGTATGATTGTTCATCTACTTCAACCACTACTTGTTGCTAATTCTCAACAAATTTTAGATTGCCCTCTGAATGCCATTTTTGTTTACTTATTCTTAGCGCATACATACAAACAAACAAGAACGCATCTTCTCACCAAGTGGTCTTTACTCATCTTACTTTTCTCACACGAGCATCTTACTTTTCACCTACTACTAGATTGTTCTAAGGATTCCACCACCTTATCATTCTTCATCTTGATGAATATCTGAAGTCTAACATTCTCAACGATTCGAAGTTCTGGAGGCGAACGTGCCACGCCTTGCGTGACACGCAGTGCCAAAGGTTCTTAGATGCATAAAGGGACAGCACGGGATCAAATCGTGGTAATGGGAGACAAGGAGGAAGGGTTGTCATTCGAAAGAAAGGCTTTGAGAAAGGAAAAGCCCTTCCTCTACTTTTCAAAACTCAACTTGAAACGACTGTATGGCTGTGATCGATCTGTAGCGAATCACGTTCACGAGGTCGGGTCAAAACAATAGATCGACGATTTTCTTGGGTCGCATGATCCTGGGAAAATCAAGGGTCAAAAATTTTGCAAGCGGTTATAGACTAGTTCTTGTCCGTAGTAGGAATAGTGCGTACCTACTTGGCAGAGCAGAGGATTGAAGTTGAACAGTCGTACGAGGATTCAATGAATAATACTAGATGATCACGTAACATTTGTTATCTATTATTCATTTGAATCGGCCGGTTCGGGTCAGTCGTGCATGCTTCCATATAACATCAATTACGTATTATGAGGTCGGGCGTTTTTCTTCATCAATACCAAGAGGGGTAATTCTAAGTAAATCTTTAGAGCATTTATTCCGGGTGCAACTAAATCAGACGAAGCAAAACCAAATCAGTTCTTGTGGTCATCTCGTTGTCGTTGCACACAAAGATAAAGATTCATGTACTACTTGTAGTTAGTACCCAGCTATATTATAAGTAGTTGACTCTAGTAGACTTTTTCACCACGCGATGCATGCTGTGAACCCTGTTAACGGCGTACATGATGGAAGCAGAGTCTGTTTTGGAATTTCCCTATGCTCACGCAGCTTTCCCCTTCGCCTTTGCTCCTTTTTTTCCTCCATAGTGGTAGTTCTCTCCGTGATTCTCAGAATACTGAGTGTTGTACCCGTTGGCATGATGACTGTAATGTTTGCTAGAACTAGAAGTACTTGCAGCAACGTTCCTCTGCTGTTTCCCATACCCTTTAGCCGAAGATGAATAGTTCCAAGAGCCATAGTTGTTGTTGTAGTAACCGGAGTAGTAGTAGTAGTAGTTGTTCTGTTGATGTGCTTGATACCAAGAACTATGAGAGCAGGACGATGGGCTTGACTTTGATGTTTGTTGAGCTTGAGCTTGCAGTGCGCGATTGTCCGTGTACTTTTTATGCACGTTTGTAACAGCAATGCCAGGAATCTTTGTGGGAGTGGCGGATGCACGAGATGTACCAGAAGCAGAGCCAGATCCGGAAGTTGAAGAAGAAGAGGTTTTCTGCATTATATCATCTTTTTTACCCTGTAGTTCATCTTGAGCAGTAGAGGTACTAATTATAGTGCTGGTGCTCTGTTGTATCTGCGGTTCTGTTGTATTTGCGGCTTTGTCTTGTCGAGGAAGAGGAGCGGACACGTCCTCGAGCTTCGTTTCGGCGTCCTTTTTGCCGTTTGGCGAAGCAGGAGCATCGTCACCAGTCTTCAAAGTTGTGCAAGCTTTGCTACCGTCTTCAACAGTTTCTTCCTTCTTGTCGTCTGCAACAGTTTCTTCCTTCTTGTCCTCGCCTTCATTCTTTTCAGCCTGTGCCTTTTGATCTTTTTCATTTTTCTCAACATCCCCTTCGCCTTTCTTTTGTTCACCTTCATCCTTCCGCTCCGCCTCTTCCTTCGCCGCTTCCAATTTCGCCTGTTCCGCTTTATGCACCTCCAGTTCCTCCGCAGAGGGATGCTTGAAACGACATTGCGCACCCTTCGAGCAGTTGCCTGCCGCATAATGCCGACAAACTATGCTCTTCAACACTTGCTTCTTCGCCCAAGTAGGAAGATTTTTCAAATTCTCAGGTGTCGCAGCATTTACGTCGTGGTCGAAACAGAAACTGCCACTTCTGCTAGTCCAGCCTAGAGCAGGCCCACTGCTTCCAGGGCGGCTACTGCTTCCTTCTGGGTTAGCAGCAGCGCTGGAACAAGGCCTGGCTGCGGAAATTTTACGGTGTGGACGCAGTAGAGCGCCTCCAAGAAGGTTGGATCGAAAAGTGGAAGAACCAGGATTGCTCGAGTTGTAAGATGCATTCGAAAGACTGCTTCCACGTCGTTTATAATGATGCTGATGAGGGTGCGGCTGTTGGTATGGATAGAAGGATCCAGGCCCGCCACTGTAGTTGTATTGACCCGGTTGGTAAGAACTGGAGTAGTTATGGTAAGATGTTGACATCGAATTCCAAGAACTATGAAGAGGATTTCCACGAACGGAATCGGCTGAATGAGGGTGCTGAACACTCCGACGAACGGGAATCGGCAACACGGTCTCTCCCAACGACGAGTCCAAAGGTAGCTGCGAAGGTGGGTCTACTACCGCTAAGCTTCCGGTGCGCCGCCTCCAACCAAGTGGCGGAATCGTGGCAGTGATGTTGTTGTTGTTCGAGGAGGTGGACACTCCTGTAGTGGAAGCATCCGCAGCAGAGGACGACATAGAACCAGTTGTACTGACTGTGACATTGGTCCCCGCCGCGGCATTTTTGCCAGAAGTGAATAGCCTAGTATTGGAAGAAGTGGAAGTAGAGATGTTCATCTTCGTCGGAGACGTATCACGCTTATCATGGTCCTTATTCGCGGCTCCACGAGCAGAGACGAGGTCAATCTTGTTATCCCATAGAGCTCCCGGAGGAGGATAGTCGTTTAACATGGTCCTAGAAGCACTAGACGTAGTAGTTGCTTTATTGGTGCCTGTGCGAGTGCTGCCAGCATTTGCAGGAGTTCCATTCCCCGAAGATGAACCTCCTTGCTCCTGTCCTGTTTCTTCCACAGTAGTGTCAAGCAGGCCGCTATGCGAGTGCTGAGTTTCACGAGCGTACTGAGGCTGCATACTGCCTACAACAGATTCGGATAAGACCGTTTCTAGTCGAGTTCCGCTGAACATACGACGGCTGCTACCGCCACGGCCACTGCAACTGCTGGACATGGATGAACCAGCACTGCTGGTTATCATGCCAGGATCATGTAAATATTGATTTTGGTGATAGTGGTCTTCTACGCCTCCACGACTCGCTCCACTACTCACCAGAGATGCAGCTTGTTGGAGCAACGCTTGTTGTCCTGCACTGCAGACGCCGCTGAGGCTGCTGCCTTGCGCAAGATAGCCAGCAGTCGGGGAAGAAGTGGAATCGGGTCCGGTTCCGAAGATATGTTGAGATAAAACAGACTGTCTACGACTGCGAGGAGGAGTCCTTGTTTTTTCTTTCTTCGTTGTGCCAAGGTCAAAGTCGAAATCGTCATCAACATCAGAGCCACTGGGACTCGGCGAGGAATCTTGTCCTTGGAGGATCGACTTGCGGTATTTCTTGAGGCCCAAAAGCAAGCTTCGACGCTGAGACTCACGCCGACTGTTGCGGGCACGGCTTTCCGGAGACACACATTCCAAGCCAGGAGGAGCCGCACTCATAATGCTGCTTCTGGCAACGCCGGTTGTTGTGCTACGGACGCTCTCGCGGACGACACTTTCTCGGAGGACACTTTCCTCACGGTCAATTTCTTCAGTAGATCCAGCTGGAAGTCCTTCCCGACTTGTAGTAGTTTCTAGGAAAGTTGTAGAGGGAAGAACCTTGCTAGTTCCTCCTGATCGACTCGAAGCTGAAGAAGCTTCTGGTGCACCTCCTGTGACGTTGCCAGCGGTAATCGGATCAGCCGTCGAAGTGGTTGCCTCGTAAGAGGCCCTCGTAGTGGCAGAAAGACTATTACAGCTTGTTCCAGGTGCATTCAGTTGAACAGTGCCATCCACAATATCTGGCTCCGTAGGCACCATGGCAATCCTTGGAAATCGTCGAGGAACACCACCACTTCTAGCACCACCTTCAGCTAAATCTGCAGCCACAGGCGTAATCGCCTCTTGTTCACCCAATAACGAAGCTTCGCTCATTCTTTGTTCGGGATTGAACTCAAATCCACCACCTTGGGCAACCTCGGTCTCCAACGCACCACGATAGAATTCATAGTCATCATCATCATCATCATCATGAACTCCGATCGAAACTCTTCCAGCAGCCAGATCATGATCTGTGACGCTCACAGTGGGAAGCAACACATTATCTCCTGCATCTGCTCCACCGATCGACAACCTCTTGCTGCTAGTATTGTCGATGAAAATTTCAGCGTCTGCATCTGCAGCACCAAGATTCTGTTCTTCTTGATCATCTTTCGCCTCAATCTGAAGCCCTTCGCGTTGCGACGTCTGAGGATTCATCCAAGGTGCTGCACCTGGAGCAAGTTGGCTTATTGTAGCTGGGTCAAACCACGCACGCGGATCGGCATCTCCACTTTCTGCCATTAGAGCACGTGCTTGGTATTCTTCCATCAGCTCTTGATGCTGCATCATAGCTGCAGGTGGCGGATAGAAGTCAGAAGAAGCTCCTGTGGCTGCAGCAGCAGCTATCTGTTGCCAATAGGCACGGACTGCGGAAGGGTCAAGTCCATAGGCGCTCGGATCGTAGCCACCAGACATGATACCATGATGATAAGGAAGATGCTGGTCCATACTATGAGATATACTAAACGTGTGCCAAGCTCGACGATGAAACTCATCCGCATATCCGCCTTGAGAGTCCAGTCCCGCTACAGCAGCTGCTGGATTGTAAACCAAGTTGCCCTCTTGGTCGACCATGTAGTGCGGATCATACATACCAGCATGAAGGCGTTGGCCGCCGTGTGCGAAGTTTTTGTGCCAAGAGTGACAGGAGTTGTTCTTGCGAGTGTAAGAGTAGCTGGCACGACCTTTCACCTGCTCTCCCCACTTGTGTCCTTGATGAGAAGCACGCTTTTTAGAACTGTTTGAAGATGCTCCGCGGCCACCTGGTGGAGTGAGGACATGTACATGGTAGGTTTGGTGCAGCGTCAAGTTTTTTCGGAAAAAATTAAGTGAATTCAGTGAGAAGAAAGATTAAGATCATTTAGAGTTGCCCTCGGTAATACCTACTTTGCGCTAGTAGTATAAACAGCGGCGCTAGTAATCATATCAACCGTAACTACAAAGTAGAATGAGTAATGTCTAAAGCTAGGTCGAAATCGAAAATTACCTCCTTTCTTGTTCTCAGCAGGAGCAGCAGCATTTTTATCATGTCCTCCTTTTCCGATATGATTATTCCCAAATAAATCGATCGGTCCGCCTTTTCCAATGTTGCAATTACCCACAAAAGCGGCCACTTTTGCTGAACTTGCGTGTTGATCCGAGGCACCCTTCGAGTTCTTCGGAGCATTAGCGTGCTCAACACCAGTGATCTTGGTTTTATTCGATATGTTACGATCATTTGCAACATGTTGACCATTGTTGTTTTTCGTCTTGGTACCTCCAGCTGCGCCGTTTTCTTGTCCTCCTTGCTGCATGCCTGCAACCGCAGACGGCGGTATAAAATTCAAAGGCGCATTCTGGTTTTTCATGACCACACTTGTTCTGTATTTCTTGTGCGTGATGGTAATCGGAGACTCATCGCGACGAACCGTGGCACGACGAGTTGGGGTGATGGGTTCATCCTCAACAACATGTTGGACAACATCGTTAGTCTGTAGTTTTTCATTGCACTGGCGGCGACGAGCGGCAGACCAGGAAATATCCACGATATCGGATGAGCGACCAACGGCAAACAATAATTCTGAGAAGTGATGATAAATGGAAAAGTATTGGTTGTATTGATAGACTTGTTGCTTGTATTTTTGGATAGAACGAAAACCTCAGATGGTGTTGAGAGGAAATAAACTAAAAACTCTGTATACTAGTATAGGCATATCAACTTTAAACGAACGCACCTTCAATGTTTTTCTGCGTACTGGATTGCATTTCGCTGTCACTGACAACCTCGCGAATATCTTGAGTGACGTACTCGTAGTCGTCATCCCGAATAGAACTAGACTTCGTCATCAAGGGCAAAAACGTCTCGATAGTTGTGCTGTGTTTCGTGGTGGAACCTCCATTAGTGTTCGTGGGTGAGCCTTTGGTGATGTGCGTGGATGAGCCTTTAGTGCGACTACTGGGAGTAGTTCCTGGAGCAGCTTGTTCACCATTAGTGGAACCTCCTCGAGCAGCAGTAACGTTATTTCCACCGGTAGAAATTGAAGCCACTTGTCCAGACGACGTGGTCGAAGGTTTGGCAGGTCCCTCCAGAGTGGTCGTCGGAGAGCAAGGTCCTGCTCTTGGCGTAGAAGAAGCGTGCGAATCCGTACGACAGGTTCGCATGGTGCACGCTGAACGCATAGCACGCAACGTCGGAGAAGATGCCATGTGCGGCAGATCTGGTAGTCGTAGTGGTCGTTGATGTAGCCGACCCCGTCGTCCACTATGAGGAGTTTGTTCATCTTGTTGAAGTTGAAGATCTTCGTTGTCTGATGAATCGGAATCTTCAAAACTGAAAATGTTGCTGCTGTGTCCATCACGACAACTACCACCTCTTAAAGATTGAAACAGCAATTGCGAAGTCCTCATAGAAGCACTACTGCTGTCTGAACGGTAGCTTTTCGGAGTAGTTGCATCTTCGATACCACCTCCAGTGAGGCTGATTCTCGATCCACGGCCAGTTATTTTCGCTCCACGACTTGTTGTCGGAGGAATAGCATTGCTGACAGAGGTCATACCAGAGGTTGTACCAGAACTAGAAGCGCCACCGCCACCTCCACCAAGAGCGCCAAGAGTTCCAGAAAATAAAGATGGAATCATAGAACAAGCATCCGGAATCTGCAGTATGTTCGATGTTCTTGCTGACGTCGTGGGAGTAGGGGTAGCTTTTTCCCGGGACTGTTCTTGTTCCCCAACGACCCCACCCTGCTGCTCAATCGTGGATACACTTGGCGTCAACGAGGTAGCACTTTTGGTCTTGTTACGCTTAGCATTTTTCTTTCTCTCTTTCTTCCGATCTTTCTTATTCGAAGCAGCTCCTGCGCCGTTCGGTCGGTCACAGAACTGCTCTTCTGAAGTTGTAGCGGAGATCTGGCTCACACGAGCCAGACCAGAAAAAATATTCGCAAACATCTTCTACCACAATAATATATTTTCAATGATGTTCTTCTACCACAATAATGTTGATCTACTAACTTCTAGATGAAGATGATCTATTCCAGAAGATTACCATTCGTTTTCTTCGTCTAGACTCAGGCATTAATCTTACTCTTCACCTTCAACTCTTAGAAAACGAACAACACATCTATCACACGAATCCAGCAGCACAGCAATAAGTGTCCAAGAAGAAAACTAGTTGGGATATCTCACTTGGGCAAGGGAGGTGTAAAAAGAAAACGATGGAGGAGGAGGTAGAAGAAAACAACAATGTTGTCGTGTAAGGTGGATTCTACTTGAGTGTTGATGTTGAAGAGGGGAATGAAGACTAGGTATATTTTCAGATACAGATTGGGGATGAAGAAAACCAAAACAGCAGAAAAAATAAACGTTGGACTTAGTAGTGGTACAGCGGAGAATATATGAGAATATTACTTAGGATTCCAACTATGATCACCTATCACTGTATCCTAAAAAGTTCTTTCTAAATTGAAGATAATACGTTTGTTTTGCGTGTGCAAGTAATCAGTTATAATGCCAAAGGGGTCATATGTACAGCGCCGGAGAATAAGAAGTTATTACTTAGGATTCCAACTATGTAGATCACCTATCTGTCACTGTATCTTAAAACGTTCTTTCTAGATTGAAGATAATACGATTGTTTTGCGAGGGTATGCAAATAATTAGTTAATGGCAATGGGGTCAAAAAATATTGTTCGAACAAAGCCGTGTTCACTGGTGTGTTTTTTGAGGGAAAAACAATTCAATGAAGGTTTTGAATGGGGAGGTCATGGCTGGACGGAGAGTGTTCGTGCCTTTTGTTTGGTCTAGAAAGATCCTCATCTTCTTCCTATTTGGAGTTCGTCGTAGCACTAGTTCAGGTGTATGCGGATCACAACAGTCTTATTGTCAAGAACCAAATGCTCTTGATCGTCTTGGACACTCACTCACTCATTTCCCATTCCCTGGTCTTGAGGTATCTTTTGACTTAGATCAAAAGGTAGTGCAACGGGTACAGACCTTGTGACTGTGAGGACACCGACCTTCTGATATTGATTTTCAAGATCTACACAGTTGTGATGAGATCGTGATTCGGAGGCTGAGCTCTCGCTTCTAAGTTTTGCTGTCGAGGATGGTAGATCCTTCTCCTGGTGACCATATTTCTCTTCTTCGATCGTCGAGTTTCCAGTATGACCTTTTTGTGAAGCATAGAGAAGGAACCAAGATGAAAAACCATCTACGAGTATTGAGATCTTTCGAAAATTTGTAGACGATTAATAGATCAGACCTTTGACCTCCCACCAAGATCGATGAAGGAACAAAATTGAACCATTTTTTTGAAGGCAAGAAAGATCTTCTACTGTTTGATTCCAAAACATCAGGCTCAGATGTTAGAAAGTGACGTCATCCAAAAACATCGAGGAACGAAATAGTGAACGTATTCATTATCAACAGTGTTTTTGTCTATCATCTTACGTAAATAAGTCCCTTCAACATCAAAAGGTATCTGAGTAACATCACTGAGGAATCAGCACTCCATATCTCCGAAAAACCGTTTCAAAATGGTCAAGCAACTGTATAGCCTTCGCCTCTTTCTCCATTTGTGTGTCCAATTCCTCCTGTAATACGGCTATAGAGTGTGCGGCTCGGGAGAGTTCTGAGTGCAGAAGATGGGCTGGTGCGTTTGTAGTCGCTGCAGGTGTAGCAGGTCTTCTTTGGTGGTCCGGTCCTGCGGTACGATCTTCTGTAGGGAAAGGGTGGTAGACTGATCCTTCCTGATAAAGTGAAGCATCGTGAAGGGCGTCGTCCCGTGGTCGTGGTCGTAGTTCTGGTACAACTCTTCGTGGTAGATAGCTTATTTCGCCTGTGTTATAGAATAAGTTGTGGTTCTTGTCCTTCCGCGCCTCATGATGACCATGAACAATACCACTCTTCGTGAATCCCATCCTCTTCCTCGAGGATGGCTGAAGAAGATGAAACTCCGAGTTTTTGACTGCTGGTGGAGGTGGTGTGTACGCGTAGGTAGCATCGTAATCGGGTTCGGCTAAGCTCCTCGAGGGATCGGGATGATAATCTCTGCTATAGCTTGGCCGTTCAAAAGAGTAGTCTGCTGCTGACCTCGAGCGTCTTTTGCGGTGCCATCGGTCACTCGTATTTTGATCTACACGACCTCCAGCGTAGTCTCTGTAGATAAAATGTCGGTGGAGATTAGGCGCTGAGCGTGTCCTTTCTCTCGTTCTCGATGTTATCCGGCTACTATTCCTGCTCTGATCTATCCCAGCATCAAATGCCCTCCTCACTTTGCTGAAGCCCCTTTCAGTCTCCAAGAATTCTTGCTCTTGCTTGTCTACAATGATTTTGGGACCAGACATCGACCTAGCTCGCGCTTTGGCTGACCTAGGCTCTACTTTTCGCGGTCTTGAAAAGGTTGCTGTTGGAGGAAACTGTGCTAGGGGTGTGTGTGCTATACTAGTCGACGATGACGAAGATGTCCCTGTTCCACCAACTACAGTACCTCGTCCACGACCCTTTTCTTTCAGGCTTGGTCTAGGGAAACTGTCGAAGCTCTCCATCGGCACTACTGCTTCTCTACTGTTTTTCCTGCTTCTCGTTGAACCAGACTCGTCATGCCCAAGAAGAGGATGTGACATAGATAGGCAGCTAGATGTAGTTGTCGTGCAAGATGAACCCACTGCAGCAGAAGTCGCAGGTGATTTAGCTCTGGACCTTGTATTTCTTGTCAAAGGAACCCACTGGCTACTACTGCTTAGCTCACCACCGAAAAGTGCTGCGGTTTTTGGAAAGGGATGAGAAGATGTGGTACTAGACGGTCGCCTGTCGTCCTCTTGATGCTGTAGTTGTTCTGCAACGGGTACAGGAGGGACTTCAGTACTTCTCGGACTCGGAGTACTTTTCAACTGTCGGACTCTAGTAGAATTTGAATCACTTTTGCAGCGTCCTCTCCCTTTCGCCGCCAAAATCCCAGAAGTTGTCACCGTTTCTCGCGAAGGTAGCTCGCGGACTAAAATTTGTTCTGATGGCGTCGGTGGGTCCAGACCTATAATATCCTCGTGCAGATCCGGTAGTACAGCAGAAAAGTCGATAGTGCTGCTCTTCCTACTTCTATCGCACATGAGAGCACTATCATGTTCCTCCTCGATAAGGCTGACATCTTGGATCATTTCCTCTTCTACATAAGCCTCCGGTTCCGCATTGTCGTTGGGCGTAGTTTTCGTTTTCACGATCACCTCCATCTTGTCTTTCTCCTGATCTGTAGAAGTAGATTCCCCAACATCAGCAGCGCTGACGATGATCTCCTCGACGTCAGCGAAATAGCCACCACCGCAACGCTCTTCTGGTGAGGCCCCGGTTTGAAGTACAGCATCCTCCGAATATTGTGGCAAAAAAGCCTGTAAAGGAGACGGCTGTTGCCACGGTGGAGAAGGATTTTGTTGTAGTTCTGGCAGTTGATGTTGTGGCAGTTGATGATGTTGTGGTTGTGTCAGATTCACGACTACAACATGTGTGGAGGACTTGAAAGATGGAGAAGTCGCTTCATCTGAGGGAGCACCCACTCCAGGCAGGACTGCGGTAGACGCCTCATGCACAACAGAACTGCGATCCAACAAGGAAGGTTCTTCAGGTATCCTCTCCAGTGAAGGCACAACTGTACCGAGAAGACGTTGTCGACCTGTACTTACGTCTTCGAATAGGATGGGTGGTCGTAGGACGTCCGATGAAGCTGAATCGTCGGTCACTTCTAGCGATGAATGTGGAGGTGGAGCGCGCGATCTTTTCATGTCAGGATTATCAGCTTGGGACGACGCTTCTATCTCTCGTTCTTGGCGTGTGACTTCTGCTTCAGCTTGTTCACCTACGGGTGTACGACCTGAAGCTGGCCGTTTACTGAAGCTCTTAAACAGCTCCAAATTGATATTCACGTTCACCAGTCCAGCACCGCCTTCCTCCTCTGCTGGACTGCAACCAAAGTCTGTGCCGGTCGGCGATAGCTGGGGTGGCGGACTTGCGGAAAAATTGGTACCTAGATACGTCTTCACCGAACTGGCAGGTCCTGCTACTTCCTCTGTGGTATATTCATTTTCATCTGTTGTATAATGGTCTTCACGTACTAGCTCACGTGGGTCCCTTGCTTGTCCACCTCCTAGAGGTGCCAACCCATTGGCGTTGATGTAATTGGCGTAAGCGGAGTAGTCTTCGCCTACAGTGGTCGATGCGCTCGAAGAAGATAAGAAATCCTCTGGTGGGAATTGTCTTGGAAGTTCTTGGTGTTGATTATTTGGTTGCCCAATCGGTCGAGGTGGTATTAGTTTGCTTGTTGAACTCCTTGAATGTAAAGGCTTCTGCTGTTCCTTAAGTTTGGTCGCATTTAGCTCCTGTTGTTTAGGACTCCAGCTGGTCCTAACGCCAATTCCCATTCCAGCCTCTTCCACAATCATTTCCAAGTCTGCCTCAACTTCCGACGATGACAGCTTCCTACTATTAGTTCTCTCATTTCTTGGAGGTATACGATGACAGGGCATCAAATCTACTTTTGTCCTGGATAAACGCTGTTTTCGGCCACTAGTACCTCCTTTACTAGATGATGCGCGTGAGGGAGGCGAGATAGACCGTCTCTTGACCTTCGGCGGAGGGGAGAAATATTGTGCCTGTTCTTGGTGTTGGTTTTCACCACTCGGTCGTGGTGGATCTGGAAGATCTTCTGAGATCTTCCGTAGAAGTCCCTGTTGCTCCAAGGCAGGATCAAGACCAGCACTAGAGGATGATGGCGCGATGACGAGAGAAGTTCTCCTCACTGGTGCCGTGGAAAATCCTCGATGTTCTTGTTCGTCTACTAGGGCGTTATCTTGGTTGATGCGGCATCGTTCTTGCATCGTTGTGGTCGAATTACAAGAAGACGATGAAGACTGTTCAAAGGCAGTGGATATCTTACTGCTTGACGCATCTCCAGAAGAGCCTCCAACGGCATTGGCAGTTTTCGTCGAATACCCAGATGAGCCTCCAGGAGTCCTTGTCGTGCGTGATTGTAGCCTCACAGGAGGTGCGGAGGTTTTTTCTCTTGATCTGAAGAAATCACCAACGTAGTCTGGAGGACCTACGGCTGGCGCGGGAGCAGCTTCGACTGCTGCCTGTTGATGAGTAGTGACCTCCTTCTCTGGTGGTACAGAGGACGAAAGTGTTCTGAGGGGCCATTCATCTACTTTAGCACTAGAAGCCAGTCCCGCAAAAGCAGTCGTAGTTGTAGCACCATCAACAACTGCCGACGAGGACCTGCTATCCGCTTTAGGCGTGCTTCTTGGTGCTGCTATGCCAGCGGTAGTACTAGAAGAGCGAATGGACTGCTCCATCGCAACAACCAAACTTGAAGGTGTTTCCTGCTTTGCAACAACGTGTTCAACATCAGTTTCTCCTGTGCCGCCACCGCCATGCTCTACTTGCTGAGATGACGGCGCATGTAGCTTGTTTTCAGCAGTTTTTGTCTTGCCTTCGTTTTCATCTCCTTTCGGTGTAGCCCAGCTAGCGTGTGTTTCCAGCTCCTGCACTATTCGTACTCTCTTTCTCGTAGCCGGGACTGTCGTTGTGGCTGAGGAGACTGTAGACTGATCTTCGTGTTTCTCAACCTGATCATCCTTCTTGACCTCCAAGCTCCTTTGTGTTGCTCGTCCCCCATAACGATCAGGTAACGCTACTAAGGCATCGACCAACTGCGTGTTTCCGTATACGAAACGGTCTCCAGTAGAATCGGTCCAGCCTGGGAATTTCCGCAAAAACGCGCGCCAACTCCGAAACTTCTGCCCAAACTTACGCAGAAAGTCGTCCTTCGTCCACACAAAGAAGTCTGGTGGGTGATTCGCTTGAAGGGCTTCGAGTTGAAGACGATGAGTTGTTGTTGTCGTGTGTTCTTGGTCAACATGACCGAGGAGACCGTGTCCATGATTTCTTGGTTCTTGAACCACGGTATAGACTATCGTTTCTTCTATCTTCTCACCCGAGGAAGACGTGGTGATAGCCCAACAGGTCTGTTGTATCGCTTCCAGGAGGCCTTTAGCCTCGGAAGAAAACCAGTCGGGCGAAACGTGGTATACTTTCACACCAAGTTGGTCGTGTTCACCCAATGGTAGTTCATCCTCCAGCCGTCCTCTAGTACTCACTGTCCCTCTCGCTATCCACAACCTACCCGTCTCGACGCAGAGCATCATTCCAGTTTCGCTGGCTCTAGCTTCTTCAGCAAGTGCTGCGTTGGAATCTCGTCCTTCGTTGCTTTTGTTGCTACCTTGACTCCTTCTGACCAGTACCTGTCCATCCTCCTCCAACAATTGAGCCCAATCCTCCAGCGATCCCGCTTGCAATAATGCCACAGATGTTGCACCGAGATCCGACAGGCTTTGAAAATTTGGGAAGTGACTCCGGAAACTCCAAAACCAACAAACGTCGGAGAGGAAATGCCAGAAAGTAGACGATTCTGACGTCGGATGTTGGTCCCGCACACTGCTATCTTCCTCGTCTTGAACAAAAGGATACGAGCGACTCCTTGGTCGACGGTCGACAGATACAGAAGCTCGAAGACAAGAAGATGCACTGGTTGACCGTTCGCTTTGACTTGTAGCTGCAGGAAGTGTGAATAAATGTACACACGTTCTACTTCCTTTGTTTCGCCTCTGGTCCTCTTCCACAGTGTTTGTCCTTCCTTGCTGCACATTGTCAAGGAACTCCGACAATGCTGCATCGATTGCACGATCGTCACCAGCTGAAGGATCGGCAAATCTAGCATCAAAGACATGGTTGTCAAGCACCGCCTCCGCAAAAGTAGCATTGATTCCTGCAATTACGACGTTGTTGATGAAGTCACTGCACTGAAATAGCAAGTCAGCCGAAGAGAAAGGTGCTGTTTGTGTTGTCGAACTCCTCGCGATGTCTGTTATAGCTCTCGGCCTATGCTTTGTTCCCCTAGTACCATCTTAAAGGTTGAAACATTTCATTTTTTAGTAGCAATCTCAAGTAGAGAAGGCTTGTAAAAATGAAATGTTTCAACCCTTAACCATCAAGAGCATTATGTTGGCGCAAACATGCGGCTTGCAACTCTCGTGCCCGACTATAGACCACTTCCACATCATTGTTCTCATTGTTGATCCCGAAGACAGACAGAGCTGACGCGACTGAAGCGTTTGCGGTGGTCGTCGCTCTGGACTCGAGGGAAAGAACCGCATCCAACAATGCCTCCACCCCTTGCAATGAAGGCACCACAACCGGTCCAAGCTCCACTCCGAGAACATGATATGGAAAGGAACAAGATGAAGGAGCAGAGGAGCCAGAAGCGCCACTCCGTAGAAGTCCTAGCTCGAGTGATATCAGCGGAACGCTAGCGGAAAATACAGGTGAAGCCACCAGATCCGCGAAGGTTAGAGCTCAACACCATAATCCATCCCGAAATGCATCCTAGGTGCCTTTTCCCCTTGAAGAGTCTCGATGCTGACATCTTCGTACAAGATTAGAGATGTCAACATCCGTTGCTCACGACAATGGGGATGCTTCCGGAGATGCATGATTAGGGTAAGCCTTAATAAGGCGTGTAAAAATCTACAACTGCGGCGAAAGTTGCCCAAAGTTGATGCTGTTGCAAAGGACTGTCCTCTAAAGCCGGCGAAAAAGAGACACCGCTCATCATCCACATCCTCTGCATCTGCACCATTCCTCCTCGAGGATAAGACCTTTTCCAGCTCAAGCACGGAGCAGTGGTCATCCTTCCTTTTATAGTCGCTGCTTGACGCTCCATGATTAGCTTCTTGTAGCAATAAAACCAAAGGAGAAATACTAGTGCATTCGTCCGATTCGTTTTCAGCACGGGAGTCGGAAGCAAACAAATCGGCAACCTTAGCGGAACGAACGATATCGAAAGCCATTTTTGTGGGGGCTGACTGACTACTTCTACGTTGGAGGAGGCATCATTTCATCGCAGCAAGCTCAAGGTAGTTGTAAGAATTCATAGTAGTAACTACTCGCAGACCACTTTTAGGGTCGTCGCACTTTTAGGGTACTAGGTTAGGTTGGGTGTAAGCCATCAAGAAAAACTAGCAGACATAGTTGGCTGCCAAAGAGCCAAGAACAAAGGCGGGGAGTTAACTTCTATTGCGCTTTTCTCATTTCTACGCGTCTACTCATTTTCTCATCTCGTTTGCAAAGGAAGGAGGACCACACCTTCCCTATCATGCATAAGTACTTAGATGTGGCGGATGAATCAGATTTCTTTATCGTGATATAGGCACACCTTGCACGACCGACATCGCAATTTTCATCTGCTTGCTGTGTTCCTTTCATACCGAACAATATCACACGGTGTCTAAATGGAAGCTGTTCATCCCTTCCCTCGTCCAATATTCTGCACACAACTTCTGCGATGAACACCTGAGAAGTGCGATTCATTTTTTCACAGGTTGCTTTTTTTTTGTGATTAGATTTGAAGATTATACGGTCGTCGTTCTTACTTACATCCAACATTACTGAATAAGTGGAGATCTTCCTATTCTTCGTATTTTACGGTTACATGAGGAATCCTGGATTCATGAAGTTGAAGAAAGAGCAATCTACTAGAACTAGAAGATGATGATGAAGAACTAGTACACTAGCAGGAGGAATGTTGGAAACAATCGAAATGATCCAATCAACACTCGAAACTTAGGAAACAATCGATATGATCTGATCAGATCGAAAGCTAGTAAGTAGTACCTAGTTAGTAGCATTTATTTATCATGTCATTAAAAATTTAGTGCATTTCTATTTCGGATCATCAACTACCCTAGTAAGTAAGTTGATGTCTATTATCTCAGATGACGATATTATTCAACTCGATCATATCTTCAAACAAACCTCCAAGCAATAAAGACAGATATATCCGATGAAGAATAAAATCTTCTTGTTCCTTTTCCCCATTGTTAATATTCTACTTTCACTCGTCCTTGGGATGGGTGAAAAGTTAGTTCTTACTCTCAATGACACACGATTAAAGAACAAAAAGATCCATGTTGATGAACAAAAAGTCAAAAACGGTACAGAGTTTTCTAACAAGATCATCCACTTTCAACCGAAAGTAGAAGTTGGTATTGGTGTACTACAAGATGATGGGACAGCGATTGATACTGTAGAATCAATTATCAAGCTAGCTACCGAGCTAGCTAATAAGCTGTCGCCACCCCTTGAAATTCTTTACTTATCAATATGCAGGCGGCGCCAGAAAAAATCCGCCTCCGACAACCGGAAAGCCGTTTTCATCGGACAGGGAAACCAGAGTAACCACTTCGCGACAAAGTGGGCACTTGCAGATGTCTCTTGGCCTACTGGATGTGAGTGTCTGACAAATACACCTCAAACAGAACCCGTGTCCGCAGGGTGCACGAGTCAGGCGCTCAAAGTCGTCTAATGAACGCTCCCACTCATTGACAATGTCGATAAGGGAATGTCGTTCCCCCCCTTAGGTGGAACGACATTCCCATATTTTCGTTCTCAATGAGTGGCATCATACATCTAAGCATATCGGGCACTGCATCTGCTGATCCGATGTACTGGCTTTCTGTTGTACATTCATCTTCGTCATCTTGTTACTACTGTGATTGTTGTTGAAATTCAAACTGTCCCTCTCGTGAAGATTCCTCAAAGGAGAGAGCGAACGAACTTCTGCTTTTGCGTCACTAAAAGTCCCAGATTTAGATCCTGGCCACCAGGATCCAGTATTATGTTGTTGATCGTCTACTTGATGCCCACCAGGCTGTTGCTGACCAAATTCCTGTGGTCCATCAGATTGTTTCAAAATGCTTCGACTCGCTGACCGTGCGGCTAGAATATTGGTACTGCCACTCAAACTCTCTCCCTCCAGAGGACTTTGATGTTGGTTGATACCGTTTTGAGGATAGTATCCTTGTTGTCCTCCAACTCCAGCGTTTACGTTTACTGGGTTATTTACCACTTGATGTTCCCTTGCAGGTTGAGACCCGATATAGGGCTCCTGTGCGCGCGGACCGCCTTTTCTGTAATTCTCCAAAGCAGCCGCAACGTCCAAACTCGTGCCTATGAGTCCGTCACGGGTGGCTGTGCCGGACGAAATAGGACCTGGAATTCCACCTCTTATCATCCTAGAACCCACGGTCATGTCCGAATCCGCAGCTGTGACATTACTCACTCCACGATGAAGCTCTGTTTCTTGTAGTTCTGCTTGTTGTTGGAGCGTTGTGCTACCTGATGCACGTGAATCTGCACCATCTGCAGCTACAGAGGTTGCGTAGTTTATTGTGGTGGTGGCATTATTTGGTGCGTTGATCATCTGTCCTTGTCCTTGTCCTCCTTGTGTGGTGGTGCCCATAGGCTCTGGGGCAGTGAGCATCGTGCTTCCGTGAGAAACATCACGTGAGAAACAGCCTATTTGAATCCTGTGGCCAGCCACGTCGGCTGCACCAACCTCTGAACAGACCCGAGTCAGGTCGCGTTCGTGCTCGAAATAGAGTCCGGGAAACCTGTAATTTCCCTCCATCAGAGGTAAAAACTGCGCTTCTCCTTGCCAAGAGGCATAAGCTCCTCCACCTCGTCCTCCAAGGAATTCTACTCCTGTAGGAGTAGGCCTTTGCAGAATTAGATGGCTATTTATGATCTCTCCACCACGACTCGTGTCGTGACGAGGACCACCGGTCGTGGTCGGTTCATCTTGGCTACTGCGCAGATCCTCGTCTAACGACGTCGAGCCTGGAAGTCGAAGGCGGTTAGCATCTAGCGGAATATTGTCGTCCAGTCGAGGCAAAATTTCTTTACTAACCGACGCACGACTCGAGAGTCTGGACATTTTGCTGCAACTCCTTGATGCGATAGTGGCGATGCCTGGGAAAAAAGTCTCCATACGCGGAGCAATGTGAACGACGCGAGAAAGCAGAGGCGCTTCCCAATGGCGCACATCCGCACAGCCGTGATTACTTCGGGTCACGCCCTGTTGAAAACGATTGTTATGAGTCTTGAGAGCGATGATCATGATGTATTTGGGTAAATGAAGTGAGACAAAATCGACTACAACTCTGGGCAGATAGTTTTGCAGAGCATCCAGACATAGATAGCAGAGAGCACGTAAAGACGCAACTACGTTCTATTATCCTTCTGATTGTCATGCCGTCCTCAACAAAGAGCAGTTATTTAGGTTTAGCGTCCTACTTCAACAGTACAGAGCAGCACCAGTCTCTATTATACATTGATTAGTTAGTACCCTGAACTTCTTGATTTTGTCGTCCCATCTCAAGACGTATTGATCCACGTTTGCTAGAGAAAACTTGGTCTCCTCATTCCCCTCTGCGGCCAGAAGAGGGTCGATCACCCGATAGCCACAGAAGTAGATACACCCTGCACGATACAATCCGCGTACTTTTTCGATCGCAGTTTGACCCACTCGGCGCTTGAGGAAGTCGCGTTCACTGAAGAAGATGTTGTAGTTTTGATTTATCGGTAACGGCTGTGTCGTGACACAAAAACAAAGCCAAATGCGAATATACGAGAGCATCGCATGACGAAAGAACCGTTCGCGTTGTTCAGGAAAGAAAGTTCGAGACGTTGATGATAAAAACTATGTGCTTAGGTGCGTGCAAGACAAGAATACATAGCCAACCACGTGTGCGTATTCATCATACTGCATCTTCCCAAACGACTATACTCAGCCATCGGCGGTATCATATTGCCAATATTTGACTAAAGATCGATACCCAGCAGCCAATGGCCTGACATGCTCGTCTTCCCAGTATATTAAATATATAAAAATCAATACCCAGCAGCCAATGGCCTGACATGCTCGTCTTCCCTGCAGTGTATCAGATGCCACTGAATGATGCCATCCACTAGAGAAACCGGACCACGGGATTTTCTCGTTGAAGTAGTTGTAGAGTTGTCAATGTTGTCAATGTTGTTGGTGTTTGGACCATCAGCATTGCCATTGCCTCCATCAGAATTACCATTTGTACTATTGCCCACATTGATGATGTTATCATCTCCATTGCCATTGCTGTTGGCGACACCATTGTCATCGCGTTGTTCGCTGCCAGAATTGGCCGTGGAGCCTAGTCCAGTCATGTAATTGAAAACCGACAGACCAGGGGTCATAGATTTCGCGGCTGGAGGTTGCTGGTTTTGCAAAGATTAGAGAAAGAATCCTAATAATTCACATTTTTAGCATCTATAATGTAGAACCAAAAGAGTAAGAATCCTGCAATGCGAATACCCTGCTACTTGAACCTGGTAACCAACCATCTAGTAGTGCTAGTAGTACAGAAACAATTTGAGTAGTCTTTTTCTAGATCAGATCGTCTAGTTCTAGGTTCATGTTCAAAGTCTAGAGCCATAATTTGCTTGTTCTCTTTGTTGTTGCTCTTTTTTCTGTCGGTGTTTTTCTCGTTGCGCGAAGTGATTTAGTTCTTCCTGGATCGCTTGCTGTCGTGTTTCTTCAGGGATATCTTCGTCCATGAAGTCACGATTGTGGCGATTAATACCAGATTCCAAAATCCGCAAACGCAAAGTGAACAAATAACCTAAGCCATCGTCATCGCTGGCTTGCCAAGAACCCTGTTGTGTGTTTAGGTGGGGAGGTAGTGGCGAAGTGCGTGTTGTGTCCTGTTCTTGTAATGTAAAATTTTCGAATCTTGAAAGATGATTTCATGATGTTGCTGCGACGGGCAATAAATACCTGCCTACACTAGGTTGGTCTACTTTTTCTATCCCACAATCAACTTAGTTACTTCCTTGCAAACGCAAAAAAAAGCCTTACAACAGCTAGATGTAGAACTGGCTGTACCTGCAACACCAAATCCTGTTTCGCTTGTTCTAATGGCGTTTCGTCTTCTGGGGTCATGACGGCTACTTCCTTCTCCATCTCATCCTGCAAGATCTGTTGCCTCGCTAGCCTTTTCTCGGCTGGTGATTTGTCGTCAGCGCCTTGATTGTTAGAAGTGTGTCTTTCTAGAAGGTTGCAGACGATGTACTTGATCGCATGATGATGGTGAAATAAACTAAGACCAACTTTATCTAGTACTGCTACCAGCGAGGACGAGTTAGATAGAAAAGCACATCTATCCATCCATAACTCTATCAGCCGTCTCCATCAAGTCGAGGCTGTGCATTCGACATATCTGCCCAAATTCCGTCAAATGTAGATCCAAGTCGAAATCGTGGAAGTACTCGATCTCGCAAAGTCGATGCTTGGACACCCACGAATTGACGATGGGCAGCCCATCGAGGCTCAGTGCAGGACCGGATAACGACATCTGGTTGGAGGTGTCGACGAGGTGATTAGAAGTAGAAGCAAATAGACGTGATGGTAGAAGTTGTACTAGAAAGTTTTCCTTTTAGATTCGATTTCGAATCGATGCGGCAGCTTGCCGAAAATTTCCATAGCTCGAGTTCTCAACATTCCTTGAAGATAGTTATTTATTACTCGAAGGTGGGACGTTGTTCATCTTCCCCCTTGGTTTGTTTACAAAAGTAAGAGCTTCTCATACATCACAGATACGTTTATTCCTCTTGATTATCTCAGTCGGATAGTACTTCTCTATCTACGCACGACCTTAACTTGACGCTCTTGCGCGATATTCAAGCCTCCTGCTCGTTGCGGAAAAGGCTCTGCCGCTGTTCTTGGATCCTGTTCGGAGAATGACCACGCAGGAGGATGACCTCCACCACTAGAAGACGAGGTATTATTATACGAGTTATTGTCTCCACTACCTCTACCGTCGTGACCGTCAGTACCAGTAGTACTACCGTCACCAGCAGTTGTATCTCGTCCGTCTCCAGTTAAGTCACCATGATAAACGATACTACTTGTTAAGGAATTACTCAAAAATCTCTTAATTCGACCATAAAGATTGCCACCACCTCGAAAATTTAACATGATGATTCATTCTACGTGCGCATATCAAATGACGTCGTGAGGACGCGCTCTGGCCTAGGTTAGGCCAGGCGGCGATCCGCCGTCCACAGTTTGACCTGTACCGTCAAGCGATTATCATGCTCCACCACAAAAATTACTTAGAACTCCTGCGCGACCCTATCCTCGCCGAATGTGTGCCCTTCTATTTGTAATATTTGGTAATGCATATCAAGACAAATATTTAGAACTCCTGAGTCCCAAACTGTTCAGTCTAAACAAGGGAGAACTAGACCAATAAAGATTTGACGTCCACCAGTACTAAACTGTCTATCATCGATAGAAAAATTCGAAAAAAAAGTAGATACATTCACCTACTACATGCACTTCTTGAAAATTACAGTTCGTATTTGACAACTCTATCAGATTTTTGAAAATCTATCTTCTTCTAATATACTTCAGATTTTTTAGCACGTGCGTGCTTTTTGTTTTCTGTTCACTGTCATCACCAGAAGAGGAATTGGAATTCTTGGCGCCTTCATAAGTCTTCTTGCTTTAGCTGAAATAGTAGATATCTTTGATTCATGTTAGCCTCAATATTAATATTCGTAAACGTAATTACGTAATCGAAGCTCCTTACAGCAAAAGTCTCTATTTCATCAATTCACTTCAACTTCAGTAGGTTTTTTTCTGTATCGCGAGCGAGTTGCCGTTAAGTATAAATAGATTCAAATTCAATTTCAATCAATTTGACATGAACATCTCTTCTAAGTAAAACACAATAACACGGACCGTATGAAGATAGGAAAAACGTCTACAACTCTTCTACGAAATAACCTGGTTGAATGCGAAATGGATTTGCAGGGTTATGTTGGGTAATGGAAAGAGATAGAATTCAGGGTCGAGTCCTAGGTACGGACGGTTAGATGACAAGTCTCAACCTCTCGCGTACCTCGTCGGAAATTATGCAAGTCAGTGTTCGGGGGATATTATCGTACAAGTCTTCTCTCGGTCTGCCTCGGTCCTCTCTCGTGATAAAGACCATATCTATGATTCATTGTGGTTACCTTCAGCAGGAGCACTAGAGTAGATTAACAGGAGCACCATCACTTTTCAATATGTGACTTTGAGGTAATATCTCTTGATGTTCCTCCATATCACAGACGAAACTTTCTACATGAACACACCAGAAGACGTTTCACAGAGAGACTCAACAGAGATCACTCACCCTCAAAAAGATCCGCTCAGTCGTCTCTCCGATGAAAGGCTCGTTTCCTGTTCTAGAATCATTTCAACCATCTTGACAGATGAAGAAGACAAGAACAACTGGAACTACGCATGAGGAGCAGATTTTTAAGTAAAACTCGTATCTAGCTGTATCTAGGTATAACTCAACCAATTTGGACCTGCGTCATAGGAATCCAGCCATCCACCACGTTTCTCTTTCTTACTTATCGTTTCTAGGTCTCTGAGATTGGGGATTCTGGGTTGTGTGGTGGAAGTAGAAGAAGTAGATGGATCATGTTCATGTGTACCACTTCCACGTGTACCACTTCCGCTTCCGCTTTCATGTTCACCTTCACCTTCATTCATCTCTTCTCTGTCAGTAGCAGTATCGGTAACAGTACGTAAATTCTCATATCCAGGTGCTCCTTTTGTCTGCCCTAGTCGCACTAAGCCGTTCATCGCAAGCTCTTCGTGAAGCCAATGAATCTTACTTCTACCACGAGAAGTGCTGGATGTTGTAGTACTACGTCGGGCAGACACCAAACCATAGATACGGTTCTTGTCGCCGTAGACCCTTTCTCCACGTGTAAAGATTTGGCGCTAGTCTTTCACTATCCCTGGTTGAGTGAGTTGCCCGTTTTCGCCTTGGTTTCCCCTCTAAATCCAGGGGGACTCCACTCAGCATAGTCGGTCCCCAGACATGGGGTAGTGAAAAACTAGCCTTAAAAGATGTCAAATCCTTTCTCCATCTCCATCTGCTTCGACTGCTTCTTCTTGTCACCATTCTTTCTGCCTTCGCCTAGCCCTAGCGTTAAAAAATTTGTCGTAAAGTCTTTCGCCCATTGTCCTACTAAGGAAATAGGTTTTTCAGCATCAACTGCAGAATAAAAAATAGGTCTTTTATCTTCATGTTTTCGATCAGCACGAAGTCGATCAGCACGCATGTTTTCCGTCTCCGCATTGAAATCTTGAATGCCGAAATACTTCGCTTGACTCTCCAATCTGTTGCTGTTACTCTCCTGCACAAAGCCTCCTCTATCGCGTTTGTAGATCTTGTAAAGACTTTCAGGTGCATCAACGAAGTAAAGACGAAGTTCCTTGGCGAAAGCAGGTTGTCCTGGAAGTATCTGTTTATGTTTCTTCGTTTTTTTGCCTTCGTCGTCGTCCACCACCCTATCAGCAGCTTCTTCACTACCAGAAGATGCATAAGAAGTAGAAGAGGAAGCATGTCCTTCTCCATCCTTGATCTCCGGACAATAGACGCTAAAGGAATCTCCATCGTTGTCGTTCATTTTCTTACTCCCTTTCTTCTCCCATCTTCCTTGGCCGCTTTTATCGAACACCAGCTCATCTTGTTCGTCTCCGAACCCAAAAGCCTTTCTTACTTCCTCAGGCTCCTTGGCGATATTCTCCTTGGAGATTAACCTGCATTTTCTATACCGAAACCATTCATCGGCAGGATAGGGTAGTCTGTGCGATGAACTGCCATAGCCCTCTTCGTAAAACGAAGATGGCCCGATCAGAAGGAAAAGGATCGCAAGGATCCACGCGATCCCTAAGACGAAAAGAGTCCAGGCTTGGCCGCGTTCGACGGAGAAGATGTAGGTATTACAACAGCCTAGGCGAACGCGCCCTTTGTTCTTTGCTGCTTTCTGGTTTGTTCGAGCCATTTTGAATTTTTATCTATACTAACTGATCATACGGACCGAGCATCAAGACACTACGTAGCGCTTACGTATCTACTAAATACGAAGGAATCAAGAAGAGAAAAGATTTAGGAAGGAGAATGCGTCCGTGCCGAGGACGATCAATATAGATATACATAGTATGTTCGACTAGCACTACGTCTAGGTCTACGCAGCTTGGCAATGAAAATTTCAGAGTTTTTCAGTCAAAACCCTGTCTACAAATTGCAAGAAAACCCTCAACGGGCTCTCCATTACCCAGCAAGCAGAAGCTTTTGCACGATTCTCAGCAGGGCAGACACGAAGATTAGTTTGGAAACGCAAACGGTTCGTCGCTTTGATAGTTTTTCAAGGTCCTCAGGCGAGGTATGTTGAGTTTGGGAATGCTTTGATCCCGAGCCATAGGCAAGCTATGATAGGTGTAGAAACAAACATTCAGGGTGTGCATGCATGACATCAAAGGTGTGGTGAGTAAAAAGAACTGGTTATTCATGGTTACATCTGTTTCGGTAGTGTGTTCCACGAGAGCACATGCTGACCACTCAATAGTTTTCTCGCGTAACAAGAACAACAAGACAAGGATGAAGAAGCGCTCTCTACTAGTACGCTTTCAACCGATTCCACTACTAGCAGTTGAGTACTATTCCTACTCATCTTCCTCCCCACTACTCCCGGTGAAATCTGCTGACAAGTTATCGAGGTCATCTGCAGCTTGCGCTTCTCTCCACTTTCGTTTGTTTTCCATTTCGGTTTCTAGTCTTGAAACTTCCGCTTGCCTTAGTTTCTGGATCGATGCATGCATGATATCGTCCAACCGTATCGAGCCCGCCTCTTCTAGCAGTTCCGTACAGGTGGACGAAGACAACAGATCGTGCCTTTCTAGTTCTCTATGTGGTTTTGCACAGTTTTGAGGGTCTTCGTTCTTCAGGAGCTGGAGGACTCTTTCTCTGGTGGTAGAAATTTTCGCTGCGCTGGTACAACTCGCAGAAGAACTACTTGAAGAAGATCCTAACGCTTTCCTCAACACCTGCAGCAGCGGTTCTCTGATATGCCACACCCAGGCTAGGGCAAACTGGAAAAGAAAATGCACTCCGTCCAGCAAAAAGGTACGCAGGAAGTCGATCAAGAGCGAGAACGGTAGCATTCCGCAACACAAATGGGAGAAAATTTTGCTGCTCCAAGTCAACGTGAGAAATTGCCCAGCATCGTAAAAGAAAACTCGTTCCAGACCATCGAGTAACTCATAAGCCTCTGGCTCGTCCTGCATAGAAAGCCACTCTCGCAGAAGCTTCCAGACTAATGCAGCGTCTGCTTCTTCCGCTATAGTGGCTGAAGTGCAGGTGGAAGCAGCAATGGAAGACGCAGCAGTGGATGACTCAGTCGCGCCAGTCTGCTTGGACTTGTGGTCATCGTTTCCCTCTCGTTCCTGAAGATCTTGATCAAGATCTTGAAAGTAGTTCACCAAGACAAAGCTGGATATATGATGCGTGATCAATGCTGTTTCCTGTACACCCAAAAACAACGACAAAAAAGGCAGTAGTCTACACTGTTGGGAGAAGACACCAGATGGCACGGGTCCTTGTTCAGCCACGGCCTCAAACTTGTCTCCAATGGCTTTTCGCGTCCCTTCAGATAAGGTACGTGGAAAGCTCTGGGAGACAAAACGATCGATGTCGGCACGAAGCTTGGCTTGATTCCTCTTGGATCGGTAGGAACTGGCACTCGAAGATGGGGGTGCCTGTTTTGTATGAGCATGAGGCAGGGATGAAGAAGAAGAAGATCAAGTGAGTGTGGAACCATTCGAGTTTGGCCATGATCCTTGTGAGACACATTGACTTTCTTTTTTGAGACAAGGTACTAGAATTAAATTTTTGTATTTCACTCACAAGCACGACATAAATAAAGCTAGAACTACAAGTACAACACTAGCCAAAACTTCTCAATATTACCAGTTTCTGCTCCCGCCTCACATGGTCTCTAGCCACCGGCGTCGATGAGCTCTTTCCTCGCTTTTCTCCATCTCCACTGCAAAGGCCTAAAAGCTGCAACCTCATCTCGCTCTTGTATTGTTCGTATTGTTCGTTCATTTTCTTCCTTGTACTGGACAAAGACGCTTGTTGTTGAGCACCAGGACTTCTTGCACCCAGTGGTGACGAGGATGTTGAAGTACCAGTAAGAAGAAGATTTCCACCACCTCCATCTTGTCCTCTAGGTGTACCTGCTAAAATACTACTTCCGCCAATATTGATACCTCCAGTTCTTGTACCTCCTCCAACTCCACCGCCTCCACCAAAGAGGTTTCCGCCGAATCCGCCATGCGTCGTTCCTGAACTGCCAAACACCAGCCCCCCTCCAAAAACCGAGGATCCTCTCGTGTTCGACGTTCCTCCGAAGATATTGCCTCCAACCATGGTTCCAGCAGTGGATGCGACGGAGGTGAGGGAGGTGACGGACGCTGAGGATACTAACGGCGGTATAATTGCACCGGTGCCAGTGTAAGCAGCAGCTGCTCCGTTAGAACTGGCTATGCTATTGGTGCGATCCAGAGAACCAAATTGCTCTCCTCCTCCAGCTCCAGCTAAACCCGACGATGACGTCGCACTAGCACTAGGCGTTTTTAGCAGAGTTATCGTGTCGATTGTATCATTTCTCGCCAATATTCCAGTGCCACATGCGGTCTTGCTGAAAAACCCTTCCAAAATCTTCGTGGTATGCTCCCGTAAAAAGTCTGAAGAGGTTTCGTCATCAGCAATATCTGCCAAAACGATTGCTTTCTCGATTTTCACATCAGAAACATCACCAGCACCAAATAACGGCCTATCTTTTGCGAAGACTGATTTCTTTGGAGCAAAAACCGCGCCACCAAAAGCCACGCCAACCGTTTGCGCTTTCTCTTCATCGTCAATGGCTTCGCTTTCGTCTCTGAATTTCACGTCATCCACGCGGAAAGGAGCTAGGACAGGTGTTGGCGGACTCATGGGGATCTTAGGACTGTGTTTGGAAGGTGAAACCTTTGGAGTATTTGAAGGAGATATGTCGAGCAAGGCAGCAGCGTTCAGCAGCGCCTCAACAGCTGCGTCAGACCCTTCCTCTTCTTCGTCGTCGTCCTCTTCTTCTTCCTCTTCATCATCGTCGTCTTTATCGGTGTCGTCTTGATCGTCGTCGGCAGCTGCGGCGCCACCTCCAAAGATGCTCACTGGCTTGCCGGTACCTATAGCGCTTTGCGCAGACTTGTTCCCCTCGGTGCCAAACAAGAGCATAGACGTTGAGGGCGTGCTCTTGCCACGACTACCTCCAAAGATGCTGAGTGGCTTGCCATTGCCTATCTGCTGATCGTCGTCGGCATCATCTTTAGATGTTGAAGAGGTATTGTTCGTGGTATTGCCGAAAATACTGAAAGCAGGCTTGCCATTACTATTCCCCGTACTTGAAGCTCCGCCATTCTGGAACAAGCGACCAGTTTGTTGACCACTTGTTCTAGTGGTTGGATTGAAGATTGATGCGTTTGCTTGAGACACAGCAAAAATGTTTTTCGGTGCCGCTTCGTCCCCTGATGGAGACGAAGACGCTGGGCCATCTTCCTCGTCTGCATCTACTGAAGTCTCTTCTTCATCTTCCTCCTCGTCTTCATCTTCCTCCTCATCATCTTCTTCCTCTCCGTCGTCTTCTTCTTCATCCACATCATTTGCTGTGTGAAACGCCCTAGTAGTACTTGTTCTCCTAGCACCACCTTCTTCGACGTCTTCGTCTGCATCCTCGTATTCGTCTTCATCTGTCTCATCCTCATCATCCGGCGAGTGCAGCTTCCACCTCCACTTACTGTCTTTCCAGACCCACGTTCCTTCATTCTCATAGTCTGTCGTCTTGTACCACCTTCGATCCAACTCCTTCTTACTCAGATTTGGAAACAGGTCCTTGTTGGAAGTAGAAGTAGAAGTAGTTGCTTTATTGTCCTTATTTTTAGAAGATGAAGCTGATGTTTTGTTTTTATTCGCAGCACCGGGACCTGCAGTAAGCTTGAGGTTACCACTGACGACTACTTTTGTAGACACGCTTGGTTCCTTCTCCTTCTTGTCTTTAGATGTGTTACGCTTAGTGTTAGTACTACTGTGTTCTTTGTCTTTTGAGGCATTTCTACTTGACGATGTTCCTTTCTCCTTGTTTTCTGCCTTCTTCAGAAGTTGTCGTGCCTGCTTTCTCTTATCTCCTAGTTTTTGCTTTCCACTACGACTAGTGGCGTCTTCTTTGGAATCAGACTTAGATGGAGACGCACCAGCCTTTGTCCTGGTCGTGGAAGTCGACTTAGCAGTACTAGAGGGAGTACTGGAAGACTTGTCAACACCTCCATGCCCCTCAGCAGAAGGTACTGCTGAAGACGACAGCGATGCTCCAGTAGGAGTTTTAGTGGAACTGTTCTCCTTCATCTCGACACTTCTGCTTTGACTATCAGCACTCCCCTTCCTATTGCGCTCATCGCGCAACTTCTGTGGACTTGTGGCTGGCGGCCTCATTTGGGTTTTCTGACCACTTCTACCAAGCTTTTTAGCTTCTTGGAGCGCTTTCAAAGCAGCAGCCTGCTGTTCTACAGAGCCTCCGGAGAACAAGGCCTCTAACGCATCCCCTGGCCTGGAGGAGGTACCGTTTTGACCTCCAAACATATTTGTTCTTAGTAGTCGCTATATCTTCTTCTCAGTTCTTGTCAACATGTACCTGTGACAAATCAGATTTATTGTCATACTAGTTGTACTCCGCGGGACACATGGCTCCTTCATCAACGACCTGAAAAAGAAGACGCTGCAAATCACAAAGTCACAAATTATATGTCGGAATCTCATTAATGTCCTCGTTGATCCTCGCCTCAAGACTTGCTGCAACTACTGTATCATGAAATTTCCTTGTTTTCACTGAACGCAAGAGATCAAAAATGCATAGGACAGATTAGAGATGTCGATTGTGATTGTATCCAGTATTTCTGAAGATGACCTTTCATTCCAGCCTTGCCTTGTTTCTTCCGACAATAGAATGTTGCTGTGAAGATCTTCCTCTGATCACTTATTCATTTCAGAGAGGTATGATAAAGATCAACGCATGTGTTCCACACATGCAGCAAATTGAGGCTGCAAATAGGTGGACCTTGAACTACTCGTTGTTGTGTTTGAATCCTTCTGCTATGCTTCGAAGCAACGACCCAGTCTGGACGAAAGGAACACCTCACATGTCAAAGCTCCATGGAGGATATTACTCCTGTTCAACCCAAAGCTTTTTTTAGCTGTCTCTTGCATTTGCTTTGCTCCTTCTCTGTTCTTCTTTCATCCACGCCCACAAGAAGAAAAGAGAATATAAGGTAGTTTGAAGGTTTTTGATCACAGTCATGACTTCCACGACATATGAAGTCATAGATTCAACCTATGACCGCTCAAGAGGTGACAAATATGCCAGATCCACAACCAATTCTACCTCCTCTAAGCACCATGGTCGTACTATTTATTCCAGTGTAGAAGTACAACAACATACCCAAAACGCCAAAAAGACAAAACAAGACAACTGGCTTACAACACCACGGCTCTAGTACTAGACTTCGCCTGCTATGATGCTTCTCTACGTCCTTCTTGTCCTTTGAGTGATGTTGTCCTTAACAACTCCCGCGCGGATATCTTTTATTGTTCGAGTAATGCATATCCACAGTCAAGTGGTCAAGACATAAAAAATAATTTTGATCCTCTTCTCCTTCTCCTGAGAACAACTTAATAACAGGCAACACACTAACTTTCAGGTATGAAATAGCAACTTTCAATATCTTGTTCCGTCGTATCTCTATATATAATCGACTGTAGTATACCTGGACACCAGGGTCTCTTGTCCTCCTCCTCGCATCCTTAGTACAGCTTAGTGCACCTTCTGAATCCCTAGTACAACTTAGTTGTATCCTTAGCACATCCTCAATTGTGTTTGTGGTGGAGCCGACCTACCTAGAAAAATGAAAGACCAGAGGAAGATAGAAAAGAGAAAAGGGTAACTATCGGCAAGTATCCTCCTATCTGCTAAAACGAATTAAGCGCCGGCGCTATTGTCGTCCTGTCAGCCCCATATGTCTCACCTTCAAAGGCAGGCCGGAGCCCTGCGCAACGCCTCCGGTGAGTGCTTAGCACATCCTTAATTGTTATATATTTTTCTAGTACACCTTAGAACTACAAGTTGCGCCACTTTCTATTTCAGCATTTTCTTGTTGTTGCGCATGTTCCATATTTTCAGACATGTTGCGCGAGAGGATTCGCTAAAAGTTGCTCGGAAATTGCCGCAATCTGCACTCCCAGCGTAATGAATTGCAATGCGGCAATGTACTTTTGTTCTTCACTCATCTTGGCCGATGCTTTTGTCATCACCAGCTCTGTCCACACAGGTACGTCTCCCGAAGTGACGATGATAAACGCTGGCTCCTGTTCTTTGATGGCTTTGCGAGCCGCTGCTGCGTTCTCTCCGCCAGCGTTATAGTCCCCCAAATAGAATTTGCGAGTAATCTGCGACCAGCCTGCTTCGGTTTTATCGCAGAAAAACAGAGTAGACGCGGATTCGTTCTTGATCACTGGAGTTTGCGTCTGCCCATCAATCGGTTGCGCTCCATTAGGGTGGATCTGCACACCAGAAGTTTGGCACATGCAGCAACCTTCAGCGAACAACCGACCCGTCGCGATTGGTTGTCCTTGAAAATTCATCATGCTCCACGCATTATTCTCGGAATTGTAGAAGCTCTGGCCTTGCACTTGGCCGGTTGCGGGGTCCGTTAAATGCGCAAAGTAGATCCCCGTACGCGTCTGCTCGACATATCTTTGGTAGTGTCCGATCCCCCACTTCACCTTGCTGTGCAAATACTCAGACGCAATGTGACCAGCGTTGTTGGCGATTAAGCTGACAACTCGACCCGAACTCGCGGAACCAGTATAGGTTTCAACAATCGCTTGTTGCGGCACTCTGGCGTTGAAGGAGATGCGGTACTTCGCACCCGGAATATTCCAAGCAAAAGCGAGGTGTGCAGGAATTGCATTCGGATTTACCGCCAAAGGCTTTTGAGGATTAGCGATCATAGCATTCTGCTGTTGAGGGGCACTCATCTGCTGTTGCGGCACATTCTGTGTAGGCGGACTCAAGGCTCCATATCCTGGCTGAACAGCATTTCCTTGTGCAATCGGCATTGTTCCTTGTGCCATTCGGGCGCCTTTACCGCCAGCAGGTCCTTGTACGGCTTGAGGATACATGTTGCCCTTTTGTGCCATTTTCGAGCGAGAGTTATAATTCAGAGTAAAATGAAGCGTAGTTTTACTGTTGTAAAACTAAATTGCTCTGCAATGTTCGTTGTTTACGGGTTCAGTTGGAAAAATGGATGTTGATAGAGTGCTTCTTTAACACTTTGATGAAAAAAACTGTTTTTTGACTACCAAAAATGCCTCGTTTAGTTGAAGAGTGTTGATGTCATTTAGCGCGTTGCATTCTTAACACTATGGAAAGAGATTTCAAAGCCAAAAGTAGGGACGAAAGCCTGCAAAAATAAGTCAGGAATGTTTTTGGAGGGATGCTATTTGAAATGAAATTACAACTACCTTATCGATATCAAAGTTGCATCAGAGCACGAGCAGCTAAGTGGATCATACTCATATATAATTGCTCTCATTATAATTGCTCTCCATCTTGCCATACTTTCACATTCGCTAGTACACCATGATGATCTCTTACAACGCTTCTAGGATCTCACAACCGACGTTTTACAACGAGCTCTTACAGACCACGGATAAGCTTTTTAAGCTTTCGTTTTCTGTGTTGATCACAAAAATCAGCCTTCATTTTTGAAGATCTTGCTGATCATGTCCTGATCTTCTTTCTTAACATTCTGATCTTGATTCTTGTGTATTTAAGTCTGACTTGCAAAACAAAAACCATAGAAAGTTTTGTAGCAGACATGCACAGAATCTATTTCTTGACGCTGGACACGAACCAAAGCAATTGCTCTCAGCATCGCTGTCTATGATAGCGACCACCAAGCGCAAAGATCATTTAACGTGGTCACGATCCTCCATCCAAATGAATAATATTATGTTCAAGGTCACGAGTGTTTATTCACGATGATCAAATCCTTGTGGGGGAAGGAAAACTTGCGAGAGGATATCCATGGGTGCAGGTGCCATTTGAAAAGCACTCAGGAATGCCATTTGCGCGGCGTTTGAGTCCATACCTAAGGCGCCTAGCAAGGGAGGTGCTGCGGGAGGAAAGAATGCTCCATTTTGAAGCTGATTTTGTCCTGCTCCTTGGAAAAAAAGATTGGGTTGCTGGAGATCATGACCTCCAGTGCCCGCTATTTGTCGACTACCTCCTCCAGCTCCTCCTCCACTGCCTTTGTTATTGTTCTTATTTCCCCCCGCCCGTCCACCTCCTTTTCCTGTACTAGAGGAATTTCCGGGTGTCGTTCCGAAAATCGACGTTCCGCCTCCTCTTTCCGTCGCAGGCTTATTGTCGTAGAACCTCAACGTCCTCCAAGGATCCAGCACGCTAAGTCGCTCTAACAAGATCTTCTCCGGTTTAAAGTTGTAGCAAAATCGACGTTCTTTTGTCCCAGTACCCCTCTGCCAGCACTCCGTGAACATCCGGATTTCTTCTTCTGAGTACTCCTGCTCCATCGTCGACTCCTTCTCCAGCGTGATCCGCCCTTCCATAATGCTACAGAAGCGCGTAAAACTTTGCTTCCGCTTAATCTCCTCTATTTGCGCTGGGGAGAGTTGCTCGTAGGACGATGCGCTTTCAGGTGGATCTCCACTGGCGCCTGAGGCATCAAATTTCGCCAACGCAGTAGTACGACCTTGTTGAGAAGAACCATCTTGCAGAGCCACTTGACCACCATCTTCGCCAGAACCGGCAGATGAAGTGCCCTCTCTCAAACCTGCCATGCTATTATCTACAACCTGTCCAGTGACGCTGCCAGTGCGAAATTGCGCTGTCTGGGTATCCGGATTCTTCCCGAACATGGCCCTCATCCTTGCTAGTGTGGCTTCTTGGTCGTAGTTGTTGCCTCCTAGACCCCCTAGAGGAGCTGGAGGTTGCTGCATCTTCAGGGGAGGTTGTCGCATTGCCTCTACTTCAGGGTCTAGATTTACTTGTCCCTGCAAATTCGAAGGCATTTTGGGAGGTTGCCATCCACCTACAGATGAAGATTCCGAGCTTGCCTTTGCCTTTGCGACAGCAGCTTCTCTTTCCCTAGCAGCTTTCTCCTCCTCCAGTTCCTCAGCTGTTTTCCCAACCAATGGCGCCAACACTTTGCTTTTGTCCTCATCCTTGTTCAGGTAGACTTTTTCGCGTTGAGCTATGCCATCAATCGCGTGTCCGGCACCTCGAAACGCACGTAGCTGGGTCACTAAAGGATGCTCGCGAAACACATTGGTTAAGAACCAATGACGCGTCTTTTTAGCGTCGTAGTTGCGCAGTTCTCTAGCGGGTACTTCAGGCGCAAGTTTGAATTTTTCCCTCAGTTTCTCCACGTCGGTGAAAAACTCGAGCAAACCGCCATCCACAAACAACTTCTTCTCTGCGCCAGTTGACGAAGAGGTCTCTGTTTTCGCTCCATCACGTCTGCGTTTTTTATCACCTCGTAGTTTTTCATCTTCAATCTCCTGTTGAAGATTCGCATTGTTTCTAGAACAAGACCTACTTGTCCCAACATCAGTCAAATGATCTTGGTTGGTCTTTGGTCTCACTTCTTTCCTAGCGGTTCTAGCGTCGCGGAGATCGATCTGCAGATCGTATTTGCCCATATCATCCGCATACAGGTCGTCATCAACGTCGTCTTGATGCATCATGGAGTTCTGTAGAAACGACGTCCCGGGACCGGATGAGGGGCCTGCTGCTTTTGTGCTGCCTTTCTTATTCCCCTTATGATCTCCACCTCTTTTTCCATCTTTTCCAGCTTGTTTCCCCTTCTTCCCGGCGCCTCCACCTCCTCTTTTATCAAGTGACCAAGCATGCGTACCACTGTCCGCACCAGTTTCTTCAGCTGTGATGATCGCGAGTCTGTTGCCGTTTGTCTTGTGACTTCCTCCTACAACTGATGAACCAGGATCCAATCCACCGCCAAAAATCCCACTCATGATTTGAGCTAACCTTGGATTTGATGATCCCCATCCCGCATCTCCTTCTAGACCATCTCCTCCAACTTTTGTTAATGCTAATGCTCCTGTTGAGCCACCTGCTCCGGATCCACCCGATCCGGCTTTCAACCGTAAGAACCTATTCGCGCTTTCGCGCGTCTCCTCATCGTTCTCTTCGCCGACAATGCGATCGAGCTCACCTGTGAAGCCCAGTCCCTTGACATCGGTTTTCGGAATCAAGAAAGGTTGTAGGATAGACTCATCAGTCGGAGTAAACTGCGACACGGCTTTTTTCCTCCTTGCTTCACTTGCTAGAGATTGGAGTTCCGCTTTCTTAGGCATCTTCGAAGGAGGTCGTGCGGGACCAATAAAGGTCATATTACTGGTAGTTGTACAACTTGTTGATCCGGCTGCTTTACTCATACTTGTAGATGAAGATGTTGTGGCATGATCCACCTCCGGGGCTTGTCTTTTCCCGTCGTTCTCTTGATCTTTTCCCGTCGTTCCCGTGCTGGAGCCTCCAGCAGGAGGTGCAGGACCAACTTTACGTCGCTTGTTTGGTCCTCGTTGCTCCTCTTCTGTTGTCCTTTTGGCATTCTTATCGCTGCGCCTAACAACCTCTTCGTCAGACGAGCTAGAGGAGCTTTCGTCATCATAGTAAGATCGTAGACGCGCATCTGGTCTTTTTAGGAGAGGTTGATGTTGTTGGGATTGAGGGTGTTGTCCTGCTTGCGCTTCTGAAGCCTTCGTACTCGTTCCAGCACCCATGGGTTTTCGTCCACCGATCTGTAAAAGTTGCCTCTTGTTAGAACCAGGCCCAACAACTCCACCAGAAGCTCCTGTACTAGTGTCTACTTTAGCACTATTCCGTAGCTTCTCCTCTGGTGTTTCGAATCCAAGCCCCGCCAACAGCTTTGACACAACCCGGCTACGTTCAGCAACTGCGCTCCTGTCGAATAGGCTAGAGAAGTCGACATCTTGCTCTTGATGTCCTGAAGATGTCCCTGGCAGAACGAAAGAGCTCGAGTCAAAAAATGTACGACCAGTTCTTGTTGTACCCGAGCCCTTCTTGCCCCCAGCACCTTTCTCCTGTGTCGCCTGCCCCCCTCTGTATCTGTTATCATGAATATCAACATAATCCACTGCCCTTATTCCACTAGCGTAATCTTCTTCATCTAACAAGTCCTCTACAGTTCCCGCTGGCTTTGCCCGTTCTTGCCCTCTCTTACTTGTAAATTGCTTCGGGACGAAGCCTTCTTTTGTGTCGACAGAGTTGAAGTATCCTGCGGAGAAACCTCCTGTGAAAGCGCCATGGAAAACGGCTTCGCCACGAGCTTTGGCTACACTCCCGTCTGCACGCTTTTGTAAAACTCTGTTGTTGCCTTCTCTGAGGGCAAGTTGACGATTCGTGACACCCTTTTCGTCCAGGGCTTCGATGTCGTCCTTGCGAAGCTTGGTACCGAGAAACATCTTTTTTGAGAAGATGAAATGAGGGACAAGCAGCTACCTACCAACTACCAAGAAACAAAAATCATAAGGTATGAAGAAGTCAAACTAGAAGCTAGTAGTATCAACATTTTCCTCTAGAACAATGAGTCACTCATATATAAAATCAAGCCGAACTACCACATGAGCCAAGGAAGTCTGTTGACCCTGCGGGAGTTCTTGGATGAAACACGCGACAGTTGAGTGCATGGAGCATCACTGAGATGATCCTTATCTCAATAACGCATCACTTCAACATCTGCTATTACAGTGTTAGGATCGTACTAGTTGCAAATGCAGAGAACAACACTTCCTGACAACACACAACTTTGGAACCGCCATCTTCAGCAGACGATGGCATAGATGCAGTCGCATTGTTATTCGCTGCAGCCTTGAATATCATTCGAGCATTTGTCTCACATTTATTGTGTTCTTATTGCTATTGTAAAGAGTCGTGTGGCAGAAATGTTTGCTGTATGCGCGTTCGCAGAAGATCAACTACAACGAATCTTCTTCATAAGTGGTTGTTATTATGCACCATCATGATGAAATAGATACCATTTTTCATATACGACGTGATGGTGATTCTTCATCTACAAAACGCTGCATGTGAGTCGGATTCGGAAAGGTCTCAAGAACAATCGGCGTTATCATTTCACTGCATTGAGGAGCAGGAGCGCTTTTCACAGTATGAAACTTGCATAACTACTCGAGTTGCATTTTTCTGACTGGCGACTACTAGAAGCATTTTTTTCGCTAAAGCACTTTTCTACTCAGAAGTGCAGTACGAGCGACTGGAGCTGCGCTTTGTCTCAAATTCATTGACATTATAACTTACTACGTACTACTCTAAACCCTATGAGGATTTTCGTTGCAGTCTCAGTACCTTGACGCACTCGCACGATAGCATTCTTACTCATCTTGTTGGTTGCATTTGTTCGATATCTACTTGCCTACACAAAAGTCAAGCATAGCGTGCGGCTAACGTATTGTTCTAAAAGGTAACTTAACTTCGAAGACAGGGCATACTTCTGTCGCCTTCTTTTGTTGCAGATAATCCCACTAGTTGTTCTATCGCAAGAGAAATCAAAAAGAACAAGAGGAATCACGTACTTACGAGGAATGAATTCCCTGCAGCTTAAAATTGAAAAAAAAAAACAAGTCACGACATCGTCTAGCAAATCGACGTTCAAAGAAAATGAAATATCTTCTCAACAACATTTGATCTATTCTAGTACCAATCTAAAGCGAAAAAGAGGTCTTCAGCAAATCATCTGCTCAATCTGCTAAAAAGTAGTGTAACTATGTAAATATTAGTACTCAGTCTGTCTCTGGAACACACGTGATAACGATGATCTACAACTAGAAATTTAAGAAGCTCTACCTCTATTTCTTAAGCGTTTACCCATTGTCCGTCGGACTTTTCGACCTTCTACGAAATATTTTTTTCAATTGTGTCCCTATCTTCGCCGCTTCCAAAAGCGACCGCGAGCTCGCAGTTTGCTGTTCTGCTTCTGGGTCTATTGCCTGTTGTGCGGCCATCGAAGACCTTAAGAAGTCGGTCGTGGAATACAAATCACTACTGCCGCGGATGTGTTGCTCCGAGAGGAGGTGCGTCAAGCCAGCGTCAGTGGAAGAGCTGCAAGGATTAGAAGAAGTAGGTATTCTATTTACAAGAAGTATTCTATTTTTGTGTGTTGGTGTGTCTGTCCTAAGGTTTGGATGGATGAAACAGAGAGGGGGCGACCAACTTAATCAACTACATAAAAATGACTACTTGTTCGTACTTTAGCGTAGAGGAGTGGGGTTATTAGTGGGGGACTTGACTTGTGCTCTCTCTTTATTTGTTAACTCTGAGAGTGGAGGAGTGGATGGGATTAGGAGGACAAGGAGGAGAAACTTCAGCACGAAAATTCAATTATTTTCCCGTTCCTGGACACAAGTAGTCCTCTACTGCCTTAATAGAAGCACCTCCATGTTGCTGGAGTCCATGTTGCTGGCTTCCCCCGCCTCCACCAGTTGTATGTTGCCTCGCGTTTCCTCCGCCACTTGAGGTCGCTCCGCCTCCTCCGGCTCCGTAGATTCTACCTCCCCCTCCGTGAGAGCTCATTCCTCCTGAAGGCGGTGACTGTTCCGGATGCTGCTGTAGCTGTTGTAGTGGTCCTAATGTGCTAGTTGTTTGGTAGTTAATATGTAGTTGATGTTGTGGCTGATTGTTGTTGTACACTCCTGACGCACCTCCTCCGCTCGTCCCCTGATGCACAAGATGCATTTCATGTTCTTGTATCTGTTGTGGTTGAGCCACTGGGGGAACGACTGCCGAAAGGCTGCGTGGTCTGCCACTGGGGGAAGAGACACCAGCAAAACTGCCTGACCTTGGTTGTAAAGGGTCGTTTCCTGGATCATCTGGCGCCTCCAATGTGGATCCAGTGCTTCCACCTTGTTGTAGCACTGAAGAAGTTGACAATGCTGTAGCTGCTGTCCTGAACGCACTTGTCATCGTGCTCGAACTCGGTATGAACTCGGGGGTATCTCCACCACCTGGGGGCGCAGCTTGTGCGACTTGTAATAGCGTGCTGTTGTTGATTATGTTACTCGCTGAAGCGATTGCTGTATTCCCGGTTTGGTTTGAGGACACTGCTGATGTTGAGGGTGTTGGTTCATGTGATTGTGAGTGGGAACTTGGGGCAGGTTCCGGGGCAGGGAAACTTGGGGCAGCACTCACGTCCACCCCAACGGCAAGCGAGGACGGTGATGTATTACTTGGGAAATCCCCCGTGTTAACACCTCCTGGATTCGAAGTGAGTCCTGAAGACGGATCTAATCCTCCTGCTTGAAGTCCTCCTGATGTTGCTAAGACTCCACCGATACTATTCCCAGCCGCAACTCCCCCACCACCAAGAATAACAGGCGGCGCGCTGCTCCTCGGTCTTGCTGCCGTCCCAGCAAGTTGCTCGCTACTTGACCCGCCAGAAGGCACTAGATTTTGTCCGCTGCTGTGTGGTAAGTACGTGTTCGGTAAAGGAACGCCTCCGCCGACATGGCTTCCACCTAGTGACGCACCAGGAGTTGGACCGCCGCTCACAGCATGTGCGGCTGGCGGACTATTCATCTGTATTAAGCCTGCTGTACTTGAAATATTGATGTTGTTGTTCATGGATGAAGCTGTTGTATTGTTAAGGTTAACTAGTGAAGAAGATGATGACACACCAGATTGAACACCTCCGGAAAGTCCTCCTGCTCCCAGCCCTCCTCCTCCTACACCCCCAGCTCCACTGTTACTCGGAATCCCAGCTCCTCGTTGATGCCAATTATAGATCGCCGCAGAGCTAGCACCACTAGCAAAAGAAGCTCCCGCACTTAAATTAGACCACGTCACCCTAATCCATCCTGAGATGCTACATCCTGGGCGTCACCCTAATCCATTCTGAGATTAGACGTGGTCAGGGTCACCCTAATAAAGTCCTTGAGAAGTGGCTTCAGGATGTTTCTGGAGACGGATTGTTGTATCAACTCATAATTAAACTATGTTGCTGCTGAAGTCCCAGCGGCCCGCCACCTTGCGGACCTGTCAAGCCTCCAAAATTCATACTTCCAGCTCCAAAGTTCATGCTTGCTGCATTGCCACCGCCTACGCCTGCCCCTACAGCACCACTGATCCCTGCTCCTACACTAACACTTTGCATGGCTCCTCCTCCCATCGAGCCACTGGCTGACCTGCGCACGGCTACTGATCCTCTAAGGGGTTCAGACTTCATGAGGAAAGACGAACTCTGTTCCGGAGCCGCTGACAAGTCTAGCGATGGCTCCCTTAAAAGCACGACTTCCTCTTTTTGTTCTTTTGTCGGCGCGATTTGATGAAACTGCGAAATTCGATAAACGATCTGCGCGTAGGCTTCCGGAAATCTGTTGAAAAGTTCTTGTTTAATAATATATTACGTTAGTACAACGTTAGTACGTTAGTCGTAAATAGTCTAGTCGTGCGTATTAAGTTCTTTCGTAGAAGGATTAAAAACTGCAGTTCATTCGCAAAGACTAGCCCAGCAAGATCTTGTTTCTGTAGTAACAACGGCATTCGCAGTGGAGAGCTCATTACAAATAATTTTTATGGTGTTTCGCACTAATATCTTCATTGTATGGAAGATGGTTTTCGTCGAGAATGGAACAGTCGTGTTTTCTATGATAGAACTAAAGGCGCTGAAGCACTTTTTCTTCACGATATTGTTGAGCGCATCCGCGGTAAGCTTTTCTGCGACAGTGTAGGTCTGGGCTCTGACGTACGCCGTCCTCTTTTGCCCTTTCTGGACTAGAGCCGTTTCTCCGAAGTAGTCACCTGAAGATATGACTCATATCTTCTCGAGAGAATTCTAATTCTGATATGAAAATTCAAATTCTACTTGTTGTTTGCTGCGTCAAGCATGATAGATGACACGTAGATAAAAGCGTAATCGTCTCTTCGTCGTAGAGAATGATCTGTACTACTATGCACTTATGATCTGTACAATCTAGAGTACCAGAAGAAACAATATCAAAGTCAATTTTTCAAAGCCAGTAAGCAGGAGACGAGATCGAGAACAGTTCAGCAGGTCTCATATTAATCATATTTATAAGTGCATATAAGTACCTTCCCTCTTCTGTGCCACGACGAGCTTGTTTCTTGATAATGGCAGCGCGTTTGGACCGGCTTGCTGCATGGAGTTTTTGCGGATGACCACGACGTCGCAGAGGCCACGAAGGATAAAGTACATTTCAAAGCCTTCCTGCCCAAATCGAATAATGTAGTCACCCGGTGAGAAAACTTCTTCTTCAAAGTTGTCCAAGATTTCGCCTACCTGTTACTGTTAGCAGTTCATCATCTCAGTGTTTCTATATACTTATCTTATATTTGTTGATGCGGTGGGGGGAATGGGAAATACTAGGTTTAGCAGGCTCAGAAATAGCTGCACTCGAAAAAGAGGAAATAGCCATTCGTTCATAAGAACCGTGATGAGAAGAACTACTCAGCCGAGTAAGTATGTAAGGTTTGAGAATGAGACTACTCTACTAATCCACCAACGCTGCTGCAAGCCGGGAGGAGCAGGAGCCATTGCTCGAGACCCTTACTGGCCGTTTACGAAGCCAAACTTACACAGTAGAGGTGAACTCATGGTAAGGAATTAACTACATACCACATAAAAGAGGAAAAGGAGACAAAAAAGGAAAGATTACTAGTCGTGCACCACATAATTATACATAGGTTGTACCCCACTCGGATGCAAATCCCGAAAGAACGGCGCTTTTTCGATCAACTGTGCAAAAAGGCAAATCTTGATTTCCAGCGCAAGAGCTTTACTGGATGTGTTGTAGAGTAAGTCGCAGGCCTGCTTATCGTGCTGAATCTCCAGAAATTGGTGGTACCTGGCGGCAGCACATCAACATGTGAGAAATTTAACTAAGTACATAAATATTAATAAGCTGCGAAGCAACATCAAAACGTAAATGTAGAAGTAGAAGAACATCAACAATGACTTCTTATTTAAGAGGAGAAGACGTTGACAGATAAGAACCTTCTAGGCGCAATGAAAGGTGCAAAGCGAGAACATCAAGCACATTGCTAGAGTGAATGGTTCTGGTATTTGGTAGCCTGAGTTTGATCCTAAGGGAAAACAAGAAGAGAACCCTTAGGATCAAATTCAGGCTATACTAAAAATACCAGAACTATTCATAGAGTTGTACAAACAAGAACAATGCGATGCTAGAGTTGTGAAAACAAGAACAATGCGATGCTAGAGTACATGTTTATCCTCTTATGCAAGTTCTCCGGCAGTTTGATTTGCGTCATCGCTGCATTGATTGCCGCTTGTTGTTCCATGGTTTTGGACTTCAGAATCATCATTCGTTGTTCTATCAGCACAACTCTGGCGAAGATGACGGCTTCAGCGGAAGTATGAAAGGAAAAAACGCACTCATCGTCCTCGAGAAAAGAGACAGTTCTTCTTCTTTCCTACTGAGAAGGTGCCTAGCTTCATCTAGTCGTTGTACTCAAGAATCCAAGAAGATTTTCTTGATTTTTTTATATTGACTTATTATAAGTAGAAAAGTGTTCTCTTGCTCTTCCTTGATGAGTAAATGCGTAGGCTTTTTCCTCTCATAAAAGGCACCGACAGGTCGGAGAAGAGTCACACAGAGGACGATGCCAACATCGTCGTCTCGGTCTATCATGCTATTCGGTGGCGAAGCGGAGAAAAGGAGAATAGCATCGCGAAGAGCGAGGATGTAGAACCTTGTTGTTGGTTGGCGACGTGATGTGTAGAAAAGTTGTATGTAAGAACGCAGGAACCTATCACTATTGTTTTTAGCAAGGATCAATGTAGAACGACTGACTTCACAAGAACAAAGGAAATCCAGTTTCCATAACCGACGTTTACAGAGACATTATTTTTAGAGAAGCACGAGCAGCCATGACCAAAGCTAGTACTTCCATATCGGTCTTTCCACTTCATCGCATGCGTAAGTGCTGCCCCTATCCGTCTCATACAGCACATAGAACCATGCCACCGCGAATAATTAGAGGTAGGTTCTTGTTGGTGTTCGTTTATCCCGCTAGTTATGGCTGTCCCCCTTATGTGGAGGGCCATAAGAAACGGCCACAAAGAAAAGCACCTTTAACCTACCCTTAAAATAAGTGCACCATGTAGAACATCACAAACACCAATTCGACGCTTGCCCACACGCCTTGCCGATACGGCGATATGACCACTCCTCCTTGAGAAGCTTGTTTTCTCTCCTTCCGGACTGCCTCCCATCGCAAAAATCTGAGCAATCCACACCACGAAAAAGCACTTCTGGACCCACGTCCCACGTCGACCCAGATCAATGAAGAACGATGCCATTCTTGATTGAGAATGACGATTCATCTAGGCGAATGTAGTCGTTCCACCCCTTCTTCAGACTGCTGCTCTTCTTCATTAGTATACTTAAGTGGGACGACTTTCCCCTTATAATCTTTCGTTCGTTCTCAATCAGGAGTGTGTATGCTTCCGGTATTTGGTATAGCCTGACTTTGATCATAAGGGAAAACAAGAAGAGAACCCTTGTGATCAAATTCAGGTTACCAAATGCCTGAACCATTCAGAGTCGACTTTCCCCTTATAATCTTTCGTTCATCGTTCTCAATCAGGAGTTCTCGCATCATACAATCAAGTTCCCGAGCAATGATAAAACGCTGAAGTAATACTGGCGTTTCGAAAGTAGGATTCTCTGAATGTCCTCAACTTCCACATATTCTCTGCCCTCTGTGATCTCGACCATCGACGTGCGCAGAGGGAGTAAAATTTCGAACACGACAAAGAGAAACTCGCATACTACATCGAACGCGAACAAGCCTCGCAGCTTGACAAAAGCTGGGTCACTGTCGATCGAGAGGTGTTCTTGATACTCGGATTAGAGCTCGAAAAAATTCATTTGCTCCCTTCATTTCTTCAGAAGGCCGACGAGAGGGAATCAGAAGATCAAGACGACCGTAGTAAGTCCCTTCGTTGGAAATGAATGGTATCAAGCGGCCTTAATCGGGGGATGCTCCTGTTGTAGCTGCTCCGCCTGTTGTAGTATGTCCACCTACACCTTTTATTTCGTGATCTTTCAAACTCGCGTCGCCCACGATCGGGTAGAAGAAGCCCAAAAATGAGGTCGTGAACAGTGCGTTCCACAGCATCAAGAGGGTGCAGAGTTTTCTCCCAAATAATATGAAGTCGCTGTGCGCAGCTCGGAAGTAGGTTTAGAGGTAGGGTCTTGGTGCTCGTGGACCCCGCTTTTTCTGCCTTTCTCCCTTAGGAAAGGCATAAAAAGCGGGAACAAGAAAAGCACCTTTACCCTACCCTTAATAGATAGTCAATTCCGTTGGCAGTCTTCCGTAGATCTGCGTCGCTGTGGGGTTCACACTATCGGTATCTGTGTCCCGAATTTCGAACTGCTCGAAGGAAAACCGCGAAAACTCCACTACCGCACCTAAGTCGATGGTACTAGCTCTTGCATGGTGCCCAGTGGATAAGGACATTCGACGTCCTATGGGCCCTCCAGGCTGTCCTAGCCTACTGCCGGACGCACCTCCTGGATTGCCACCACCCATAGAAGACGGGAAAATTGAAATGCTCAGAGATCGCTTTCTTCCTGGGAAGACGTTGCCGTGAGATGTTAGAGATGTTAATATTAAAGCCGTTGGGACGTCGGAGCAGAGGCGAGTCATGCTTTCGATTTCGTCGTTTCCACTATAATCTTCCTCCATTTTTGATGATGTTAGTCGGTTCGGAATTGTCCTACGACTTCCCTGAATCTCTTCTGAGTTTTACGGATTTCTCTTCCTCCATTTTTATTCCAATAAATAAGTTCAACATCTAAAAAAATCCTTACCGTAACTTCATCATATTCGCTGGTGCTGTCTTCATTTTGTCGACATAAAAATCATCTGTAGGAAAAACGTCATCTTCTTCCGAACTATTTGAGTCCGACGATTGACTGCTAGACACTTGCGACGCTTTTCTTGCTAGGTTTCGACCGCCACCGCCAGAAGGTACACCTCCATGATCCTGTTTCGCGTCGAAGTCTGACGCATCATCCGAACCCGCGGATTCAGATTCTAATTTGGAGGATGTAGTAGTAATTCTCTTCGGAGGCGCGGAGGAACCATCGTGATGGTCTTTCCCAGTCCCTCCTTTTTCGTCTTTTGTCATTCTCTCGACTGCGGTCGAGGCAGTGCCACCTCCAATGGCAGATTGTAGGAGCGTGGAAAAAAAGCCAGCAGCGCTTTTCCGACTACTAGGCGAGGCGCTTGAGACAGCGCTTTTATTTGCAGCACTCTTAGTTGTACTTTTTGTGCTCTTCGTGCTTCCGCTACGGCCTCTGAGTAGAGAGCCACCGCTGGAGGCGGCGCCGGCGGCGGGGAGATGAAGGAAAAAGTATAAGGAGCTTAGTGACGAGTCATTGTTTTTGTTTGGGAGGACGAGTATAAGCAGGAGTGAGATACCAACATCTTAAGATGAAGCCCTACAACTAGTGAAATACGATTACTTACATACTGTAGATCTTCTTCTTCTTCGAGGTCCTCACTACATCAACGCTGAATATATACTTACAACTGAGAAAAAAACAAGAGTCTAGAGAAAACCATAAGCAGCAATCGCCACTCCTCCAGTGCGATCAGCTTGACTGGTCCGTTTCTTCAACTGCCGCTTGCTGCAATGGTGTAGGTCACTACTAGCCACCAGGAAAGCGTCATCTGACGACGACGTCATAGCAGATGACGTGGTGTCCTTTCGGACATCGTCTCGACCAGATGAGCCATGGTAGGTCGTATTTGTATGCTGGTGTGGTCCACTACTAGTACCCAGTGTCGTGCTCTGTTGATCATGCTGGTGTGGTCCACAACTAGTACCCAGTTGCGCCGTACTGCTCTGTTGGCCAGGCGTGCCAGATGCGCCCACAACGGGCTCGGGTTTCTCGTCTTCAGGTTCTGCCATGCTGGCTACTTTTGGTTCTTTCCTGTATTCAACGTTGGGATAGAATTCAAATTTCTAAAAAAGTAGTCATGATCATTCTTCTAACCTGAGAATATGCCTATCTTCATGGGCAAATCTCTCACGACCCTTTCATGCGGATTCTGTATCTGTCGTTCTCAAATCCACAATATCAAAGGGTTTCACTCTATCATTCTTTCCAATCAGCGCTCTCTCTCTCTGCACTTTTTGTCTCATCACGGTGACTTTCTTGTTCAACATCATCACATTCACAACCTCAAATTACTCTCTTCCTCCTCTGCGGCATTGTTTATGTTTTCGTTTACCGATGATCTACTTATGTGTCAACGTCAACTCTGAAATCCACGTCCATCCACGTCAACTTTGAAATCGGTATCAGAGTGACAAACGTCCTGGCTTTGTCTATAGTGGCTGAATGTTCAGCAGGAGAAACTAACTTTGTGTCAAGATTGAGTCTTCAACGAGAGTCCTTGGTGTTGGGAATGGGCATTTGCCCATAGTACGTCGTAGGTTTGAGTATGATCTTAATCTTTACTAAAAAATGCTCTCAATGATCGTTAAAAATCTTATGAATCCTAAAGAAGAGCAGAAGCATTGGATTCAAATTCAATGACACCTAGTAAAAGACAAATTTCAGAGATAGTGCATCTCACAGTCAGGTGCATCATCTTTGCTATCTTCGACGCTATCATCCGTAGAAGTGTCATAATTCTTCTAGTACGCGTCAGCCCATACACCCAGTACCCCCACAGAGCCCTGTTCTTCGCCAAGAACCACATTCACTTAAACTGTGCTTTCTTGTCCTCCACCCACTCACTGAGCTTTCTTGTCCTCCACCCACTCACTGAGCTTTCTTGTCCTCCACCCACTCACTGAGCTTTCTTGTCCTCCACCCCAGCCTTTTCCTCTCCATCTTCACCTTCCTCCTTCTGGTTTGCCATTTCTTCCTGTAATTTGCCAAATCGTTCCTTCATCTCGCCGAATGGAGAGGGAGCTTGAGGAAAAGGTCGCGGCACGGTCCCATTGCCCATAATGTAGATCTCGAACAACGGAGAGAGTAGGAGTTCACAGGGAACGGCGGATTAGAACAGAAAGGCAAAGGAAGTGTAAGTACATGAAGAGCAGAGTAGATTACTGCTACATGAAGAGTAGACTAGAAGATTAGTACATGAAGAGTCGTGTTCTACTTAACCAAAAATTGTTCATCTGGTTGTACAACTCGTGTGGAATAAACTCTTCTTTATGTTTAAGTCATGTCATGTGTCTCCGATCTGATCTGTCAAATCAGCATTGAGACCAGGACCAAAGGGAAAACCCATAGAGTTGTTGAAACCAAGTACTTAGTGATGTCAACTTCAAAACATCTACTTCGAAGTCCACCACGACCAAGTACGAGTAGAATCAATTATCACTTCTATGAGCACACTACATCACGACTATCACACTACATTATAAAAGTAGAATCAATCACTTCTATCAGCACACTTCTACACACTACATCTACATCATTATCTTCGCAGTACATTACATCACGAATAGTATCACACTACATCACGACTATCACGACACTACATTACATCACGAATATCATAAGAAAAGCACTGAAACGCAAGAGGCAATAGTGCGCCGAACTGGAAGTGGATGAGCAAGAGGATGACGCAGGACATCCCAATCTTCTGCATCTGGGCGCCCCATTCCTTGAGGTCGTACGCTTCACGAGAGAGCTTCATTGCTGGCTTAATTTCTCTGCCGAAGGACTCCTCTGCTGGAGGAGAATGAAAGAGGGGAAGTGTTATTCAATCTATTTACTTATAAAGTTTTGCCTTTGTTTTCTTTTCTTATTTTTGATTTTGATTTTTCTTTTTTGATTTTGATTTTTCTTTTTTGATTTTTCTTTTTTGATTTTGAATTCTCTTTTTGAATTTTGAATTTACATTTTGAATTTTGATTTTTCTTTTTATATTTTGAACTTACATTTTGAATTTTGAATTTACATTTTGAATTTACGTTCTGAGTTCGGTGCTTACGTTTTGGGCTCTAACCTTCGAAGTCAAGACATGAATTTGGAAAGTTAGGACATGAATTTTGAAAGTTAGGCCATGAATTTTGAAAGTTAGGCCATGAATTTTGAAAGTTAGGGCATGAATTTTGAAAGTTAGGACATGAATTTTGAAAGTTAGGACATGAATTTTGAAAGTTAGGACATGAATTTTGAAAGTTAGGACATGAATTTTGAAAGTTAGGACATGAATTTTGAAAGTTAGGACATGAATTTTGAAAGTTAGGACATGAATTTTGAAAGTTAGGACATGAATTTTGAAAGTTAGGACATGAATTTTGAAAGTTAGGACATGAATTTTGAAAGTTAGGACATGAATTTTGAAAGTTAGGACATGAATTTTGAAAGTTAGGACATGAATTTTGAAAGTTAGGACATGAATTTTGAAAGTTAGGACATGAATTTTGAAAGTTAGGACATGAATTTTGAAAGTTAGGACATGAATTTTGAAAGTTAGGACATGAATTTTGAAAGTTAGGACATGAATTTTGAAAGTTAGGACATGAATTTTGAAAGTTAGGACATGAATTTTGAAAGTTAGGACATGAATTTTGAAAGTTAGGACATGAATTTTGAAAGTTAGGACATGAATTTTGAAAGTTAGGACATGAATTTTGAAAGTTAGGACATGAATTTTGAAAGTTAGGACATGAATTTTGAAAGTTAGGACATGAATTTTGAAAGTTAGGACATGAATTTTGAAAGTTAGGACATGAATTTTGAAAGTTAGGACATGAATTTTGAAAGTTAGGACATGAATTTTGAAAGTTAGGACATGAATTTTGAAAGTTAGGACATGAATTTTGAAAGTTAGGACATGAATTTTGAAAGTTAGGACATGAATTTTGAAAGTTAGGGCATTCACTTTGAAAGTTAGGGGATGAATTTTGAAAGTATTTCGAAAGTTAGCGCACTTCTTTGCATGCCCTCTACGTTCACCCTCTAGCGGGTGTCTCGTCTTCCCTTCGACTCCTCTCCCTGGGGAACCTCTCCAGGGGGCTAGTAGAGAAGTCTATTTTTCGGATTCGACACTTTTATTTCGTCGAATAAACAAGAAGAAGAATATGAATGATATTCTTTGTTCTTGTAGTTTTCTCACTCCACTTGTTTCCACCCACTGATCATCTTCATACATGGCTGTCCCTAAAACTCGATAAAACTACATCATCTACGTCGACTGTAAAGTAGTTTGTTCTTCAACATTCATTCTTCATAAACATCAATCTCCATTTCTTCTTTGCCTTTATCTCCAGGTGCTCCTAGCGGGATCTGTCCTTTGATAAACACCAAAACAGCAATAACAGCCATGTGAATCACGATATGAGCGATGCGAAACGGGGTAGGCCCAAACTCCTCTAGGGGGTACTTGTTACTCGCAAGCAAGATGATCATGGGCATGCCTTGTTGGAACGTTTTCAAGTTCGCGACATAGGAGGAGGGGACGTAGGAAGAATCTGTTGAGCTTGAGTCCTCTGTTTTTGACGATGATGCAGTAGAAGAAGAAGTCATCTCAACTCCTTCTGCTGCGTCTGCGTCAGCTTTCTTCTTGTTAGGGCTACCACGCTTTTTCACCGACATTTTGTTGACTAATATTTATGTGATGTGATGTGATGGGAAAAAAATTAACTTTGACACTACAAATCAGCCTTCTAGCATTTCGAAGATGAAAAAGACTGTTCTTGGCTGTGATTGTGTCAAAATGAAAAAATGAGATGAATCACGGGATATCTATTAGATATAGATCTTCTAATCGATCAGGAGGATGTCAACATCAAGTGGAGATCCGGTGTCTAAATAATTGCTCTTTTCAAGAACTAGATCAGATTCAGATATGCTCTTGCATTATATACTTATGACATACCAAAGAAATGAGCATTATTGATTCGTCCTCGAATTAGGTACATTTGTATCAAATTCAGAACTGTATGATAGGGACGAGGGAAAATATCAAAGTCGTGCTGACGCACGCCGATTGGGATAGACGCGCAAAAAAAAATGGTATTCAGACGCAGCTGGAGCAACATGAGGATTCCGAAGTTGGATTGAGGATTCCATCGCTAAGCCTGAGAACTTGAAGTGGATCCAGGAGCGTTGACATCATTCATAACTTCACAGATTAGATTCCATAACCAAGAAAATGATAATGAACACATAAGCGACGACTCCTTTTATAGCACTAGCAATCAGGATCAGGAGGAGGAGGACCTTCTCGTTTTTCCTCTACTACTTCACTGTGCTGTTCATCTCGTTGCGAGTCGTGCGCCGTAAGAGAACATCGTCGAAAAATATATTAGGAGATGTGAGAAATAAGTGCTATCCTGGTACACAGTTTGAGGGTTCGTGGTCCCTAAACCCACTTCGTTCAGATGTTGGAGAAGGAGTAGGAGTCTATATCTAGTAATCTAATCTAACCAATTCTGCCAACGCTGCACCTACGACCTAGAAGTTACAACAGATGAGTAGTTTATTACACCACGACACCAAGCAGGAAACAAGAACTAAAGCTGCCTGATAGAAGATTAATAAATTATTGTACATTATTTCTTGTCCCAAGTAGCATGGAAACAGAAAGAGAACTACAGAATCTGAAGCAGAAACGAAACCATGATTGATACGCTCATCCCTCCACACAAAGCCAACATCAACGAACAGCTAGGTATCAATAATTGATTATATTTCTGTCGCGGAAAAAAAAAGCTTCGTCACTGACGCTCGGATCACAGTGACCCTCTCCGAGGAGACTCTTGCAAAATTCGATACTCAATTCCGCAAGCTTTCCTGGGGGGCGATGTAGCCATGGCAAAATCTTGATGCTTCCCCGTCTAACTTGTCTTCAAGCAAATCTTGATGCTTCCCTGTCTAACTTGTCTCCATAACCATCGATTTTGGCCACATTTCGAAGCGCGTCTTGCCTTCCCTGGGGCAGGCAGGCTGCGGGAACCAGACAACCCATTTTTTTCGTGGGGAAGTAAAAGACGACACCCTGCCAATTTTCCCTGTATTCATCCGAGCAGAGAGACCAATCTTCAGCCTTGGCAAACCAATTCTTATTACAATCCATGCAGATTCGAGGGACTTGATATCCTAACTCGACTTCCACGCGCGGGAAGGACAGCTTTTTTCTTGGCGCTCGGACGATCTTAGGGTCCGCGCAGCTGCAGAATGGACACCGCGGCTTTTCATTCTCCTCGTCTCCGACATGATGTCCATGTCCATAGGCAGCCTTGATTTCGTAACTGGCGTCCTCGCCATAGACAAAATACTGCATTCGCGCCGAAGGTTGCACGCACCGCAAGAAACACCTTTCGCAGAAATGCAAATTTTTTTGAGATCGTGAGGAGTAGCATAGCCCCACGATGGGCCTGGGCCCCCGTTGAGGATCAATAGCACAGCCCGAACAGTACCGGGAGCGGTGCACCCGGACCTTTTCATACAACATGCAGTAGTTCTTGTTGTTGTTGTTGTTTTTGTTCGCGGCCGCACTCGTGTGTGAGTCATGATGCTCCACCGTTCTGCCAACGATGATATACGGATGATCACCTCTTTCGACAAGCCTTTCATCTGGTGCAGACGTCGCTTCCGTTGAATACTGTCGTGGGGGAAGCAGGTGCTGTGGCAAGGCGGCGATTTTCTGCGTTGGCAGCGATACGAAAAAGTCACATTTGTCACACTGCATGCAGACGAGATGTCTGCGTTCGTACGCGAGGTGAACGTTGATGTTGTTCGATATCGATTTATTGTTTCGTGTTAAAGATGTGTGGTCGCATATCGTCCGAGGGTAAGGAACCCGCTTTAATACTGGTGCTCGAGGCTTCCGGTCTTGCGCTTGCGCTGATTCTCTTACGGGTATTCGGCATCTGGGACACTCCAAACAAAGACATGGGGAGTTTTCAGGTGAGTCTTCCCTTTTTCTTTTAAGTGATGTCGGCTTTGCTTCTACTTCCATGTGTAAAAAGTGCTGTTGCTGCGTACTAAAGTCACTATTACAACTTGCCTGTGCCTGTCCATGAGCCTCATTGAAAACGGTTTTCTTATGAGCGTCTTCTTTCACTTCTAGCTTGGTTTCAGCGCCAGGATTGAAGGGACCAGGAGGAGTGCGTACCACGTCACACTCTAGAGCTGGATTGACGCAATGAGAAAACCAGAATAGATCTGGATCAAGATTCACCTCCTCCAGCAGGATCATGCTTCTACTTTTTTGTTCTTGTGGGGTCATCAAATTTGTTCGTTTTGTAAGACGACGATCACGGATTTGTTTCTTACTGCGCTGCTCCTGGCAAATATGAGCATCTTCCACAACTTCTTCTTCTTCTTGCTCCACGCTGCTGCTTCTAGTAGGAGTTCTTGTGCCAGAGCTCCTAGAGTAGTCTACTTCCAACCGTGCTCCTAGATTCTTTCGAGGAGTCAAAGTCGCCTCATTGTGCGATCCGGGCTCAAAGTCTATCAATCGGCAAAAATGCTTCGCGCGTTCTATAGAGGAAAGCGGAATCTTTTGAAAACACTCCATACAATACAACTCCATTGTATACTTGGCAACTATGGGAAGCCCCTCTTCCTTTCTGCTCGTGAAATTCGATGTCCCACATTTGTTGCAAGCCAGTTCCTCATTAAGTCTGTTGTATCTCGGCGACGGAGTTCTTGTAGGCGACGCCGACGTCCCAGCAGATTCGCGCTCATCTCGTGGTCCTTTCAACGCGCTCTCTGGCCCACCAGGAACAACATCTGCCTCTTCCATATTCTCCACGTGGGACGCAGACGCGTTGTGGGTTTCAGAAGCACCTCCTTCGACGCCAGCTGCAACGGGCTTCCCACTACCGCTTCCCGTAGGAGTAATTTTGCTTTTGCAGCCGCCTTCTGTTTGTGCTCTGGGAGTAGGATTAATACGTCCATCATCTTCGGAGGAATTAGTTGTACCTTGGGAAGTGGAAACGCTCTTGCCCTGGCGATCTCCTGTTGCATTGTCCGAGACTTCGACTTTTCCGGGTTCGACTTCGGTGCGGCTGAGCAGAGGCGACAATATCCTCTTGTTGCTATTGTTGATTGCCGCTTCCGGGATGACCGATTGTAGAAAGAGTATCTCAGCGCGTCCGTCTCCTGTCATTACACCCCACAAAAAAGGCCGATCAACGGAAATCACTTGCCAAGTTGCTGCAGGAGCACGCCCGGTGAAAGCAGCAGAAGTACGAGGAACATTTTCTGAGGGATCCTGCTCCAGAGTCACTCCTGGGCAGAATGTGTCTGAAGGAGAATGGGAGGACGAGAGCATGGGAATCTGCAGGTACGTATCCTTCTTGAACAATGTGCATGGTTTCTTTAAACTGTTCTTGTGCAAGATAGTACTAGCCCGATTTCCTTTGCTCTGTGCAAAAGCCCAAGAAGCACGTTTCGAGATTTCCACTCCGCCTTCACCTACTTCTGTAGTACTATCCTTGTAATTACCAATATCATCATGCTGATCATAAAGCTGATGAATTACCTCCTGCACCGAGACAGCCGGGGGGTTCAGATTGCTTTCTTCTGGAACGCTTCTGGAACACAGACCTTTTGACGAGCCATGATAGTCATATTTGTACTTCCTCTTGCTTGGCATGGCAAGAAAGAATCTCCAGGCGCTTTCTTCTGGATGCGGCTGCTCCGCCTGTTGATGCAGCTGCTCATCTGCGGGGTCTTCTCGTTCTTCTGATATGATTGCGGGAAACGAGACGAGGTCAACTTGAACTCTATTTGTTCCAAGCTCAATTCCTTTTGTTCGCTGCACGTCATCACTTGGCACCTCTGGGATTCGCACCGTCGCAGTGGCGACATCCGTAACAAAATCCTCACCGGGAACGAGAGCCTCCCACACTTCCGTGCTCGTCACCTTGTCTTTGCCTTCTGCAAGAAAATCAAAAAACTTGTCCATTTGATTCTTCTGTAAATCTGATCCGGTTATTTTGGCGCGTTTCCCTCTGACGGCGAGTGCTGCGACGTCATCAAGAGCCGCGCTCCCACCTAATAGACCATGAAGATCGCCCACTCTCGATTGTGTCCGAGAATACTCCATTGCATTGCCGTCTAGAAGCAGCCGATGTTTTCTTCGCTCACGGAGGTATGAATACGCTTTCGCTTTCGTCTGATCTTTGACTACTTTGTTCGTGCTCCCAACGCACTTGGAGGACTTGCCTCCTTCCTCGTCTGGTGCACTTCTGTTTTCGTTGGACGAGGGAGCCTTCGTCTGCTCTGTTTTTTTACATGCGCCTGTTTCTTGCTGATTGTCAATCTTCACATAGGGAAGCGCCCGAAACCTTTTTTCCAATATTGCATCGCGGAAACGGCGAGTAGATCGCGTTTTCGGTCTCCGCAGAGGACTGTGCGCAGCTGAAGCTGTGTCCAAGATCGCACCAAACAACTCCTCTTTAGGCCCAGTCGAATCTTCTGCACTAGACAGACAAGAGCCTCTCTGCCGATCGACGCGGCTTTCCTTTTCTTCGTGGTCCTCGCTGTCAGATGTCAAAGACGCGTTATTAAGTTGGGCAGCCTTAAACTCAAGCAACAGCGGATAATCATAGCCAAATGCCGGCCGAGGTGCAATGTTGCCAGACGACGAAATTTCATCCGAGGCCTTGTTCGTTCGTTCCTTAGTAGCCGGCGGCTCCTCGTCCCTTAACACATTCGCGACACTCGGGACATTCTCGACCGGTGAGTCCCTGACTGGTGAAGACTTCTCCCTCTGCTTCTTGTCGAACCAAAAAAAAGGCATTTGCTTGTTGATACCTTTATCAACATAATGGAGGGGGCCCTGCACCTGCTGCTGATCATCTTCGTAGTTATTTGTTTTATCAGGGTTACGACCACACGAAGATGTAGTAGAGGGAAACAGTGCTCGCAAAGTCGTGGCAAACGCGGACTTCGCTTTTGCTGCTTGATCAGCGTTCATGATCTTGTTGTCACGACTTTTGATATTTGATGAAGTCCCAATTTGATGCACTGCTGGAAGATATTCAGACACAATGATTCTGTCGAACCCACTGTTCTCTGGCGTGAGTAAGAAGTTCTTGCCCCCCTCGTTCTCTTGAAGATGTCCTTGAGCTTGATTTTTTTTGGATCCGCTTTCTAAGAGCTTGTAGTTGCGCTCTTGTCCTCCGCCTGATCCGATGTAAAAAGTAGTCCTCCTGCTCCTTTGGTATGGTCGTTGAGGGTCCGTGGTCGTGCGGGTGCGCGAGAAGTTCTCTTCACACCCCTGTTCGTCCACGAAACAAAAGTTTTCCAGAAATTCTGGGCAAAAATTCGTACCCAAGAACTTGGACTCGCAAGCCGACGCACGGACGAGAAGCTGAGCGACGGAGCAGGAGGGATCAACATCGTGGTGGTCGTGGTCCTCGTCGTGGTCACACGACTTCTTGTTCTCCATGTTCTTGCTCGGCAAAAAGAACCGCTCCACTCCATCAAGAAGATTCACTTCGAACTCTGCGGCTTCGAAGGAGCCCTCATCTCGCCGCGGAGAAAGAAGATGTTGTTCTTCGCGCAGTTGTTCTTCCTGTTCTTCTCGAGGAGGTTCTTCCTGTCCTTCTCGAGGAGGTTCTTCCTGTTCTTCTCGAGGAGGTTCTTCCTGTCCTTCTCGAGGAGGTTCTTCCTGTTCTTCTCGAGGAGGTTCTTCCTGTTCTTCTCGAGGAGGTTCTTCCTGTTCTTCGCGCAGTTGATTCTCCTGTTCTTCTCGAGGAGCGAACTCCTTGTGGTCTCCACCCGTGCAGGTGTTCTTCGGAGGTAGCATGTTGCTTGTTTTTGTAAGTAGTTGGGACTTGTTGTGGTGATGTTCTCTCTTGATGTTAAATAAACTTCTATGTATCTTCATGGAGGAAGCAAAAGTAAAATTTCGAACTCTAACTACTCTTAAAACGTCGACCCAAGCTATAACATTTAAAACGTCTACTTCTTGGGGAAAATCAATTTGAATTTCAATACCAATATTAAGGACGAAAAGTTTTAGTGAACATGGTGCTCATCCAGCTGTCTAGATGAATATCGGTTCGTTCGTTCGACGCTCGAAAAACACTAGATTGAGATTGACAATTCACACGTCGCGGCTGCAGCACAAGCAGACGTATCTGAGGAATTCTGTAGCTAAGATTCCGTTACTAAGAAATACATGTGGATCACGAGCATCCGTCGCTAAGAACATGTTCCCCAGACGCCGCCAAACGAACACTTTGATCAAAAAAGGAAAAAATAAAAAATGCAGCATATCAAATGCTAGTACATGCGTAAGAACATTAATAGGATTTTTGTTGAGTAGCAATGCTTCTTCCCGTTTCATTACGATGTTATGTTGGGGGTCACGAGGGTCATGGACGATGTTATGTTGGGGATCTTATCGAGGACGAGTAACACACAGGTTTAGTTGTAATATAGTAATCATGTTGCGTATATGGTGCCGCCGACGAAGTCTCCCTTACGCCCCAGCCCAATTCTTCGTCGCTAATATCCCATGTAATTCCGCATTTGTCCAATCCTTGCTAGGGTCATGGAGATGGTCATCGAAGTCGCTCACTTGGAGGTACTCCAAATTCTTAGTCTCCTCCATCAGAAGACCAGGTCTGTCGCCTCCGAGACTCGCCCCGCCAAGTCTAATGCTACTGGCTGGGATAGGGACGAGCTCACCTGAGGGGAGAGAGGTTACTAGGCGAGGAATCGAGGAATTTTTGAGGTGCTGGAGAAAATATACCATAGGTGCAATTTTTGAGGAATTGTTGATTCACGATTATCATCATTGATGATGTCAGTTGACGTAGTTCCTGTTCTTACACTTACACTTACTAGGCTATTTATTATAAAAAAATTGTAATTGCAAATACAAAAAATAGTACCTGCTCTATCCTTCGCCGTAAATCCTTTCAAGGCAAACACGTCATCGTCTAGTTTCTCGGTATCTATGAGCCACGCTGATGCTGCCGGGTTATTCTGGACAAACCTCTCAAACACATTTCTATGAATTGGCTTGAGCTCTTTTTTCGCATCTGCTAACTCATTTCCACAATAGTAGCCCAAGAGCTCAAGTTGTTTACCATCCTCTGACTTGCCTAGTGCTTCTGCCGCAACGCAAGCAAGCTTGAGCGTTGGCGCTAGGGCGTGGGAGTGTGAAAAGGGAACTGCTCGCTCGAAGGAGACGGAAGTACCTGTGATGAAATAGATTTTCGAATTTGGGTGTTTCATTACATTCATGACAGGATGAAGAGCGAACTACTTGTTGTGCTGGTCGTAACTAGTATTGAGTCACATCGTGCCAGGATATCTTCTACAACGAGCGAGGCCATGTTGAAAAGAATTACAAATCTCGAAAAATACCATCAACTCTTCCCAAGAGAAATCCGCTCACTTGGCAATTCGAGTGCTTGAGCGTATGATAGACCGCCAAAGCATAAGCTTCATTTGTGAAGCTGTAGGATTTTATCTTGCTTGACGACGCCATTTTCTTTTGTTTGCTTCTAACGAGGCGACACAAGTGTTCTTAACTAAGCAAGGCAGGAGATGGTAGAGTTGTAACCTAAGATCATGTCAGGCTAGCTCCTCTTTGTTGACTACTTAGTAAATAAAAGCCAAGGCCGACTAAACCAGCAGAGTTAATTGCTACTGGACTACAGCTACACAGACATTAATAATAATTGTGCTCGTTGTATGAAACTGTTACTTCCTCCTGGAAGTTGCGTGGGTGAAAGGTGATACGCCTCGTGATCGACGAGATGACAAGTAGACAGAGGAGCATGATCGCCATGTTCAGTGAACAATATCTTCGTGCTGTCACTTAACCGTGCAGCTGCCTTCACAGATCGAGATCCTCAGAACAAACAACGGATCCTCATCCTCAGAACAAACAATGGCTAGGTTATAGGTTATGAACATGCGATTCGTGGTCGCCTCCATCTTTCCCAACAGCTTATTGAGCAGAGATTCACGTTGTTGATAAAAATTCTTCACCCACCAAGATGAATATTTTTACTTTGTCGTGTCATTGTCATATGCGCAAAATTAAGAATCTTGATGAAAAGGCGCACTCAAGAAATTTTCATTTCCCTTCAACCAACTGCGCAATGTTGACCACAGACACAGCGATGAAGGTAAAGACACCGATAATGAGTGCTGCTGCCTCAGGCGGTGTGATCGGATGCTTTTGATTTTCATTAGGTGGACTCGTAGTTCTTTGATTTTGTAGTTCATTTGAATCGGTTTGCAAGTCGGCTCCTGAAGGAGGTAAAGGAGAGGGACTTGCAATTTGAATTTTTTGATGAATGTGACTCATATGTTGATCACGGTCGTCAACAGCTATTCCAGTTTCACCACGATCCTCGCTTATCTTCCTAGACGACAGACTTCCTCGTCCCCACCAGCTGCACAATATAGGATACAAGAAAGCCAGAGGGACGCCGCAGAAAGACCCGATGAGACTCACCAAGTTCTCAAAAGAGTTGAAAAAGACATACGCGATTGCTGAGATTAGAGGAGGAGGAGGACTTGTAGTTGGAGTTGTTTCTTGTTGTAGATGTTGTAGTTCTTCTTGCGTGCAGCTAGAAGTAGATCTTCACCTTCTTATTGTCTAGCGAAGAAACATGATCGTGAAAAACGAAGAACTACTCTCAGCCTTAACAAAAACACAAAGCACAGACAACTCCTTGACAGGCTTTTCAGGGCTTTTCGGTAAAACGGAGGATTTGAGACATATTGCTCGCCAAAAAAGTAGCCTTCTATGACTTTCGTTGCTGGCAGCATTTGAAACGGGTAAGTCAGCAAGATCGCTATCGCGTAAAGGAGGAGTTAGAGTAAGTGTGAGACAGGAAGATCGATGGTGGAAGTTAGTAATGTGACTGAAAACAGTGAAGAACGTGAAGCAAGAGGGGAAAAGATAATATTTATAATGGTTCTCCATCTCTCGTGGCAACTACAGCGTAACAAGAAGATGTGCGACAAAGAATAACCAGAGTAAGAGTTGCTCCTCCTGCAGCTTCATAAGTTTGCACCAGCTTCACCGGAATGGCTTCGCTACTGTCAGTAAAATTCAGGAGGACGATGTCTGCCGTCTGGTCACCGAACACCAGATATCCTAGGATGCCTGCGAATCCAAAAAGTGCTGATGTCACGAATGTTAGCATGGTCGGACTTTACAAGGGCCACATGTTCTTGAAGTAGAAGCCTCCCTGTGCCATAGCACATGGTCATGGTAAATGTGCATCATGGTAAATGAATGTGTACGTGTAGAGGTTTTACTTACTTGCAGCAAAGAGATTACGCCTTCCAACGTGTCATACAAACAAAGCCAATTTCACGACACTCGGAAATTCGCTTGGTTCTTTCATTGCGTCAAACGTAGGGATGACACAACAGATGCCTTCAAAGGCAAAGCAGACTGTTCCCAGGCAGACTAGAGCATTCGCGGCGTAGTCGAGAATACTTTCGGTGGAGGAAGGGGATGTCGTCTCCGTCGGAGCGCTAGTAGCCGTACTTGGTGAGAGGCTATTCGTGAACAACATGAAGATGTCGTCGAAGTGGCTGCTAGTGTCTTTCCTCTCGGTCAGCACATCAAGGTCAGAGACGGTGCCACCAGAAGCGACATGATCATGGTCGTGGCCTAAGCGCTCTCCCTGCAACACGAACATGACTGAGAGACCCACAAAAATGCAGGCATCAGCTAAGAGGTTTGTGAAAGCGAGCTTCTGCACTGAGCGGATCCAGGTAAGCGGAGTGACGACCAAGAAAACCAGGAAAAACAGCTCAAGGACGGTCCATGACGGAAAGAGCGCTTGTCGGAGAAGGTTGCTGGTCACGAGAAGTTAGAAGAAGGTAGGGGAGTGTTTGCACGCGTATTCCCAGCACTGGTGGTGATGACAGGAGTCACAGTTGAATGCTGACGGGAAGTGCTCGTCGCACCTGCCTATTTGTAGTCGTGGCAATGTAGGTCCTTACATCTAGTTCTTTTCATCTAGTAAGTTTTTCTCCACGTCCACGTTCTCGTTTTACACGTTCATAAATGTAATACGTAACGCAAAGGCCAAATTGGCACAGGCAGATCGACAGGTTGACTAACCACAAGCCCAGCTTACTCCCAGAAATCCTCTCGCACAGAGCCCCATAGGAAAGTAAGCAGTTTTGACTTTGACAGTATCTTTCTCGCACTTTCGTCAACTGCAGTATACAATACGTCGCTACGAAACCGAAAAGGGAAACTTGTAGGAGAAACATGGCACAGCCGGCACGACTGCAGGCTTTGGGCAAGTAGAGCACGCCTGGTCCGATGTTCGCTTTGAGGACACAGATAACTGCTTTCGTGTAGCCGATTCGGTGCGGGATAATTGCAGAAGTGGAGGATTCGAGAAGTGCTTGTTCTTCTTCATCAGCAGAAGTCTCTAAAAATGGTCCTTCTAGGATTGCATCTGGAGTCCCTCCTGGTGAAGCAGATCCCTCTGGCCGTGGTAGTTGTTGAGAAACTGCTCGTCCTGGCGTAAGGGCTTTACAACTACTCCGACGAGACGAAGTCGAAGGGCCTTCATCTTCACTCGGTCCACGCTGTTTTGTTCCAACACCAAGTTCAAGTGCACTCGTCCTCGCAACCTCTGCTGCAGAATGCTGTCTCAAAATTTCGTCGGCCAGTACTGACCCAGGCTGTAGTACTTCTCCTGCGAAATAGTCGTACATCCAGAAGGGACTTACACCATAGAGACGGTCGAGCATAGATGGCTGTCGTGGTGGGAGCACATTGATGCCATGCTCTAAACCTCCTGTTTGAGATGTAGTCGTAGAAGAAGATGAAGTTGACAGTCGTTGTGTCCTCTGTCCTGTCTGAGGGGCTTGGCTGGTCGTTGCATAGACGTTTACATTGTTGGACGACGACGGGTGCGGTCCTCCCGATGGTTTTGTTTGTTTCTGCTGTTGCTGTATACTTTGAGAATCCAAATTCGTTGCTGGTGCTTCACCATCAACTCGCACATCAGCACTCGAGCTCGACGAAGCTCCCACATCAGCACCGAAATCCAAACTCTGCAAGCCTGTTCGCGCTGCTCCTGTCGCAGGAGGACCCAGAGACATTGCCTGTCTACTAGTAGACCGTGCGTCTCTACGAGCCGCGCTAATACGATTCTGTGCACTCCACCTTGTACCTCCAGCACCTGGTGCTGCTCGAAAGCCACCAGCACGTTGCCGTAGCTTCCGAATAATGTCAGCACCTTCATCATCGCCACCTTCGCCACCTCCTAGACCAAGAGCGAGTCTGCTTCTCGATATGCTGTCACCAGAGATCGTTCTCTCCGGTCGTGCAGGTGCTGATCGAATCGACAAAAGCGTCGACGCGTTCTCCTCCAACAGCGGCTCGGCCATCATTTTTTTCATGAAAGAAAGAGCTGCTACTAGAAGCAATCCAATGTTGATGTTGTCCTGGTGTTCCGCACATGTCAATGTCATGAAAGAATGAGAATGTTCACAAACTATCAATGTTGTCGCACGTAGTGCAGGACGAGGAGTGCTGCTGGGACGTCGACATGATGATTTCTATCACAAGATTAAGAAGTAGTACTACGGTACAAGTATAATCTCAATTTGTATTTGTCAGATGAAAAACAGGGATGTGATTTTGCAATATTGAATGTGCTGTAGTTCTCGCTCCAGCGTGGCGTGCTAAATTCTTGTGCTCTCAAAAAGGTCCACGTACAACGTGTTTGCTCCAGGTCTCACCTCTTCTTCTATGTTCCTTTACTACTCTTTCATCATTGTGTTATCCGGTGTACCTGCCGGCGACGGGTGGAGTCCATGAGCCTCCTTCTATTACGGTGCAGCAATTCTTGCCTACGATCGGGTCAGAGTGCCAGGTGCACCGACGTCACGAGATTTAAGGCGTAGATCTGCTCGGCGTCACATTGATCATATGCTTCAACACGGTCGGGAAGGTTAAAGAAGGTGTATCGTCTCTAATTCGACATTCTCCACTCCAGTTTTTACTTGGCTTACTAGGTTTGGTCTTGTTCGAAGATATAAGGGCTTATACTTCTGCTGCTTTTCGTTTTCTTTTTCACTTGTTAAGTCAATGATATAAGATATGGTTAGAACAATTGCTTGATTTCTTTTATCGGTGATATACAGAAGTTGTAGTACCAATGCTATGCGATGGTTATGAATACAACTGATACTGACTCTCTGCGGCAGTCTGGAACACACTAGGCAGGCAGGGGCAAAATTTGCCCCAGTGCAGCTACTCAAGTTCAAGTTTTGCCGCTGTCCGCTACCAATTGTGACCAAGGATAATGTGATTGCTTTAATAGTAAGTAGTAGTATCTATGTGTTTCTTCAAAATAAAAACAGTATGTATGATGAGGCATCATTGTTATTGTTCACAAACTCGCTCCTTTATGGTATTCATTTACAACTGGTATGTTGACCTTCTCAAGGATTCATTTACTTGTTTTTAAGTATTTTACTCTAACATGTCGCGTATGTAGATTTGAGGAATACCCTCAGGGTCAGACGGTGAAAGAATATACGGTAACTCGTCTTACTGTCATAGTCTACACATGATTAGGTAGCTTAGGACTGTAATGTGATATAACTCACACACTGTCACTACTGGATATAATAATGTAATGCTCTTGCTCATTCAAATGCGCTTGTATTTTCCCTCAGTGTCCGCGGCTTCGATGCATATCCATCTGCCGTAACAAATCCGCGAGTGACTTGAGCAAAATGAGAATACCACGATCCAGATTCAGCACTCTCGCATCGATTCTCACAAGTCTTGGTTCGCGAGAGCTGTGTGAAGTAGGATTTGACGGTTGTAGTCCGTGGATCTTCTTAGATTAACTGGGCGAGAGAGATAAAAAAGTAATCGTAATGCACTTTGTTTTGAAAAAAGTAACAAGACGCCAAAAGTGAAAAAAGTATCAATAGGAGTACCTGAGACGAAGCTAAAAAGCAAAAGTATCTATTTCTATGTATAGTACCTGAGACCCTTTTCCAGTTCCTTGATGTACAAAGAAGCTAGGACGGTGTATAGCGTGGTCTTTCTGCGTGAGAAGAAGTGGCTTTTCCCGAGTAAGGATATGAATCCCTCAAATAGCTCTTTGCACTTTCGGTATCGTTTCGCTAGCAAGCCAACGCAGCCACGCTCTCGATCCAGATCGGAGGGATGAAGGAAAGGAGGAGGAGAAGGGGGGGGCTGAGGATGGCCGAGTACTAGCACGGGACACTTCTAAAGACATAGAAGTTGGATTTGATAACATGATGTCATAAAAATCCTGACTGCTTCCTTCTTTCGCTAGTTTCTCCGTGGAGAAGTTGAGGTCGTCGATCATCAGCGCCATTTCACTCAACTCGTCGTTATCCACGCATGATCGTCCCAAAGCACTCTTCAATGCACGCGCTTGCTCGAGGTGGACTGCCAGACTGCCTCTCTTCCGCGAAATACGCCGATTGCCAAAAACATAGTAGCATTGCCCGACAAGCTGTGTAGAGGAAAGAGTAGGTTAACAAGCTGTGTAGAGGAAAGAGTAGGTAGCTTTTCATAAATAGGTAGTAGTTGCTCGTATGCAGCGTATGCCCCCATCTACTACGTTTGTATCCACCTTCTATTTCTGTTAAGTATCTATTGAGGATGGATGGAATGAATTCTTGTGGTTCGAAAGTGCTATCTTTGAATATACGAAATACCATATCCTCCGATTGGTTCCTGTGGGCTTCGATGCCGTAAGCCACTGCTCGAGCAAGGAGCACGCGTCTGCGGTCAATGGTTTTCTGCTTTTTGCATTTTTGAGCCCAAATCCGCATTTCGCGTGTTATTAACAGATTAGAAGAGGAGCGGACAATATCCGTTTTCATTTGTGAACAACGACAGACAAATATCCGTTTTCGTTTGTGAATCAGACAAATAGTATATCACTACGCAGTAGCGTCTAGTAGCGCAAGCAATAAGGAAATAAACAATTTCCGGTTTTTCTTTTTTCCTCAACCCTGCATCAGAGGTGTCTAATACGTAGCCGAAAAAAAGCGTGTTGTTCTCGTTGATAACTTCTGCAACATAAGTTTTAGTTGGTTTTCTGCTCTGATTGGCTGTCTACCCCACAATTCTTGGATTTGCTGCCACACCGCAAGACCCTCATCTTTAAGTAGAAAGCCTTTTGGTGGAACAAAGGCAAAGCCAAAACCTCCACCCATTGCTATTACGTCTTGTTCGTCTTCATCGATCTGACCAATCACCTCGTCTTGTCCACCCTGTTGTAGTTGTTGTTGTCTCTGTTGTTCAGCAGAATAATTCCCTTGTTGTTGGTTCAGCAGGCTGCTTGACTGGCCTTTGGAAGAAGCCTTTGATGTCGCAGGTCGTGGACGCCCTTTGTCTTTCTTCTTGCCACCGCCTTTCGCATTCGGTGCCATGACTTCGGTAGTAAGATCCAGAGGTTCAGGTTCCACCTGGTGGTCACTCGCTTGACCAGTAGAAGCAGCTGCCCATGGCGCAGGTGTTTCTCTAATTGTTTTTCCTGATGTGCCTCCTGCATTCGACCGAGATCCAGGGTTGTAGTGATATTTCATGCCGTATTTCGGAACAACTTGGCCCATGCTTGATGGATGACCCCATCTTTGGAAGTAGGCGCTGAGACATTAGAAGTGATGCAGGAGTTGTGTGGAAAGGGGAAAATTTTTGGGGGTGGAAGAGAGCATGTTGTCGCGAGTTGTAAAAGCGGGTAGTAAGCAAACCTGCACTTTTCACGACGCCTTAGCAAGAATGTCACGTCATGTCACCTCAGGCACTACATGGCCAAGTAGTTAAGAGGTCATTCAGCCTTTTTTGCCTTGTTCTGAATAAAAGAAGGAGCTCTCGTGAAACTACATCATCTACATTCTTGTGCCTTAATAATGTTGGCCTCCGGGAGCATGGTCGCGTCCGCGGTTGTATCTCGTTGAGCTGTAGTTATGCACCCATCTTTCCCGCAACCACTTGCCTCGGAGGAGTTTGTGTTTAGAGATGTGCTCATGCAGTTACTTGTAACTGATACGGAAGATCAACATCTCCTGGAAGAACAGTTTGGTTCTAGTTCTTCTTCTTCCCTTTGAGGACGAATAATGGAGGTGTGAGTGAAGTAGCTTCTATACATGCTAAGCCTATAAGAAAGTCTACCTGTCAACAATTTTCACAACACAATTCCATTCATTCATCCATCCATTTATTTCACTTGTTCCATAAGTTTATCTTCCCAATCTTCTTCCACTCCTGGTTTATCTTTCCAGATCCTCTCTTGTTCGCTCAAAGGCACTATTCGCATCGCCGCCATATCGAGAATGTCATACACTTGGGGTAGTGCTAGACCAACGTAACCTTCACCCCCCCATTCTTTCGGGTCCTTGAGCTTTCTGTACAAAGGCCCGACACACCACGTCAACGCCGGATCAAGGGAGTACAGAACTTCGTGGTGGATGGATTAGAGAGGTGGTAGTATATTATATTAGGTAGCTTAGGTGGCACTTTTTATGAGGTAGCTTGAGAAAAAATTATATCGTTTAACTTTGAAGATGCATCTTGACCCCAGAATTCATCTCACTTTCAGACCTACTACTTCACAAGAAGGACTCTCGTTTAGGTAAGTACTACAGAAGTACTTCAAGAACAGCACTTGCACTGTTACGTAAACAAAAATATATCACAATCAACATACACACATCTACATCTTCTTTTTCTACTTATTCTTTTTGCCTTACCAGTAGAAATCCTTTCTGTCGATTTTGATGAGTTCGTCTCCTGTTGTACCCGTTCTTTGCATATCGATCTGCAGATGTGGTGACAATCTGTCTACTGAGTGTTTCACACCTTCTGTTAGACATTCCAGGAATATCCCATTTTGAGATGCATCTTGGACCCGTTCCCCCCTTACACGGGAGGTCCTAGAAGCATCTCAAAATATGGAAGATTTGCGGAAGTCTTAATTCAGCGGCTTTTTCCGGTCTAGTATCTGGGATCTGCACGTCTAGCAAGAAGTGCGATGGCAAATGGGTGTGATGCGTCAGTGCTTTTTTGATGTAGTGTGGCAAATAGCGCGCGTGCTGGTTGCGCAAGTCAAGGTGGAGAGTGTCAAGTTGTTTGATGGTCCAATCTCTGTTTTTGCGCGTCAAACCAGCCATCGACAGTAGTAGTTGGAAGAAGCGGAAATTGGTTTGGACATAGCCACTCTTGACCGCCGCATCACGAGCATTCTGTTGCTCCTCATCTTGAGCGGTCGGACTTGGGGAACTGGAACTTGAAGCAGCGACTGCTGCCGAAGATGTTAATTAGAGCTCTCCCCTGTTCACCCCTGTGGAAATCCCTCAAGCTGCATATGCGTCAGTATCTCCCTTGCATAGGGGCGCATATGTTTGAGGGATCGATGTCTAGAGGGAGGGATTAGGGGAAGCCTTAAGTTACACTACCAGCACCTCCAGCATGATTCACCTTCTCCGTGACCCTCTTCCACCATACTTCTAGTGCCGGCATTTGTTTTTCACCAGGTTGCATAGATCGTGCACCGTTCAACTGTTTATGAGGTTTCAAAAAATCACAGAGTCTTTGCAAACAAAGGTCCAGTCGAGCAGCAGCGTCTTTTCCCTTCCTGGCGCTTTTCTCCCACGTCCAGGGACCCGTAGCTTGGAGGTCTTCATTGTGTTCCCAGTAATCCACTTCCATCTCCGTGAAGCAGATCTCGGAAAACAACGGCCATAGTATCGCTTCGGTGTTTTCCATATGCCTCGCCCAAAGACTACGAGGCATGACCATTTTGACGAGGCGTTTGGCGAGGATCGCTTGCCAGACGCAGGCGCGCTCAAGCAAGAGCAAGAACCCAGCTGGTTCGCATATCTGCATCATCTGATGCAAGGGGACGCGAGCTAGATCGATCACCAACTTGTGCATCTCAATGGCGATCTTGTCCAAATCTTCGTACCGAACTTTTTCGCAATCCGCATTCGCCTTCCGAACGCAGTCGATTTCCATTTTGCAGCTCGCCGCCAAATGCCACACCATCTTATCAGTGATGAATCGGAACCTGTCTTTGCTGAAAACTTTCGAGGTGTCGCCAAGAGGAGGAATCGGCGCACCCGGGCGACCTCGATCTTCGACTACCCAGTCCGTGGCTCTTGGTAATTGCGGAGCTTTGGCGTTTTCGTTCTCAGCGCTGGCGAGGATTAGATTTGTATCCTTGATAACCCATCGGCCATTACTCGAAGCACCCGAATCATGCGGCAGTGGGTCTTGGAATTCGATCACTACGTTTTTGTTTTTCCGATTGAAGTAGCGGTTTGGCGCTTCGTGGCAGTAGACACCTTCAATTGTGTCCGCATGACACCATACTGGAGCTGCTGCTGGGCCACCCTTTTTGCTCTGAGGACCATGCCCTCTTATTAAAGCTCCGCATTCAAGGGTCACTGACTCTGAACGGAAGAGACTGACCCCCTTCAAAGCTCTCCCCTTTCCCTTCGTTTTCCCCCCATCTTTCCTCAAGGGGTCGCCTCTTCGATCTCAGCGACCAACCCCAATGACCATTGAAAGTTGAGCCTTAATCTTAGATGGTCACTTACACTTAGATGTTCACCAACTACATCATCGTGAGCTTTCCATGAGACGTAGACAAACGTATCACGCCAGATACGGTTTGCTTCTGGTTTAATGTACTGCAAGAAGGCTTCACATGCTTCATCCGGAAAGTTCGCGAATCGGATCGCTTGAAACCATTCGATCAATTCACTGGGGTTCACGTTTTCACTCCTTGCTTGGAGACGGGCGGAGGAATCTCTGGCGCGGTCGGTGAAATAACGACGTTTGATCTCTGCAGTGGGCTTGACAGGACAGAGGGATTGGATCGCGGCCAAGGGGTTGAAGAGCTTGTGCAAGCTGTTGGTGCTCTCTTGTAGTGTTTGAACAATCTGATCGCGAGTGCTCAAAAGTGGTTGTTCCTTCTTCTTCTTCACCACAGCGAGAGCACGTTTGAACTCCGACTCCTCTAGTCTGGAACGCAACTGCTTGATGAGTTCATACTGGTCTAGACCCAGACGTTGTTCACTCGTGGAATCCAAAACGTTCTTTAATACGACTGGCTTTTTGAAGGTCGTGGAAGAAGGCGTCTGGAGCCCACCTTCCGTGCGGGCGGAGTGGGCTGACGTCAAGGGCATGGGGCCGACAACGTAAGTATTCGATCCTCCAGTAGTGGAAGAAGAGGATGTTCCACTTGTTGCCGAAGAACCGGATCCAGACACAGCATTAGCAGCTGTTTTCATAGAAGAATTAGAGGTACGCTTTTGGTGCTCGCTTACCCCGCTTGTTATGCCTTTCTCCCTTCGGAGAGGCATAAAAAGCGGTAAGAAAAGCACCCTACCCTTAAAAGAAGATGAACTTCCACCAAGCAGGATGTTGCGAAGTGCATCACGACTAGTAGTAGCTGCACTTCCATTTTTCGCAAAGTTTTTGTTTCTGCGAGCGTTAGTTGGAGTCTTAGTGCTGGTACCTCCTCCGCCACCACCAGCCATAGCATCACTCGGCGACGTCTGAAGATCTGCTAGCGCTAGTTGACCTTGACTCGACGTGATACTCGTCAACGTATTCTTATGAAAGCCTTCGTCGGAACCTAGACTTTTTGTCCCCATAGTTTGGTCTTGTTCTTCTATAGTAGTAGTACTCTTCAACAAGAGGGAATTTAACAAGGTGCCGCCATCGCCACCGCTTGTTGCTCCTGCAGCTCCAGTAGAGGACGATGTCTTAGCATTAGCATCACCCGAGGCCGCAGAAGTAGTTGTATCTCCCATTTCAACCTCGATCTCCGGTCCAAAACCATGCAAAAATGGACAACTAGTACTTCTACTACTACTGTTTTCACCAACTTCGTGGTCGACACACCGGCCACAGATAGCTTCAATCGGACAGCGCGTTTGATTCAGCAACGTCTTCTTCAACGTGTTGCATATCTGCAACAGCATCACTAGCATGGTAGCGTCCACTCGCAGATATTGGCTTCGGCACAATGCGTAGAACTCTGCTTCAGGCTGAAATAAGCAGGCGTTGTCTTTGCCGCTGTCGGAAGGCTCGTTATCTAGGCGAAACGCGATCGAGAACTCGCCGTTTTGCTCCTTGGCGAAAAAGTCGTGCTGAAGCATCTCGGGAATGGTGACAAGATTCTTGTTGCTTCTGTGGTTGTCCAGAAGTTCTTGTTGGCCCTTGGAGGAGAAGTTTTTCTTGACCGAAAAAGCACCATGGAAGTACCCAGATGAAGAGGACATCATTAAGCTGGATGAATGTTGATGAGAGCTGGCGTGGTTAAGCCATGAAAGACAATCTGTCAAGCCAAATGCTGATGAGAATGTATTACTATTATTTGAGGATATGGCGGCAGCAGCAGCAGCAGCAGTTGGTGTCGTACTACGAGAACCTTGATCTTGCTGTACAACTAGCGCATCTACTCCAGCATAATTAACCTGAGTTCCTTCATACAACACGCCAGCCAGTTCTTTGTACAATCTGTACGTTTCTGCGATCTTCATTTTTTCTGTTTCACTATTTCTTTCCTTCGAGCAGTAAGCTTGAATCGCCGCCTTGAAGCACTCGCCGAGGAAAACCAGAGCCCGAAACAAAGCTAAAGGCGACACACAAGAAATTGAAATTCTTCTTGTTGTTACTCCTAGAAGGTGGTCGTTCTTCTTAGATTGCACCACTACTTCGTGAAGGATTCCCGTCAAAGCGCTGTGAATCTTCTCCAGCTCCGGCGGTCCACGTGGACGCGTAATTACCATAGCCAATCGCTTGTAGACACGCAATTCTTGGACTTGGAGGGCTTCTTCTACATTCATCATAGTCGTTGCAAGCACTTCCCCCGATGAGGCCGTAGATGTTGAAGCGTCTTTTTTAGTTGTTGATGTATTTTGATTTTCTCCAAGTACTTCTAGATCAACATCATCACCGAAGGTGTCTATGATACGAAACGTTTCCCTTTTCTGCGCTTTCGCCGCACTGCAGAACCACTCTCGCATCTGATTGCAGTTATTACACAAGTCCAACCGCAAATAGCGTTGACTGGCCTTCCGATTTCCGCTCAGATCCGCGAAATTCATAGCCAGATAGATACTTCCGACACGCTCAGCAGCATCTGCTGCACGGTCCCAGTCTCGAGTGTGCTCGTAGTAGAGCAAACGCAAATTGTTGGAATCTAGGAAATCCCCAAAGTCTTCAGCATCCAGCAAGGGGAAGAGCGTATCCGCAACTTGCAGAGCAAGCTTCACGTCAGGACGTGAGAGCTCACAACTCGGCTTGTAGCTTGTTGAGACGGAGCAGCGATTCTTTATTGTTTTAGAAGAAGTACTTCTATGTAGAATAGCTGCGTTAATATTAGCATTTTTCATCGAAGTTGATGTAGAAGTTGTTCCGGCTGATGCAGAAGAGATGGAAGAAGATGCAGCCCTTGCAGTTGCAGAAGTTGAAGCGGTAGTCGTTTTTTCGGAATTTTTGTTCGGTCCTCCTGCATTTCTGAGCAATTTGACTGCCGCAGCAGCTTTCTTCTTGACAACTGGTGGGGCGGTCACGACTGCTGTTGCACTGGCTGGACTAGAGTATATTGTGTTCTGTTTCTTGTTCGAAGATCCGGTAAAGCCAGAGGTGCCAGATGAAGTGTTGTTTGCTGCACGACCAGTACCACTAACAGCACTCGCTGAAGAAGACGACACGAGATGAACCGTAGGTCCCGTACTGGGAACAGAGTTATCGATTTTGACACGTTTCGCGATGAGTTTAGCATTCAGAATGCGCTCACGCGTGCTGAGAAACTCATTCCCACCAAACTCCAAGGCCTTTTCGAATAAACCGTGACTGCGGAAGAGATGTAAAGTTCCAATAATTAGAGGTACAACAATGCTTATAAGTAAAGTAAGTACACTAAAAGCACAACTGATACATAAAATTGTGGTGGTTGAGCTTGAGATTGGAGAAAAGTAGCCCAACCAGTGGAGACGGATAAGACTACAACTTCTGAACAAATGTATAAATGTAAACAAGACGCTCGTTTTTCGTGGCATATTTTGCAAATGGGGGTACGAACGACTTCCGGACTAGTTGTATCGAGTGAAACTAGTAGCCGGCTAATTCACTTTGTGTGCTATTTTGCGCGCTGTATATTAAAAAAATCAGTCTGATGGCTTAATGTATAATCACCCGCAGCCCATTTGCATTCTCCTGCTCTCTCGAATGAGCCTAGTCGCACAAAGCAATCTGCTGCTTTCGTCAAAGCCTGTTTCCGCTGTTCGCGACGTTCACTGGACAGAGTGCTCGAAGTTGTACGACAACCTCTATTTGCGTTTGCCAGAGCAGTAGAAGTAGAATCAAGAGGACCTCCTTGCTCGACGAGGTCCTCAAGTGAGGCACGGTCCTCATCATTGTCCAAGCTGTATTCCTCACCGACAGCTTCGTAATACGCACCGGCGCTTGCGAAATCCTCGCCCTCTTCGAAGCACCTGGCAGCTTCATGCAGACTACGAACAGCGAGATGGCCGTTGCCTCCTGTTGAAAATGAAATCGATACTGTTCAACATGGCTACGATTACAAAGTATGTAAGTGCTTCTGCATTTACTTGTTACTGTTATTATTTTCTTATAAACTTAAAGACCTTTATTGGCTTGTGAGATGAATCTGTTGATTGTCTCTACCTAGTAGGACGGGCGCCGACCATCTTCATCACCCACTCACACATTCCTGACGGGCCAACCACATAAGCAGAGCAAGCTAAGAAAGCTGCCTGATTCAATAACGAGCCGATTCATAGAGACAAGGCAGAGGACCGACGCAGCCAGAGCGCCGAGCAAGAATTACTTAAAAGACAACTAGGAAACAAAGAAACAGAGACACCCACAGACAGCCGCCAGCACAAGAAGAGAAACCTGTTTAATTAATAACACGCGGGCCCTCTCGCTAGCTCTCGACCCGAGCCCCAGCCTGCCAGCTACTGCCAGTGCCACTCCACTAGAACACGCCACTTATTTAGCCATTATACATAGCAGTGCATCAAGCACTGCGCACGCCCGTAGATGACACCGATAAGCTGGCGAGCCTCTTGCCCCACACCCAAGGAGGGTCATCCCTATCACGCGGAACATTTGCGGCGATCAAACATGACCCCGCCAAGGAAGTCAGACACACTCACAATGAGAACACGCAGACACACACACAGCGAGGCCCGCCGCAGTCAACAGCACCGCTGTCGAGTTCACAAAAAAAGCCACCCGATCCGGCGGGAACAATCCGAGGCACGCGGCCAACCAATGGACGCCCACAATCTGCCAACCCCCAAGACACCTCCGCTGGCCAGCTTTCGAGAGTTGGCCCGCCGCTGCGAATTCGCGCGCCAGAGCTCTACGAGCATGCCTAGCGTATTCAGCTCGCTGGCAAGCCAAGCACTTCGCTCAGTCCGCTCAAGTTCAGCATCTGGCTCGCCTGCCAGCGCTAGCATTTGCAGCCGCGCCCTCTGCCGAGCGAAGTACTCCGACTCCTCAGAGCTAAGGAGACACGCGCGGGCGCTGTCCTGCACAGCCTCAAGCACCCCCAGCGAGCTGTCCGGCGAAGCCTCGGGCACCTCTGGCGAGCTGTGCCTGGGCTCCTTGGTATGGCTCTGCACGCCGCCACGCCTATACATAGCCTGCGCATATTCCACAAGGTAGCGATGGCATGGCGCGCCAGAGTCCTCCGCCTCCTCCTCATTGCGGCTGGCACTCTTTGCCCTCATATGATATTACCAACATGGGAGGGCCTCACAATATCACTCAAAACCTCCGCCGAATCCTCTCCAGTAGCAAGGTAAGGCAGGTTTTGCGTTTCCACATGAGTCAAACCCCAGGCACCTTCGGCGAGCTGTCCCTCAAGCACGTGCGTGCTTTCCTTGTGGCGGGGGCGTCCCCCTTCATTAACCCACGCGGAAACTTCTGCGAACCTTCTCAGCGTGTTCCCCCCTTCAAGAGTCGGATTGAAGTGCATGGAGGCAGCTTCAGAGCAGATCCCGCCCCCGTCGGGAGTGACATCGACCGCGTTGGCAGTTCCATGCGGCTGACCGTCAGCAGCTGGAGCTGTGACATTTCCGCCAAGATCTGGCGCCCAGCCAGACGTGGCCTCGAATATGTTTTGCCTCTCGCAATCATCCAACTCGGATGGGTCCCAAGGCTGAGCATCGTCCGAGGTACTGCACCGCGTAGCCACACGCGTAGACAGCGCCGCAACCAGCGAGCGCCGTGGTTTCCAAAGTCGGCAAAGCGCGGCGCCCGCGCGGACACGGGACCACAATTACCGACTTGTCCGCGAATGCAAACAAGTGCACGCACGTGTATGACTCTTCGTCATAGCGGAGCTCGTGCCTGGAGACCAGACGAGCGGATAAGCTGCATCCGCGGCAAGTAACACAGTTGCAGCCATGCACCATTGTGGAAGACGAACAGGAGAAACACCTGCTGGAAGATTTTGGACGCAGTGGACTTTGGACTACAGAGGAGCACTCACGGCGCTGTCGTCTTCTCCATCTTGTCCCTCGATGTTGGGAGCGTAGTTGCCATGCGCAAGCGAGGGATGCATATTCACTAGAGCGCGCTTCCCTTCGGCCTCCTTGCTACGTATCTCAGAGCGTCCCACACTCTCCAACCTACTTCCGAGCTACGGCAGGGCGATCCTGCCTCCACGCTCTGCGGCATCAGACTCCCAAGCACCTGCTTCAGCGTGCGTGCGCAAATGGTTCGCGCCTGTCACGTCCTGGGCCCAAGGCGCCCGCTCCCCCCTGACTTGTCGCCGTTCTTGACTCCGGCAGCCGAAAGCCATTTCATGCGCCCCATTCCGCCGCGTAATAAGTAGTCTCCAGCTACTCCTGGGCGAGCGTCCTGCGAGATGGTCAAGGCACTCAGATCACCCCGGAGCCTCAGGCGCCTCCCTCCAAGTCAGTACGAACCTCAGCCCCCCGCCCCCTCCCTGTGTGACCGCTCTAAGTAACAAGACGCGAAGGCGTGCACCAGCTGGGGCACGCCTGGCGACTCCGTCAGCAAGACCGCTCAGCGGCCTTCGAGCTTCTCGCTGCCCTCTGTTTCGTCTTCTTTGTCCCCATTACATAAGATAAGCCAGACGCCTCCACATCTATAGCGCAAGTAGCTGGGTCATCGTGGAGCCCTTCTTCCCTTCCTCCGTTTTTTTCCAAGCGCCTGCGACCTCGTCACGAGTGTCAGGAGTGTCAGCCTTGGACACAACCGCCGGCAGCCGTGCTTCACTCGCGGCCGCCCCTCATCCGGTGGAACTTCACACCCGTGGCCCCTCCTGCAGCCTGGCCTTGACAAAGCGCCCCCGGCTGCGCAGTTTATTCCCGCCGGCCCCGACTGCGATGGCCTTGATGCCGTAGTTTGGAGTGGTGCGGCGCCACTCTTCGTTCTCTTGGCCTTCAGGGGAACCGGCGCAAGGCTGACTAAAGCCGCCCCCGCTGAAATCGTCAAACTTTCCACATGCGATACCCTCCAGCGCAGCCGCCCTCGATGGCTGCCGTGCTGGCTACCAGCAGCGAGCAGATCGCATGACGGCGCGCCATCGTGCGGCATGAGATGCAGCCCCACGCGGGCCCTCTTTGTGGGCTACCTCCGAGCGGCGCCCGCGCTTTTTCTTTGGATGGAATCGTCGGCGCCAGTTTGCACAACAGTAGCAACCCTCGCCACTTCAATGGAGCGCACCTGCTGCCGCGTACCTCCGGCCTCAAGCAAGAACACCGCCCGAGAGTGCGCCGGCTGGGTCTCAGCTATCGCAGTTCAGTCGGGGCCACTACTGCACCACCTGGCGCGGGCTTCTGTCTGCGTGGCTTGTCTGATCCGTTGCGGCGTCTGTCCTCTTCTGCCTGCCACACACCCCTTCGCCCTCGCGGATGGCGGCGGGCCTTCTGGAGTCGTGGCAGATCCAGACGATTCAAGGCGTGGGATTGGGAGTCTGATTTTTAAGCGAGTTCAGTTTACTACTGATCAAAGAGCAGATACCTTGTTTTCTCATTTTTCTTCCGAATCCTACAAGGCCTTCCCCGCTAGTCGCATCTCCAATCACTTGCGCTTCTCCATTTCCTCCCAGGATTCCCTCACCACCAACTCCTTCCACAGCATTGAAGTTGGCTTCAATAGTACCATCTTGGACATTGATTCTGGCATTTTGGTGACCAAAATACACCATGCTCCAAACCATTCTGAAGTGGTCAGCTGCTTCTTGGTACAGTTTTTGCTTCTCGCGTTTCGCTTGCTCACTAAGAAAGCGGGAGTCTCCAACATCCTTCGCACGCTCCTCCAGGCCACAGGCTTTGGCCCAGAGAGCTAGAGCTAGATCTCCACCTACGCGATACATGCGCTCGGCCTCCGTGTACTGTCGGTTGTTGAAATACTCCAGAGCACGGCGGATGTATCTGATTGGAGGAGGGGAGATATGAACTACTCGAAGGTGAAAAGTATTGATCAGCTCCTCAGGACCTGGGACAGGAAAATGTTGAGATAAATTCGACGGCTGCACCAGACTACAACAAGAACAACGGAAACGGCCTTCATCTCTACAACAATATCCAAAAGACACGCGTCAACATCGACGTCAACATATTAATATTTATTATGCTGGAAGAAGTTCAAGTTGTAAAAAGTACTCAGCTTTCGAGCTCTTTCTAGGAAAATCGACAACCGCTTCTGTCAGAGCCAAATTCTCTTGATCCCTAACCAAATTCACCAAGGCCGTTCTCGGAAACTCACTCGCCAAAGCATCCGGCTCCCACGTATCTTTCTTCGATGGACTACTTCTCTTAGTTGTACCGTTGCTTTGCTGCCTACCGTCACCTCCTACCGGTGAATGGCCACTCGCGCCACGTTGTCTAGGAACCGGCGAAACGAGCAAAGATGCTGAGGAAACGCGGTCTCTGATAGTAGTTCCAACTTGTAGTTCTAGACTTTCTGCTTCTGCGCCTCCCGTTGTAGGTCGTCTTGAGGTGCTGGCTGGACTCAAGAAGACGCTGGGAGAGTGCTGACCTTAGAGGTAGGCTCTTTATTTTGGTGTTCGTTTATCGTCCCGTTTGTTATGGCCGTCCCCCGTAGGAGAGCCATAACAAACGGTAACAAAAGCACCTTTAGCCTATCCTTAATGACCCTGCCCGTCAACTGGTTCTCCTCCAGCTCCAGAAGCTCCTTGATCTTGCTGGAGAAGTTCATCTTGATTCATCTGCTTTTCGTTTTGTTGTTGGTTGATCTGTATATCGGCAACTGCACTCCTTTCCACTTCACAGCGCCTCTTTGACAAAGGCAGTCCTGCTCTG